TCTTCTGCGCCGTCGCAGGCCACCGAGGAAGATTATTACATCTGATTATTACAAGATTATTACAAGCAAGGAGGAGGAGGCCAGCGGTCTTCAAAATGCTAATTTAAGATTCACCGTGAATGATAAGAATGAGTGGGATTGCCAGTAGGAACCAAGATCCTGAGAAGAATCCACTCTTGTGGATCGGCTATGGACAACTTCACGACAAAGCAACCATCATAATCCTTGTTGCTGAAGTGTAGATCAGTCACATTGACTACTCAGACAGTAGAAAACTTCTTTTTTAGTCACTCTGTAATCAACACCATCCTTTTAAGACTGATCCGTTGCGTGAATAGATGAGAAAGAAGCCACCACTCCAACCTCCAAACTTAGCAGGTTGTCCAGCCGGTGTTCGTATGAATGGCCCCGGCCGTGAGCCGGTGGAGGTTGCTTTAGTGGAAATTCTTATGAAAACTAATATGCTGGCATGAAGCATGCATGCAATGCATGCTATGCATGTTCTAGAAAGTATATGGCATGCATAAGCATAAACTAATATGCTGGCATGATGCTTTTTTCTGCATGTTCAAGGAGGCAGCTATGCAGACTCCTCGAATACCTTCAAGTAGAAAGATAAATATGGGAAGCATCGAGACAAGGGAAGAGACATTCGGAACAAAATACAAAATATCACATCAACATTTTTACCAATATTCCTTCATTTGTGGATTAGCAGATGCAAGCTTTATTATCATCACGTCTGAAGTCAATAGTAGATGACCTGCATTAAAAACTGCTGATCCAGTCCCAGGGATTCCCGTGAGTGTATGTAGACTATTCTCTTCGTCCAGATAGAAAGAATTTCTCTCATCTAAGCGAAACAACAGCAGAATTTATGTCACTTTTGAAGTCATGGTTTCTTAAGTTTCCACTCCGTCCAGCATATGATGCCTGAAGGCTACATATGTTAATATTTTACGCTCCACTTCGCCCCTGCATTTCGGAGCGAGTATGGATTTCACTAGTGTGTATTAACAATTATCTTAGAATGGCAACTACAGTGATTCCGCACCTGGATAGCAATAAATTTGCATATCAGATCCGTAAGAAGATAAGGGTGATGGAAGGTTGTGATGTCATCAGTACCTTATTGGCAGCAATGAAGTAATTATCTTTCGGCACAACATGTCTTGTGTACTTCTGATGGCGGCAAAATCGATATTTGTTGAAAATATTCATCGGTATATCTGATGGACCTCTGTGTCAACCTTTCACAGAAGGTTTCTAGATCTGATAACACGGCATCATTGTAGGAAGTGTGCTTAGCTGTAGTATTGCTTACAATTAGTTTCTCATCAATTCTTAGATTGAAGGAGCTCTCATCAAAGTACGTTTGAATATCTTCCTTATAAATTTATGAAAGTTAATAATAATTTATACACAAACTTTGTTAACGGCCTAAACCCTTTGTTATCGGCGAGGGAAGTAGAAAGAATGTTGATTTGAAAAAGTTGAAACAAGAGCAAGGTGGACTAAAATTGAGACATTTCCATACTGCAAGTGGTGTTCGTCATGAATCAACTAGTTTTACTTGACCAACGTTAACTACTTGACTGAAGTTTGTAAGCACAAGGTCGAGCGGTTAGTGGACTCATAAATAAATTTACAAATGAAGGTCAATTCAGGAGGGTTTTTTGAGGGGCGATGAGAGTAACATTCAAAACATGGAGAAGTTAGAATTCTTCCCTTCTTGTCAGCATGTCCTCTCTGAGGCATAAACACCATATGTAGCATCTCTCTAAGAGCCTGTTGAACGTAAGCTCGAGTTGGGAGATGAGAACGTCACCACTTGTGTTCCAAAGCATGAATTTTAATAACGAGGTAGTTCGGATGACAAAGACTTTAGAGCATCCCTTCCAAATAGGAGTACAGGAGCTAATGAAGACTATTCAGGTGTCGATCGCCTAAGAATATAAGGCTTAAAATGAAGATCGCAAAGCACCTCCTTGAGCCATCTCATGTACTAACATATCGCCTCAAATGAGAGAGAATATGAAGATTCTTGACTTTTTCCAACTAAGCACTTTGATACCAAAGTATAGACCCCTTTGGAACCATGAAGATGCTGGTTATATGGAAGTACTTCAACTCATAGATGGTGGAACTTTGACCTCATACGATGAGTCTCACAAGGTAAACAAATTGATTGCAATTGTTTTTTTTTTACTTTTGCAGTAGAAAATTGCACAAATGGAAGAAATGAAAAAGAATAAATCCAGTGAGGAGTAACTCGTTCCATGACATAACTAGAGCTTCGAATTAGAAATAAAGTTAGGGAGTTGTAGCGGAGATGAAGTGCTTCCAAAGATCATTCATGAAACAAAGTTTAAAGATAAGTGGAGATTTATGCACAAGTGTTAGCTTCATCGGTGCGCTGCATTGGAAGAGTACATATTAGGTCAGATGAGGGAAAGTGCACATGGATATTGCAACACAATATATATCACTGGCATATGAAACATCACAAACCAAGACGGTCATTCACAAACACAAGTGTTCACAAGCATGTTCATATGTGTTACACTAGGTAATGATCTAGTCCATATCATGATTGAAGCTTTTGGAGGCTAATAGAAAAGAACGGGAGCTATAATGCTCAATTAATATAATGTTAAAACCTCTATACTGCTTGGTTACTACGTTGTTTACATTAACACTGTCCACTACCACCTTGTTGAGAGTAGTTGTCAAGTATAAGAATCACAAATCGACAAAGTTGACGCTACACAGCTAATCCACATAATGTACACCTTAAGTCAACTACACCCTAACCTCGATAATATCACACCCTCCGTTTCACCATAAAGTGTGATATAAACAAGGTGTGACATTTTCGATAATGTCACATTTTGAAAATTTGTACATAATGTGATATTATCGAAAAAAAGTTAAAAAATCAAAATAAAACTACAATGCAAAAAAAAATTAACAAATGAAAGATTTCAAAATTTTTAGATGCAAAATATAATTCAAAACTGTGAATGAGAACAAAATGATGCAAGTGCCGTGTGTGTAAGATCTAAGGTTGGTGCAAGGGGGCGTCTCACGACACTCATAATAGCATTTCGTTTATCACAGGAGCGGCTCATGACCCTTTTGCTACTATAGAATCCATCCATACTTGATATTATCACACTTACAGTAAAGATTGATGTTTTTGTTACTATACAATCCATCGATACTTGATATTATCACACTTACACTAAAGATTGATGTTTTTGTTACTATACAATCCATCGATACTTGATATTATCACATTTACATTACAAATATGGGAAAAAAATTGTGACTTTATCGAGGGTGATAATAAAGAGGTAGTTTTACACTAGGAAAATCGGTTTCAAACTTTTAGGTGATAATATCGAGGTGTTCTATTAAAAAGTGTGACATTATCGAGGTTAGGGTGTATATACATGTGATGCTAGTATACATGGTATCATCAATGTTTGAATTTTTGATATGGTTCTCAACCCCACACATGACTTTTGAAAGAAGATAATACCTCAATTACATGTACAAGTGTGCTACTGGGACTGACATCTAAATGTGGTGGATGCACAATACTACAAATATACGTTATCACCAACATAAAATCTTGAAGTTTAAAATCGATAGACATTTTCTTGAATGGTATCACAACGCCAAGTATCTATATGTTAAGCAAAGGCCATATTTTTAAACGTCATATTTAGGAAAAAAAAATCAGTGTATAGACCACATTCTTATTGAAATCCAAGATCTCATAAGATTGTAATTGCAGGTCATTCTTGATCTCTAACATATACCAAGAAGTATGATCAAAAGACTCTCAAAGAAAATTGCCTGCTTAAAATATTTTTCATGGCCAACCATGATGACCGACCATCCCGATGTTGAGGTGATATTTCTTTAAGTCAAATTCTCCGAAATGTGTTTGCCATACTTTTCTGGTTCATCAGTCATGAGTACACTTGATGTAGTACAATGATCAATCAATGTTTCATCACGCAGCCTGAAATTCAGTTTTAAAAAAACTCAGTTTCGGATCAATAACACCATTTCTGATGCAAAATTCTGCGTCCACGATGATGCTGAAAATGCATCTATCGTGTCTTCTATTCAACTTCTCAACCAAAACTATCAACTCTATTTACCTGGTTAATGTTTTCCTATGATCAAAACATTTAACTGACCTTTTCAAAATTCAACAAGCCTTGTCTTTCCATTTGTAAATATTCTCACATTCATTGGGTTTAGGGTAGCCAAGTTGAATTTAGTAAATGATAGCCATCTTGATAATCCAATCTCATATGATAATCAAGTTTCATTACGGTAAAGAATATAACTACGGTGTTGAAGCGATAAATACTTACTTAACTGTAATCTCCGGTGGACTCTCATTAAAATAAAACTCTAATGCTTCTTTGAAAATTCATTTTGAATGGAAAGATAAGATGTTTTCTTGAGATTATGGCTTATTGTATCCAAATGTATAAAATCTTCCCATTCATCACCTCATTCTAGTATTCATAGACATTCAAAATGTTCGCTAAGTTAAATTTTTATCCGAATTGATGTTATAGAGATGTTTTTCATCTTGATATATATATATATATATATATATCCTAAATATATGTTTATTTCTAATCAATAGTTTTCAATGATAACTAACAATAATATCTATCTAGCTTGCTCGAATGTCTGCATAAACTTTGATATGTTTCACTATTTTTAACATACATGAAACGTTAAAAAATTTTGGCGTTGAAAATTGCACTCGGGTTGAAACTATGCTACAAATTCTAAAAAATAAAATAACATAACCTTCATTCCTGATCAGTCTATAGTTGTTGGACCCTAATCATTCAGTATACGTATTGGAATAAAAGGCTGACCACCCCACTTGTAAGTGAAGGGATTTCATCATGATGAGACTTAAAAAAACAAACAAACAAACAAAAAAGAAGAAGAAAAGTAAGTCATTCTTAAAAAAATTTCATATTGCATGAGTTTCTAAACATATGCTTGTCATTTGCATCATGACATTCTAAACTCTTCAATTTCTCGACAAAATCCCAGTTCTAAAACCGTTCTTCATGCACTCCTCGCACACCCATGCATGCCCACCTGATTCTACTCCCTCGTATTTCACCTGATACAGCTTGAAGATTTTTGCATAGTTAATATCCCCAAGAGTTTTCTGAATCCTCAACCATGCTTGTTTCAGCTCCTCGCTTTCCCCAGCTTTTACAACTGCCCTACGATCACCATCACTAATGCCAACTAGTTTAACAATATCAGATTTTAAATCTGCCCAGTCCGGAATCGCTTGGCCCAACCCAAAGTTCATACCTACTCCAGCCTTTGCAGCATAATACAAGACTTTGTATGAAATTTCAATGATTTTTCTAATCCACTTACGATTATCCAGATCCACGCGTATCTTCAAACCTTCTTGATCTTTGACCATGTGAAACCCAGTCGCCGACTCACACATCAAGCGTAATCTAACGGTTGTTCCAGCATGCATAAGTGCACTCATCCTATAAAAAATGTTAACATCATCTGTAACGTAAGGTCGCTTGGGGGTTCTGGTCTGCTGAAAATCTTGAGTATATCTAATAATACTGTCTAGTTTAGACATGAAATCACTCAGCGTTGACTGCAATTCTTGTTGCAGAGAGAGTATATATACCATCTTCATCTCCAATCTATGCAGATGGCTCTGCACAGATCTCAACTTCTCATCCACACCATCAACTTTTTGTGCTAGATTTTTTTCTACCTGATCCATCCTTTCTAAAAGAACTCGGGTTGCAGGATCTTTCACATTTGTGCTCGTCCGACTTAAGCATCTGGATGAAGGTTGATTGGAGTCTTTCATATCCAGAAAATTCGAACTCGTAACCCTGTTCTCATTTTCAGGGTAAGAATGAATCAGATCATTGTTCACTTCGATTAAACCTCGCTGCAATGAGTCCAGTTGTTGCATTCGCTCCTGTCGGATCTCATTCACAACCGCCTCCACATCGCTCTCCCACAGCAACTCCCTTGCTCTTTCTTGTATAACCTCTGTGTGCCCATTAATCAAGGGCCAAGGGTGCTCATAGCTGAACAATTCTTCCTCCTTCACCAAGTGAAACCTATCCGACTGAATGTCTTCAAGTTTGTCATTGATGTCACGAATGAAATTGGATTTGAGCTCCTCAATCATAATGGCTCCTCTGAGATGAATCGGAATCAGCATCTCCACGCAACGTGTTTGGATCAGACCCAGCACTAACGCCACCCCGGGACAGCCTTTTGATGATGCACAAAATGATATAAACTCTTGGACGATATGCTTCATCACGTATTTAATAGCCACCTCCCTTGATTTATGATCCGAGCATAACATCAAAACATCCACGTAATTGTGGGATGTTTCTTGCTCCAGATATATCTCGTGTCCATCAAGGTAGAGTCGCATATACTGTCGAGAGCAGGTCACAGTCTCCTTGGAAACATGCATCTCCGATATCAATTTGCGTCTCATGAACATCTACAATGATACAAAATTTGGTATACGTTAAGCTACGCATTCCAAAAATTAAATTCTACTAATGAAAAGGGAACACTTCATTCAACAAACACAAGTTACAATCAGAACTCAACGCATTCAATTTTCTCACGGTATATTTGAAATCACCTCGAAGCATGGAAAAAAAGCAGAGGTTAGTGACATTGTTCTTCCATCTTGGCATTGAATCCGGATGCCAACAAACTTTGAAGCCCCAACCCTACGTTTCCAATCCTCCGACTTCACGTCCACCAATTCTTGAGAATTCTGCCCATCAGTGCTTGCATGCTCAGGTACGAAGGAGGGAATGAAATACTGAGAAGTATCTTCCACCTTGAAACACAAATCTAAATTGGTAAGGATGTTCTCAATCACGACTCTGTCCACACCTATCTGTCCATCCGATTGCTTTCGCAGAAACTCTTCTATCAACTTGGCAAAGACATTCTCACTCACAAATCCGTCTTTGCTTGGATATAAACCACTTGACGTCTTTTTGAGAAAGTTTTGACCCAAAGCTACCAGCTCACCCAATAATTTATTGGTGAGCCAATTTGGATCAACAATGATGTAATCAAAGTTGGGGATAGAAACTATGGATCCAACGTCATTCATATAGGATGTGATTGATTTCATCATCTCTGAATGATCAAAGGCATGAACAGAAGTGGTTGGAATGAATTTTGTCAACATGTCGGAACAAAATTCATAAAACTTCTCGGATTGCAAAAGAGGGCATCTTCTGTTCTTCTTGCTGTTTTTAACCAAGAGGTACGAGAGTTGGGAACACAATTGGGGAACCCGTGGAGATTTTTCACTCAACAACTTATCAAAGATGCCAAAAATGTGGTTTTTGAGAGGTCTAACTTGCTTCTTCTTCCGAGAGTCCACATGAAAAAACTCTTCAATAGGGTGAAGATCCACAAATCTTGCAAATCTTTCCGTTAGTTTTTTCACTATGTCTTGAGCCCAAGTCAAAGATTTGTATCTGGCTTTATCCTTGTGTGAAATCACAACAAGAACTTGTGGAAGATTATGTCCTGTAATACTACTGCAGGATGTGATGAAACTCAACCATTCCTCCAACTCTACTTCAAGACAAGATTCTTCTTTGTATTCTTCTTTCTTATGACAGAAGGGGCTATAAACAAATAAAAAAAGACAAAAATTGCTAGTTCGAGGAAAGAGCACACTTTGAAGGGTACGGAAAATATCTTGTCCTGCAAGATCCCAAATTGAGATCTGTCTTTCTTCATTGTTTTGCAAGAAGTCCACTTCAATTCCTTCAGTCCTCCACTTGAGTTTGTCCCATTGCTTTTTGAGCCAACTTTTGCCCTGTATCAATGTTTGACGTAGTTGAGTCTTGCCTATAAATTGAATACACATAACCACAACAAATATAACTTGTTACTTCAGAGGTTTTTTCAGACCCTTTGATACCATATTCTTTAAGCAGGATAAACAAGAAAGAAAAAAAATTTGATTTTCAAATGAAATATGAATCTTTTGAAAAATATCTTCTTCAAATTTGAAATCAGTAGTATCTGAATTTTCTCTTCTTATATTTCCGTATTATTTTTCACACAAATCCAAATACATCAAGATTCATAACTAAACTTCATAATTTAATCTTAAATTTGAAACGTAAAACTTTAGATTGCTAGTTCAAAAAGCTGAGAGGTTACAGAGCAAGTTACCTGCTAGAGGAGAGCCGCATAGAAAGAGTCGACCAGCTTTTGCATCTCCAAATGCTAATCCGGCTTCTCTGAATACGGACATGTAGGCGGCCCGCTTTTTGTTCTGCTTGAGGGCCTCTTGAATCAGCGCAGCCTTTCCGTCCCTTGCCCATGAGGTTCGTGAAACATTTATTTTTTGGAGACTCAAGTTTACTTGGAGTAACCCCATCATGTCCCTGAACGTCTCTTCGTCGAGCCTGTTCTCACACAAATCCAAGTGAGTGAGACTTGTGTTCCCTCGCAGGCACAAAAGCAGGTCCTTCCATACTCCCTTCCAAACATCTTCGCTTTGAGATGTTAATCCGAGTCTCTTCAGGACGGAAGTTTCTCCAGTTTTTCCATTCATCGAGAGGATACTTTCCGGTCTATCTTGGTTGGTACCTGAAGTGCCAATACGTCCCGTTGATATACTCAGAGATTTCAGAAATCCCGTCGACTGACATATACTCAGAGATTTCAGAGATGTGATTTCCCCGCGCAGTACCCTACCTAATAGGTTCAATGATAACATCACTTCATGGTATTCCGAAGTTTCTAGTTCAAGCTCCACTATGGGGTCCTTGACATCCGAGCTAGCAGAACGAGCAAGAGCTTCTATTGACTTCCAGTCACCATATCTGAAGTCAAACAAAACAAATATAGTTGTCACTATGGCATTGTCACGTATGGCTTCCCCGAGCTTGTGCAATTCCTCAGGACGCATCCCGAATGTGTAGAACTTTACTTCCTTCAATGATCGGTTGGAAATAAGAAGTTCCGTTAAACAGTCTCCGAGTCCAACCATCTCCCTCAGCACAAGACGTTCAATGGATCGGTTGCGATCGTGTCCTGCCAATGCTTTTAGCAATAAGGGCCCTCCCCACTTCCCCCTTTCTAACCTCAATTCTTTCAGAGACGAGCTCTGGATCAAAGCGTGGGCCAGGATTCCAGCGGTCTCGTCCTCCATTACCATGTCGCCGCCTAAACGCAACGTTTCTAATACAGGAGCACTACTGATCATGTCAGCCACATACTTCACCGCAGTCGAGTCTTCCCACGCTTCCCGTAAATCTAAAGACTTGAGTTTAGAATCGGAATGTCCTCGCAGTCCTGAGGCGAGATTCGAGAAACATCTGGCACTCAATCTGTTGTACAAAACTAACTCTGTTACGCTAGAGGACTTCAGAATTCTCCCCAGCTGGAAACACAAGCTCTCCACTTCCGCATCATCTGATTCCCTAAACCAAAGATGATCAACGATTATCTTTTCGAGAACGGAGCTAGACCTGAAACCTCTGAGAACTACCTCCCACTCGCTTGGCGTCAACATCGATGTATCTCCCCCACAAATATTGGACACGTTCAGAATCTCAAGGGTGTTGCAGCTGCCCATGGCCTCCAGCACTCGAAGACGCACTTGGCTTCGCCACCCTATGATTGTCGAGAGTGATGCACGCCGCGGAAAGAACTTCCGAAATTCTGGCTCGCTTAAATTGGGAAGCTCCGTTATAGGCTCGCCTTGTCCTTCCAGACGCTGTACAAGGTCCTGGATGTCGGAGGGAAGCTCCGGTTCCTCGTCTGCAGAGTCCATTCCCCGCTTCTCAGTAGCGTAACTGACTATGGACGCACCTGCACCTTCCATTCTCTCCTCCACTCCACTCACACACACACGCGAGCGAAATGTCTACAGGAGCCCCCTCCTCGATCCGAAGGATCGGCTCACCCGAAGAGAATTAACTTCCCGGCCCAATGTCACAACTTGGGCATGACACTTCTTGCGATCTGCATGAGGAGACAAATAAGATTAATCTTACCTCTGCAAGGATTCGGATCAAGAGAAATCACCACAAACGTAGAGAGACGCTGCTCGAACTCAGTGCTGGGCAAAACAAGCAAAATAAAAGCAAAGCAGATAACCGATATTCCGGTTCCAAAGCAAATTGTAGAGTGTGTGCAATAGGTACTTCATATCTCTCGTGTGCAAACCTTTTGTCAAGTTTATCGTAGAGAGCTGTTTGATTAGCACTGGTGACCCAACTGAGTGGACAAGCTAAAAGCTCTGCAGTTGAATCTGAAATCCAAAAAACTGGTTCGTACAAAAAATGGTGCGATGTGGAGCATGGAATCGCAGATATCTCAGATGGGAAGTACTCTGCCTTGTGTAAAACTCCGTGTACAATCGGACTGGGAGAATGCGAATCTAGCTGCATCAACACCCACGGGAAGACAGACCCTCCGAAGGCTAGAGAGAAATTTGCAGCTTACTCATCAGATCTTCTCATTATATTGTGTGGATGATCGAGGTCAAGACAACATACTAACACAACAAGCGTGTTCCTCCATTCTCGGAGAGATTGGAAAATGTTCTGAGAAGGTAAGAGTAAATCTTGACTTTGTTGTGCAAGTGAACGTGAAAATTGAGTGAATGCATCAGTGTGCTGATGCACTCGATGTCATCACGCTGAACACAGAGATTTAAAGAATCTTTGATCTATTCAAGGAAGTGGTTGTATTCTTACAACTGAGAGGCACATAGCTTGGTGTGTAAAGTATCTTGCGCGTTTTTCTTGCTTTGACTATCGGTACAGTAGTCTACATTACTCTGCATATATCGTAGGTTCAGAAACTGATAAACTTTGTGGGATTTTTCTAATCATAATGTCCAAAACATGGGTACAGAGTACACGAGGACTCGCGGTCTTCAACTGCTGGTATGATTGTTCTTCTACCTCGACTGTCAAGCATGCACAGTTCTAACACCAGTGTCTGGAGGTCTTTCAACCTCAAACATTAAAATAAAATCAGATTTCGTCCGAGCTAAGAGCAGTCCTGCTTGTTTATCTCGTCTTATAGAACACGACAGAACCAGCATGATACTTGCTAAGGTCAACATAAATCCTCTCAAGAATTTACACTCTTCTAATCTGCTTGCAAGTGAAGAAAAACTTTGTTGTATTGATGAGATGAGAAATACCTCATATGCTAAATTTTAGAGAACAATGATTCAAAACTCCAGATGAACATCTCGTTGGAAGTCTAAAGGGTAAGACAAACTTTACATGGAAACTGCAATACCTGATAATTGACTCAAATGAAACAAGTAAATTTGCAACTTTTGCACTCGCATGCTCATATCATAATTCCAAACATGTCAGATAAAGAGATGAAAGCACATTGTTCAATTGATAAAATGGTTGAAACGCAAAAAGTATTCATTCATGTTTTTAGTACTCTCTCTCTCTCTCTCTTGTGTTAAGCAAATTCACATGAATTTTAGTTACAAAATCTAAAATTTTGATTCAATACCTTTCTAGTGTATGTGTTGCATGTTTAGCATCTTCATTTAATAATACCTCAAATCTGAAAATGTTCAGTCATAAACAATGTGTAATAATTTGTTTCTGACAAGACATTATTCAATGAAAGTTACAGTTTTACATTTTATATAAATTTTATTCATAGCTTTAGAGATTTTGACTCTAAAATTCTTCAGCTGTTTTGGTTATTTTTAATTTTTGATTCTTGGACAGTTTATTTAGATGCATCATCTAGATTGATGCAACTGAATAATTCTCAAATTGTACAACTACACAAATGAGATAATTGGTGGATTTTTACATGTTTACTTGTTCCAACTTTATAACTGAAGTTGAAACAAGTAGGTGATATAAACATTGTAAGGATTTTTTTCAGACTTATACTTACATGCCTACTCACAAAAATCTTGATGCATGATACATTCAAGTTGAACTAACTTTGAAGAGATCAAATGTTGATGAAAAAATCAATGGATAATCTCCAACAATGACTTATTCCCTAGTTGGTCTCTCTCTCTCTAAAGTTAGAATGCAACCAAATATTAGATCGAAATATGTTATCTTACTTTCCGTGACATGTATTTTTTTCAACTATGATAATTGATTCTTTTCTTGGGTATTCTCTCTATTGGTGTTGCCCAGAATTCTTGAGTTCTGCAGCAGGTGTTCATTGATGTACTTATAGGAATTGTCTACTTTACCCTAGGGATCATTTTTGTCACACCAGCTTACACATGAAAGATGTCTTACATTCACTCCGATGACTACACAGCTATCCTGCAACAATAGTTGTCATTGAATCTTAGTGCAAGATCTTTGAAAAAATACACGATATAATTCCTTATTACTCAATGTTCCGGAAATTTTTATATATTTTAAATTTATCAAAATCCTAACCGGAAATTTCTCACTCCCCACTTGTATTCAACTTACTCCTGTTCACTCCACAGGAAAAAGTGAAGATGCTTGGTTGGATACTTTTGATTTTATTGTGGTACAGAAAAGTAGAGGGTCGTAGATGTTGAGTGTGTGGTACTCATCCGCATGTTACCCACCGTCCACTTCATAAGAATCCAAGACCGTCTCCAACTTATGCCATGACAGTATGTACCGATCATGCAGAATGCTACAGGTTGTATCTTCAAAAGCAATCTTCACTTGTACGCAAATTTCTTTTGCTTTTTCCAATTAGCCAAGTCAAGTATGTTTCAAAAGCAGAATCTTGGCTGGCTTGTTTATTTTTGTTAACAGTTGCTGTGATATTAGATAATCGGGTTTCTAAATGGAACGATACACATTCCACATTCTTATCTGAAGGATACTTTTGATTGTATTATGGTATCTTGCCAAACAAGTATAACCCATTACAATGCCTAGACTGCAAAGTCAAACAAAATCATTTTATTTTTTTCTCTTCTTTTTGAACACGCATTTTGAGTTGAATATTTCAGTACAGAAATTTCCTTAGATCTTCGTCTTCAGGTTAGTCCAAGGACCCACTGGAGGAACGTTGACCTTAGAAACTTGTATATACATTTTTATCAACCAAGTTGCCAACCAAGTTGTCACAATGAATATGAGCAATTTGTTTATAGAGATTGGTGCGACTGAGTACAACCATCCTCCAAGAGGCTGAACGCTTATGAGGCTGCGTCCAAAGCAATCATGGAGAAGCCTCTCCACTACGGGTGAGTATTATCAAGCTGCTGGGATACGGGAATAGTAAAAATCAAGCAGAATCGCATAGTTTAGCACAAGTATGATATTGGGGGTGATTATTTAGAATGCTATGAAACTGTGTTCCACCAGCAACTCTACATCATAAGTGACGGCCTGATGTTTGTTCTTCTGGAATGCAGCGTCAAGGTCTGAGTAAAACGTTATTCACCGTGTGGGAATAATGACAGCGCTATGAAGCTTCTGTGTTCGAGAGAATTTAATTTCGAAACAAGTGTCGTTGTGACATCGAGAATATAGTTTTCCGTACAACACCCTCGAGACTCCAATGACTATTCAATGTACAAATAACTGTACCACCTTGAGTCTCATGGGGCTCGGAGATGCATGGCGATGGAAAAGAATCTAGGAACGATTGATAGTCCAGCAGCCGAATCCACTTCATACAGTATTATTCAAAATTGTTCCACCAGCAACTCTACATCATAAGTGACGGCCTGAAGTTAATATAAGTGACGGCCGGAAGTTATTCAGTATACTACTTCTCATCCCCGACTTGTATTCAACTTACTCCAGTTCACTCTGCAGAAGAAGGTGAAGATGCTCGGTTGGATACTTTTGATCTTTAGTGCGGGAACATACCGCAAAAGACAATTAGTCAATTCCAGAGTGGAACAGTTCACGCCACCGCTTAAAAGCGGTGGCGTGAGTCTTTTATCTTCCTTTAACGCGTATTTCAAACGGACACTCATCTAAGTTGAAAATTTCAAAGGAGAAATTTCTTTAAACTTTCGTCTTCTATTTATTCCAAGGATCCACAAGAGGAACGTTGAAATTAGAAACTAATATATACACTTTTATCAGTGGAAAGTGTTTTTTCCTCTGTATACTACTATACGCGGTGAGCTTTGATAACTTTAACCTAAAAAATATATTACTTTACCTTCCCGAGCCTAACTGCGTTCCATTGGCCCCTTCCGGCCTAAGGTGAGGAGCACACAAATCTGTGCTGCCGTGGCAATCTGATTGCTCCACTTTGTAGCCAGTGGAGTCGAGGCCGACGTCGGCGGAGCTGCTCCATCTTCGAGCTTCGGGGGCAGGCTCAAGAATTTCGGGGCCGGACCCCTCCATGGCAAGCCTCGGAATCCCAACAGCCTGGTCATGGTTTAAGGATGTTTAATCAGATTGAAGTCAATTTTATGGGCCCGATTGTCTATTCCCCTAGTCCTTTACAACTGTGAAGTGGAGGATTGAGGTGATGTACAGGGCGTCCAGGTGGAGGCAGCGTTTAGAAATTCGGAGTACGTGGAGAGTGGCACCGGCTGGTCGAGCTTGGGTTGTCGATCCTTGCGTAAGTGAGTTTGGATTCCGGAAGTATGGAGCCGGCAGATGAACGATATCGCTGAGTTACTCGATTTTTGAGGTGTTCGCCCTCGTGTCGGCTTGCAGTAGGGAAGGAAACGTAATTGGGGACAGACGGCATCGTTAGTCGTCTGTCCCCAATGTGTTGGGTAATCTGCCCCCATATTTTCACTCCGACCTGTGGCCTGGCCGATTTTGATCATCTGCAGGCAGAGGGCATGACTGCGTCCTTTTGTGTGCGTTCCCGCGTGCGCAAGGCACGGAGTTAGCTGCAGGCAGGGCATGCTTTCCCGAAAACGACTCAGATTCGCCATAACATCACCTCATCTCATTAGTGCCAGGAGGCTCGCATCACGGTCTCAGGCAGAAAGCGAGGTCCGTAGGCCCCCGGAAGCACCTTCGACCCAAACTCTTTGGCCCAAAGTGCGCAGCACCTCTCACGGAAAGTCTCGTGCCCTTTGGCCCCGTCAGGTCTTCGTGTGCTGAAATCGTCAAGCCATTGACTCTGTAAAGCCAAAGAAGTCTCCTTTGGACTCAGACCCTTTGGTCGGCACTCTCCGCCTCTGGCCCTCAGTGATGATTTTATGACATGCTTTGGTTCCTCTGCTGTTACCAGCTTCAAGTAATGTTTGTAATAAATAACCTAAATATGAAAATTAGGTGGCATCAACTGCCGAGAACAATTCGACAGAGAATAAAAAACATTTGAATATCGTGTGCTTAAGTTGCGAAGAAATGAAACTGCACAGAGGGGCGAAAAAATAATATATGTTGAGTCATAACGCGATCAATTCAGATACCCTTGTTCCTTCGGAAACCATGGGATATATCTTTGAACCTTGGTTCGAAGATAATTTCCAGTACCATCCGGAAACCCTCCTGTATTATCTTGTCCCTAGGGTTAGCTATGGTTAGGGGGCGCTTTTCAGCTCTATCCGTCTTCGGTCCTTCGGACTTCAAACTCGTATGTACCCTCCTCGCCTCGCTTTGGTCCGAAGGAGACTTCTTTGGCTTTACAGGGTCCAAAGGATACTTCTTTGGCTTTACGAAAGAAGCGCCTAAGGCCGGAAATGGCAGGTCCATACACGATATTGGGAAGAAGGCACGTAGTGCTTCTTTGGTTTTACAGGGTACTAAGGCCCAATCAAAAAACTTGTGTATATCCGTATCAAGTACATATTTATCTTTCTTATTCATAGATGTGTAAATCGCTGCATAAACATGGGCGGAACCCGTGACCATTAGGCCGGGATAGGGACTGCGCGAGAAAAAGTACAAGTATAAATCCATGATGTACTAAGGTTTTTCACTTATCCGGGTTCTGCAACAAGGTTTTTTCGTTTTTTTTTCCGTCAAAATGCTCTTTTAGCTATTCATTTTTTTCCTCGTTTTCTTACATCAACTTTTTTTCACGTTTTTTTCTTCATTATATACGCTTCATCATCTTTTGATTTAGCTTTTAAAATCAAAAGAATATGCATTTTTTTCCCATATATTAATCATTGTATCGGGTAAAGAAAAAGCACCTGCGGTGTTTTTTCTTACCCCATACAACATCATATTGCGTAAAACAAAGGAAAACAAAGGCTCGTAGGGCAATGCCTGCATACAAAACGGAATTGGCGAAACAACCGAACCAAACGAGCAATGCCGAATAGCCGAACCGAACCTCTTTGGCCCAACGCGCACTTCTTTGCCTTTACGGGTCCTCTGGCCAGAAATTCTACATAACATTTTTTCGGTTTTACTTTTTTTTACTGATTTGGTCTCTCTGAGTTGGATTCGAACCAAAGATCCAATAGTTAACAGCCATTTGCTCTAACCGCTGAGCTACTAAAGAATATCGAATCACCGAATCGAACCTCTTTGGCCCAACGCGCACTTCTTTGCTTTTACGGGTCCTCTGGCCAGAAATTCTACATAACATTTTTTCGGTTTAACTTCGTTTACTGATTTGATCTCTCTAGGTTGGATTCAAACCAAAGATCCAATAGTTAACAGCCATTTACTCTAACCGCTGAGCTACTAATGAATAACCACCGATGAAACGAATCGGGAAAAAAAAACAAAAACAAAAATCAAGTTTAGAGCTACACCTTTACACAAGCTTCCATTTTGGCTTAGTCCGCGCCTCTTTTCACTAAACGAAGGTGGCCCCGGGCCTAACGGCTCGCAAACGATAAAAGAGTCGCGAACCAATTCAGGTTCGTATAGAAATCAAGCGAATTGCACTAAGTGTGTTTTGTTAAAGGAACTGAATAAATCCAAGTAAAACTTTTTGCGCTCTATAAGATTTGCTTATACTGTATTCTCCCCTGCGCGCGCCTCGAATTCGTGCCTTGAGCCGTGCAAAGCGCTCTGCTATTTTAACCTTTACCGAGGGGCCAAGGAGTCCGACCGATAGGTGAAACCCTAAGAAAGGAGTTTTGCCGCTTTTGGTGTGAAATATGTACTCTGAGACTTCAAAGTGCATACTACTCTTGATAAAATTAGAGATCGACGTAGCCGACGTGTTAGCCGTGTCCTTGGTAAAGGCTTTATCTCCCTGGGCCCCGACGATAAAATCGTCCGCACATCGGACATAATAAATGTTACGAGGATTAACCTTGTATTCAAAAAAGCTAACCCCCCTGCGCTTGAGGTCTTTTCTTAAGTCCCTGTTGGCTCTCAGTTTTTTTTTATGCCCCATTCTTGTTTTTTTCTAACGTTAGCAATTTACGTCTTTCGCTTACGTACACCTTATTGAATAATTTTCCGAGGTCACCTGATGTTTTTTTGGTGAGATCGATCATGAACACGTCCAGATGATGCATGGCTACGTTGAATAGGAAGGGGCGGCTCATTCACTAGCAGAAGTTGTTTCCCCTATGGAGGATAGGTTTATGGTGACAACGGAAAAAGGTTGTGTTTCTGAAAAGCCTGTGAATATATGGGCCACAGGCCGAGGCTATACTACGTTCGAGTACAAACTGTCTTTCGAATAAAAAGAGTCCAACTCAACACATCCTCTTATATCAGACGTGTGAATATCAAGGATTTTTTCCTTGTATAGTATGCAGGTACAGGTAAAAAAAAACTAATTGTATTTTCTGTTCTATTAACGTGCTTCGAGGAATGAAAATGCACCAGAGGTGCCTTTACAATCATATTGCTTGAATCATTGATTTTATTCAATAATTATATAATAAAATCTTATATGAAAAAGGTACTGGAAAAACCTATGTCCGTCGACGCGGTCGACTTCAAAAGTAGAGAAATCCCTCTCTCTTTGGTCGAGTGTCTTGCTTTGGTCCACCCTTGAATAAACTAAAGAAAAAACAGCATTTTTTATTTCATTAAAAAATTCTATTTTTTAATCAAAAAAGCCTTGTCCGCGCAAGTTTTACTTTACTAAAAGTGAAATACTTAATTTTTTTAAAATTTTTGTAAAATAAGCTTTTTAGTAAGAGCGCAAAGGGCTTTACGAACTTTGGCAATCTTTTTTTCTATTTTTGTTTTTTATGCACCTAATGTATTGGGGCATCCTGACAACTATATAGGGCGACCGATCTAGATCCCGCACGATAAAGAGCACAAGTCCATTTCTGTGCAAAGGCATTGCACTCATTCTTGTTCGGCAACGAACACGGAGACCTTAGCATGTGCAAGAAGCTCTGTTGAGCGGGATTATGTCATATGATATGACGTAATGGTATATGATGATATCACAATCTGCTATGGGATATGACTCATATCCCATAGCAGATTGTGGTTGAGACTTTGTGAGGGTGGAAACCCCTTCACTGGTCCTTACCAGTTCCCACCTAGAGAATAGGGCGCTGGCGCACTTGGAAAGTAATTCTGAATTCTCTGGATAGTTGCCGTTTCGGATATCACTCGGTTGATCGTGAAGAGACGAGCTCGTACAACATTTCGACCTAAAAGCCCAATTAAACCCTTCCTATGCGGAAAGCATTCGATCGGAGCACTGGATATGGTCCCAAGTAGGGCTCCGATCGGGTTCGGGTAGAACCCGAAAACACGAGTTCGGGTCGGGTTCGGGTAGAGGTCTATACCCGACCCGAAACCTAGAGGGTAAAGAGGGTAAAGAAATTGGGTGTCTGTTAGCTTTCACCCGCGAGGCCTGTTTGGAAGTGATTGCGGGAAGTTGTTATTCTCTCGAATGATCGATCCTCAAGGGAAGGTTGTCATTTGTCATCTGCAGGCTCGGTGACCTTGATCGCGTCCTGAAGTCTGGACTTTGAAGCTTGGACAAACGGTGATATTCAAAGCGAGGCTAGAGTACACTGCCAGAGGCGTTCAAATGCCACTGAGGATTTTTAGGTGCTGAGAAATCTGTGGAGCTCGGATTCTCCGGCTCCGTGCGGCAGATGTGGAGGGGAAAGTGAGGGCGTCAAGGAAATCGGCAAGCGGGCCCTCCTTTCACAGGAAAGCTCGAGAATGTTGGAAGGAGGGCTGGGATTTTGCAGCGTAGAAGGATGGATTCTTTAATCCTTTCGAAGCCGGGATCGGACGAAATGCTGGACTTAGATTACTTATACAGGAAAGACTTTTGAAAATTCAAAGAGAATACATGGAGAAAGTCTACAAGGTTTTCAAAAATTGTATCGTAGTTTTCCTGTCAAACGAGTGTGAATGGTATCTGAAATCCAATATTAGAGAAAAGAGAATCCATCTCTACCTTGTAGCGATTTGAAAACTCTGAATCCGGGGATCAGCTATGCAAATGCGCAGCAAAGACAGCCAGACAGAGCATGTAGAATCGATCGGCATCCCAGCAGAGGCCGCGGGCGGTACTTGAAATATCTACCCGTATCAAATGTGTCGACTTTGAAAGCAGCGTCTTCGGCAGCGTGTCTTTGAGTGAGCAGCCAGCCATGAGCCTTCGGAACAGTTAAACACAAGATTTCAAGAAGGGACATATACTGCACGAACTCTGTGCAGATTATGTGATACAAGCCGCAAGTTTAACTCAAGGGCTCGAATCTGCATTAAATAGTTAGACAGACGTTACTTCTTTCGTTTATTGTGTTCTTTCTCACCGAATTTTCTCTGAGGCAGACGTAGTGTTTGTGAATGTAGTCAACAGTAATTTCGTAGTGGCTTCGAAAGCTGATAACGTCAACGAAGTGACACTATGTGAAGAATTTTGTTCTCAGAAACTAGCAGCACGAAGGCCATATTTTACAAGACGCTGAAATCCTTAGCCCGAGACGTGTCCTCGGCGCCGAGATGCTGCGAGCCATTCATCGTACGACGGAGCGTGTTCGCTCGAGCGAGCCTACGCGAGCGTTTGATGACGGCAATTGTGATGTCATGGGAGATATTTCTCACAAGCTCCGAGCACGGAATATTTTCACAGCCCCTAGGCTGTATAAAAAATTCTCCACGACAAGATAAGATAAGACAATGATAAGATGAGGACAAGAGGTGATAAGATAAGACAATGTGGTTTGGCCCTTAGGGCCAAACCACAAGATCTCCTCTCTCTTGAAAGCAATAATTGAACATGGCAATCAATCCACAACGAGAGTTGCCCTCGACGGGAAGACCTGGCTGGCGAAACGTCTACTAGAGCGATTTTCAGGTTTCTGCTTAAGCCTCGCCTTTTGGTGATACTACAACCACAGACCAGCTGCAAAAAACCATGAGTCCTGGTTTTCCTCACCAGCTCCACTCTTGAAACAATCAACAGCAGCTCTGGATCCAACTATAGACCGGACAGAGCAATCCTTCATCGAATGCTGGTCGCGAAGGGCAAGTTGCATTTAATAAGGAAAACCCCCACATCAACAAGCTCTGCTCGAAGCTGCACGGTCACATTCTGGGATCAATCAGTGGCAACACTTCACTGTTCATTAGAAGAAAGTTCGATTGACGTGCTATGTGAGATGCCAGGGCCACCTTTTCAAACGAAGACTTCATAGCTCATCAGAGACGAACAGTGGAAAGTTTCGAACTGCTTATCAGCAGCAAGCTATTAAAGAAGTTTGACAAAAGTTGCAAAGGCTCCCATTCGGGCTAAGTCGAGTAAGAAGTTGCACGAAAAACAGAAGAACATGTGTTTCTGGAGGGACGTAACAGGGACGCATACCCAACCATCACGCTTTCAATGTACATTCCGCTAAGTTTCTGTGATCCAAGCTGCTGCATAGTGATCAAATTCAGGATTGCGATAAGAGAGCTGGCGTGAGTTGAACTGAAGTTGAGACGAGATAATGTATCTCTATCGAATTTCAAATATAAACCTGCAGGAACTCCTACGAAAGTCTGCAGGGAGTAAGCAAGGACATAAGTTGCTGATCTGCGCGACCAATGCAAACCCAACTGCATGCTGCTTTAGGTAACAAAAGATCCACGAGTTACAAAAGGCAGGAGGCCTTTCAATTTTCTACCTACTACAAGCTCAACTGATTCCGTCTGCCTCACTAGTTTGCGAAATTGAATCCTTCGATATTTGTCTTCACCAACCGCAGTGCAGATTTCCAATTCGCGTCCAATCTCGGGACCCCACTGGCAAAATCTTGTTCCACCCCTGCAATAGATCATTTGATAACGTGAAGTTCTCATGTGAGAAGATGAGCTCTTCATAGGCTTTACAGAAATTCCGACGGTGACAAATTCGCTTCAATGGTGCACCCGGCATCTTCCGGACCAAGCTGGGTACGAACAAGACCCCACACCAACTTCCGTCCTTCACATATCCAATCCAACAAACTCGACTGGAAAAATCAACGATAGGAGACTCTGCCCGCGGCGTCAGTGCATTATTTTCACACTTTCTCCATTCCTCCTTTCAGGTATCTCCAGTATCGCTTGTTAACACCACCCATTTTCTCCTCGACACCTGTAGAAGACCGGCAGAAGAGAGAGACTCGTGTGGCACGCAACGGCAGTGAACCCTCGCGTCTTATTGGCAGGCCAATTCCTCCCTTTACCACACAGAAGTTAACGCCAATTTAAGATATCTTAGATAGCAAAGAAATGGATTGTTGCCAAGTACCAGCCACTTCGGTCGGAACCCTGTTTTTCTAGCATCTATCTACTCCATGTGTATTTCGCGCCTTCTTGCATTACTCCTCTAGTGACTCTTCCCATTGCATTGCAATTTGATTGAGACATTTTTCCCTTTTCACTCTCAAGGCACTGCCGGCGGCCGTGTGGTAGAGGTTACGGGGTTATCTCTGGCTGGCCAACTCAGGCATACGAAAACCAAGTTTTCTTCTCGGCAGAGGGTAGTGCCGACAACAGCCTCCGTGGGGCAATTGGAGATATTACATTAAACTTTACCACACTGCCAACTAGGCCTCGGCAAGGTAACCTTGTAGTGTTACCCAGTAAAAGGTAGAGGTAAATGAAGAGGTTTGGCTATAGGGTAACGTGAAGGTTGAGCCATATGGGTTACTTGGTATTTACCGGTAATCCTTGTAATGTGGACACTCTTAGAATCAAAATTATTGAAAATGTAACTCTGCACATTCTACTGAAACTATCTAGGTAAACTGTACTAAACAAGTAAAGTACCTTTACCTTTTACCCTTTAGCGCAGAGGTAATGGGGTAATTACCTGGTAACCCTAATACTTTAATCTTTAGGGTAGAGGTAATAGGGTAATTATGTAAAAGTAACTTTTAAACTTTTAAGAATCAGTATCAGATAACCCAATAATTACCCTAAGGTAAAAGTAAAAAGTAAAGATAGATATAGTGACACGAGTAAGATAAGAGGTAGAGATCATGGCTTAACCGATTATCTTTTACGTTATCTTGCCGAGGTCTACTGCCAACAGTGCCTTCGTAGGTACCGACATATATCTAGTGAAGGAGTCCCAAGGAGAAATAACGTGAGAATGCGCTAAAGTACACTTGGCAGCAACCTCAGTGCGGCAATTGGAGATATTACATTAAACTCTACCACACTACCAACAGTGCCTTCGGAGCTACCGACATATATCTAGTGAAGGAGTACCAAGGAGAAATAACCTGAGAAGTCGCTAAAGTACACTTGGAGTGGTTCGATTCGAAATGCCAATATAATTCGCAGCAACCTATCTTTTTCCACTTAGGATATTTTAAATCTTCGTTCACTCCCTTGTGATAAATGGTGACCTGGCCTGCCAAGGACCGAGGGTTCATTGTCATGTGGCTTGGCACTAAGTAATACATAAGGGATTTACAGAATATCCATCCGGGGAATGCCTTGTGAGGTTATGACTCCAACTCTACTCAGAGGCTACTATTTCAGGACCCGCACGCCTCCCTTCCACGTGGTGCTCCTTGGAGCATGCTGACTGAGTAAATGTTCCCGTGCTTTGTGCACTCCGCGATCGAGCTCAGCAATCAGTTCTCTGGGCTTTTCCCTTTTCGCCACCTACAGGTAGCTGTTACAAAACTTAGATTGTCAACAGATTCTCTCATGGTATGCTTGAGCTTTTTTTACGAATCGAGTTGCAACGATAGACAATAGCTATCTAAAAATCGCTCAGAGTTAATGAAAAAAATAGCTGCACGAGTTGAAGGAAGAAGTCGGTACACTTAAACCGTAATTAGCTCTAATTTTGAAACCTCTTTTCGGACACGCTCTCGGGCACTCAAGCAAGCGCCATAGCGTGCACATGCCTGGTCAACTCGGAACATTGTGAGAGATCAGATTCGAGGAGCCATATTTGTGAAAAACCGCTTCAGATTTTTTACGTAAATTTCATAAATAGTGCCACGCTAATTTCAGCATGTGCAGAAACATGCTTCCAGCTTGCCTTCGCTGTGTCCTTGACGTAGCTCCCTCTATCGTACTGGCTAAGCTCTGAGCAAAGTCGAGAACTGCAAATTACTGTGTAAATTGTGAACCGTCATAAAGAAAATCAGACTTATTTGCGTCCTCCCCTTCCGAACCCTTTGCAACGTAAGTCATTTTTACATTTTCAGCTGCTTAATTTACAACTTGGAAAGAAATCCCCTCTCTCTAAGGCTTGCCACACATTCCTCAAGACTCTCCTCCACGGAAGTGAAGTGAACGCCTAGCTTTTCAGCTTTCTCCTGATTTAGGTTGTAAGTCTTTACTTTCGGCGCTGATCCGCTCAATCTGATCCCAAAAACATCAAGACATTTGTCAGTGCAGAAGACTCGTATATAACAAAAAGTCGTGCGATGACGACTTTTTGTCGACATTGTGACGATCCATCAATCGTCACAATGTCAAGAAATAACGACGTCGAGATGTTGAGCCCAAATTACCGACGCAAGAGATCTTCATCACGGTTGAAAATCACGACAGACGTCCAACTACACCTTTTTTTCAAAAAATCACATGCACATGCGAGACAAGGAAGTTACTGGGGTAACAGACTTCAGAACTCCACTAATACGTAGGGTAAGAAAGCATACTTGGAGGGAATTGGATAGCCTGGGCAGATCTTCTTCAAATGCTCTGTTATATCCTCGTAGTGCACGACCCTGTTCGACAAGATATACCGACCTTCTGCTGAGGGCGTCTCATATGCCAACACATGAGCTAAGGCCGTGTCTTTCACATTTACGTAGCCCAAGGCAGCATTGGGGTACTCCTTCACCACTCCTGCCATTGATAAAGCCAGATTTCTTTCAGAATCCAACAGCAGAGAACAGTCATGCTTCCAGTGAAACTGTACCGTGATAGTAGGAATGTATTTCGAGTATTCATCATTTAAGTATTCTCAAGCGAAGAATGATGCTGATACCTGGAGGGCGTGGAAAACTGACTGCTATGAAAATTTTATCAAGGATATTAGATAAGAGTCCTCTTAACAAGCTCTTACCAGTAATCATATCGAGGATAATCTCAGTGCTGGTATTTAAGGTGTTTTGCAGGAGTGGACCAATCACCATTGCCGGATTCATCACCAAAAGATCAAAGTCTTTATCCTTCACAAAATCCCACGCTGCTTTTTCGGCGAGTGTCTTCGAAACGTGATACCACAACTGTATACAAGCCCAGTAAGTTTGTTAGTCTTTTGATCATTGCTCCAACAACGTCCAACTTCTTACATAACAATTAACCCTTATTTTTATATATTGCAAATTTATGATACGGATTGCTTCAAACAGTTAGTCTAGAAGTCTTGTGCTTCAACAAACCTAATGTATGATAGCTCAAACTCACCAAGACCATTTAAATCTGCGTTGAAAATGAGGCTCCAAAGTACCTGAATTTCTTTGCAGTACTCTGGATCACTCCACCAGCTTTCATCTACGGCCACCTCTGGACCCCTTGGTTTGTTGTTGTATACTACTGCAGCAGTTGAGGAGGTAAGGACCACGCGTTTGACACTCTTAGTTTTTGCTGCAGATTTGAGTACGTTCAAAGTTCCCTTAATAGCAGGGGATAGAAATTGCTCCTGCATATTGAAACATCTTATTCGTTAGCGATTACACCTTATGCAAAATGAATAACATCCCGCGTAGTAAATCATGTCATAAGCTGATGTTACTGATGGTCTCCCGGAAATCAATTTCGGAACTAGTAAGAAAAGAAATTTTCAAGCAAAAATACGAATGACTTAAGATTCTTATGAATGTGTTTTTTTAAAACTGAAAGTTATACGACTTTCTGCATCGACGATGATACTCTGATGCTCGGAAACACGCATCACAGGAATCAGTTCAACTCGCTGAGCTCACTATCCTAGTCTCAACTGAGTGGCTAGTTTTATAGCAGGTATCTCTCAAAGGGAGTACAGTAGCGATATGCGCAGAGACAGTGCAACAAGATGGGGTTGGAGACCCTCGTAGCTTAAAAGCGTATGCATTTCTGCCAGAAGACTGAAAATACAGTTTGGTCGGCATAATTCATTCCTCAGAGTGACAAAACAACGCCATTCATTGCCCAAAGGCATATGCATATGACACGACTAAAGTTTTGACAGCTACCGAACAATTACGAGTTTACGTCCCCTATCTTTTATTAAGAATTTCCAGGATTTGGCCCCAACCTCTGGATCGGTGATGTTCTTCATAAAAAATGGCGAAGCGGTGTGGAAGACTCCATCAGCACCGTCAACAACCTCATCATAAGCCCCTTCTGTCAACAGGTCTGCTTTGCTAAGAATCAACCTTTCTTTCGCCCCCGGCAGCTCCAGCAGGTGGCCCACCTTCTTAGTATCATCTGGGTTGAACAGCACCACAGGGTATTACACTCGCGCAAGGCCACTGAAGCCCAAGGCCACTCAGATCCTCCGGATACCATGTTATATCAAACGTACGACGAGAAAGGCCACTAATTCAAGCAACTCTGCCTTTCACTCGGTTTCAAGTAATGTGCAGAATCTAAAGATTCCCCGCCAAGTAAGGGAGAACCCATTGACGTACTGAGCAGAAGTTTGAAATGTAGATAACAATTTTCACAGAATTGCGTTTCAACAGTATGAGTTCAGGCTTCTGTTCTACACAAATGTCATTCTGTCTGCTAAAGTTGCAACACATCTCACTCTTAACCAGAATGAGGAACAAACCATTTAGTGCTACCGAAGTGGTAGCTTGACACTGCTACTAAAAAGGAGTGCCCTCGAGGGTTCTCCAAACACGTGCTAGAAATACTAGAAAGAGGCAGACCGGGGGTAAGTCACTAAAGTCAAAAGCATCGTCATCTCAGCATATCCACTGGTCGTTTGAGAAACGTCATCGACATCATAACTGACCGAATTATGCCATCTTGGAACCAAAATTCTAAATTGCACGAGCTGACAATTGTCTGACACAGCCAAAATATCCTGCAATGCCCAGCTCGTTGACGGAGCACTAAAAAAATACTGGACCGTGTGAGACTGAAGGTCCACATCGTAATTGCTCGAACAGGACATAAGGAACAGGAGAAGGAAGAAAATTTTCAGGAAAACGCCTACAAGACAAGAAATGCTTCTCTCGGTCGCTGCTCTGGTACTACAATTACAGGCGAGAGGGCCCATCCTGAAACAGAATTATAAATTTCCGCTCTCCCGGGAAGAGAATCACAGATCGATCGATCACAAACCTGGGTTGCGAACAGTTCCACGCACGGTGTACCCTCTTTCGAGCAGAAGCTTGACAACCCACGAGGCGATGAACCCGTTAGCTCCCGTCACTACGACGGTCTTGCCCACTCCCTCCGCCATCTCGCTGTCTCGTCTCCTGCTGCCCTTGAGTCGAAGCCTTCCTCCAACAATCTGCAATCTTTGTGTCGGATCGGAATCTAAGCAATTGTTTCAAAGCCCGCGAGATGCTGGCAACAAAGTGCGTCCACGAAGCGTACCCGGAACGAACCAACGCACTACTCACTCTGGGTCTCGGTGTTAAACGCACAGCGAGCAGCAGCTTTGAGTTAGCGGAGCAGAGCAAGCGCTCAGCGCAATCGACGGACTGCGCTCTGCACCAGTCGAAGCAGCATGCAGGGCCAATCATTGGACCTCTGCGTCGCTTTCTATATATGCAAAGTATTTTTGCCTGGGCTGTTGCAGACGGTACGCACTTTCTGACGTGCTCGGCACTCACGTGCTGGAATCTCGACGCCACGACGCCCTGCTCAGCAGCAGCATCTGCAGCTGAACAGGACGGAAAACGTTTTTCGTGTCTGTTATCGGACGTCACCAGAAATTATGATTCCAGAGCCCCATGAAACCAACAATCTTCTTTCTACAGAACATCGTCGACAAAATATACGCAGTCAAACCCGGATAGGCATATTTGTGTGACGACCATTTCTTCGAGAAATATTATTATAAAAGTCATAAACTGCAATAACATTATTATAATATTGACTTTTATGCCTTTAAAACACAATGTATAGGGATAACTGGGATGTAGGATACAACTCCAGGTGAAAGACGATTACAAGGATCATCTTTTATTTACTTCGAAGAGCAATAATATTGTAAGTCAGAGATGATCGTGAATTCAATCAATGTAAGACGAAGGATCTTCAGTGCTTGAAATCATCTTGAGTGATCAGCGTGATGATAATCTTGTAAATGACAACATCTTGTACCTTGTAAAACATAAAGTGTGGCTTGTTCTCACAGAGAATGAAACTACACAATATCGCTTTTGGACATGGAATTAGGAAAAAAAGTATGACATAAAGTATGGTCAAATTGCAAAGTGAAACTTCAAAGATAACTTTATGAAAGAAGAGATTAATCCTTATGATTCGATTATTTCTCAAATTATTTCATGTGATGCAATTTAGAATCTGTGAATGTAAAATATTAGAATACTCTGTATATTGTGAATCTAAATTTTTTAAACCAATCAATTTTTAAAATTTGGATTTTAATCTATTAGTCTTTCTTCTGATCATGGCATAATCGTTTACTTTTTGAAAAATTTAATTATTTCTTTATATCTACTGCATAGTATTTATTTTATTTGTAATTATAATTATTTTTAATTAATTTCATGTTAATTTTTTCAACAAAATTTCTTGCATTTCAGTGTTTACATAATATGTCTATGTTTAGGTCAAGTGTTTAGATTAGAAATAAAACCTTGTTAATTCGACATATATTACATATTCAAATTCATTTTCAAAACTAAATAAATGTAATCAATTAAGTAATATTTAAATTTTTGTTGTAAATGAAAATTTTGAACATGTTTTTTATATCCATTGAAGATTTAAAAGCAAATAGAGTGATGTTAAAATTGATATATAATTTTTTAATATGATATTTTTATATTTTATATTGATATTTGAAAAAAAAATCTTTAAAGATATATTGACATATTTGTACAATTTTCATGAAATTTAAATATATTTTGAAAAAATTGAATTCATCAGCAAAAAAATTACAATGCAAATCTGTGTCCAAAGTCAAATTTATTGAACTCAACTGGTAAATTTATTTATATATATATCTTGACTTTAATCTACATAGTGAATTAATCACAAACATGTTTTTAGCTTAATAAACATTATTATCCATACAAATTAGAATTGAATTTTTTTGACTAATTCATATTAAACTATTATCTTGTAATACTCAAACATCTTAAATTATAGCTAAAAAATTAAGATCAATTTTGTACATGACAAATATGTGTATTAGATCATTGTATTGTTTGACATTTCTATTAACAACTAGAATGAATCAAATTAATTTTTATGAAAATACTACAAAAGAAGATTCCTTGATCATTAATGAAAGATCAAATTAACAATTTTTTGATTTAATGTATTAAAGTTTTAGTAATTCTAAAAAAAATTCTGAAAGTAAATAACAAATAACTAATGCAAAAGAAAGACAAAAATAAAGTATTCCATGTTTTCAAAGTGGAAAAAGTTTTATACAACATATTCAATTTCAGCAAAATTTACTATTGTTTCCAAAGAGTTGAAATAAATTCATTTGAAGATTAAACTGCACATTTATATATCTTGTAATCAAACTAGACCATTTTTGAATCATTGTCATTCATACTATTTGCTAAAAATTATGGTGAAAATCATCACGTTAAATACTTAATTAGATGAAATTTCAATAATCAACCATGAACTTTCACTCACAAGCAATTGAAATTGAAATATTTGCTTGATGGTACCCATCAAGTTTCGTTTTACCTGACAGGATCCCACCGACGGTGTGCCGTCGATGAGCTCTAGTAAATGTTCTAATCTCATGACTTCATTCTTCAGCTGCCCCGGCCTACGCCGAAATTTTCTTGATTCTCGCCAGATTTCTGTGTAAATTGACTCTGTGAGCAAATCATTCATGATTTAGGGTTTGTGAGTGAGGCGTTGTGGTTGCTCCGAGTTTAGTTGGCCTGAGAGCAATCGTAAGGCGCGAGGAGAAGAGGTGTCACTGAGGTTTGAGGAGATTTTCTGTTTGTTGATTGCCAAACCTTTAATTGTTGTGTGGGCGTATTGTCTGGAAGTAGCACCATGTCTTCCCCAAGCAAGCGGCGCGAGATGGAGTTTTCCACTGTACACTTCAAGTGTCTCATTGGACTAGGATCTAGTAGTGTAAATGACTCACGAAGTCACCATCTGTTCATACTAGAACATTTTGACGTGTGCAGTCGTTGGGTCCCATCGGGTAAAACGAAACTTGATGTGTCCCATCAAACAAATATGTTGTTGAAGAAGTCCCATCAAGCAAATATCTCATTTAAATTTGATGAAGAAGTTAGTAGATTATTCACATCAGGAGAAAAAAATTAAAACAATAGGTATGTTAAAGTGAGGAAATTACTTGATGGTACCCCAAGGAAAATGCAATAAACTTGATGGGATACCCTCAACTGCCACAATAAGCGATGTTCCAATACAATCTGGTGTTTTTGCGTAGAAAACTCTTGGCGTTTTTTCAGATGCATTTATGGCAAACCCTATCAGGAGAACTTCAACATCATGGTGACCTTCGCTTTCTGAGACTAGTTCGAAACATATTTCAGAAAGCAACGCTGAGAACGAGCCATCAAATTACACTTTAGGGACAGAGTATTTTGGCATAGTGGAGAGTGGCACACATTCTACTCATAATGCAGGTAATATTCATGTTATGAGAACTTTTATTAGATCATGGTTAAAGGTGACTTCCATGGCATTCGAATTAATGATCATCGGATAAAATGAAACATGTTGGATGCCATCAAGGAATTTGAGTTACAAGGAGCAAGTGATGTAACTTTTTTTAAAGATTACACAAAACTGCTAATTTGAAATTACAATTATGTCACTCAAAATTACGAAGAAATATCTTGTAATATCTTTGGGTGATTGGAAAACTCATAATTCTTAAACCAAGTAGATCGAACTGTTTATACAAGAGTTATGTGTTTCGAAAGTTAAGTCCACACAGAATTTACATTGTTCATATTTGGAAAGGTTTGGTGTCTAGGAACACAAGATCTTTCTCTTAGAATCCGATAATGAAGTAAATACTTGAATGAAGTATTAACAGAAAGAAATATATATATATATACATATATAAAACATGACATACAAACCTACATATATTAATATATATATCTATAAATATCGATAAAGGTTAGAATTGCTAAAACTCCAAGAAGTATGATGAAATTTACTCTCGGTTTAGTGTACGGATGGATGTTGCATGCTTCAAGTGCAAATATTAACTTAGACTAAACGTAGACAAAGTGTGAAGTTCACGTGAGCGCACTCTACTGGATCTGAGCTTCCATTGAACCCATCGAGCTCATTTTGCCGGTCCCACTTTGTATTTGACCAGTATAATTCCCGGCCGTGAAACGTCAGGTTTCCTAACTCGGAGAGAAGACATTTACACATCCGAAGGAAATCCCGCCAATTTCAGTCTTCCGAAAACCAAGCCACTCGGTTGAAATATTCAGTCTCAAGAGAAATTGCGACCGTGCTGTGCTGTGCTGTGCTGCCCGCGGCGAGAAAAGCTTCAATTTGCATTTTGTCGGGAAAAGACGGGGAAGCAAGCAGAAGAGTCTGCCATGTCGTGCCTGGAAGTTAAGTCTACGATACCGACTCCAGCCGGTAATTCGCAGTGAGACGCCGGCAGATGCATTTGTGGGGGTCGTGAGGATCACCCACCCACCCACAATGGGGAACGAAACGCGCCAGAAGCTTTCCCTTTGGGGAAAGCTACGGCAGAAACCCGTTGCAGTAGGCGCCTAATTCTGGGGCCTGAATCGCCCGCCACCAAGGGGACGAAGGCAGCTGGACTGCGCACGAGTGAGGGGAACAAGAGACCGAGAGAGCTGTTGTCTGAGATCTGCCACCAGAGCTCCGCCGCAGCTCAGCTCGTGATCCGGCGCGGAGATTCATTCGCGGCGGGAGGGCAAGTCAAATCGCTGCACTTTTTGAGCACCTTTGGCACTCACTGGTCCTGTCTTTTGCCCGCCATTTTAGCGAGAGCGATTGTTTCAACTCGACAGAAGCAATTTCTCGGGGTTTGGTGTGCTCTTGTAGCTTTTGAAAGGCGGTGGAGGATTCATTTTCCCCGGGAGGAGTTGGCGACCAGTGCTTGACTTTCTTACGACGCTAGAAATTTCTGCAAGTGAGGTACTTTGCTGGGACAACCATGAAATTACGATGGGCAAGTTTTCATTTATTGAATTCTCGGGAGTTTCCAACTTGCGAGAAGTCATCCTGTGTAGTGCGAGCATGAGGCACTGATTATTGTCGAAGGCGTCTTCCTGAGGGCCTTTTTGGTTTGGGCGTGGATTTGGACATTCGCTGACAAATAGACGCTCATCGGCGAGGTAGAGATGTGTAGCATCATCGCATGGATTCCAGTTCGGGAAAGTGTTTTAATTCAAACGTGTCTGGTTTGACTTAGGAAGCAGAAATCGAATCACATCATGTAATTTTGTGTTTTCAATGCGCAAGTTTGCGTAACGAGTAGTGGGCGTCTTGACTAAATGAGCTGGAATAGGGTTGTAGATATGAAGACATTGTGTGTAGGATTGACACTGACAAGATTTGGCTGTGTAATCACTTCACGAGCAGAGTTCACGCTGAAAGACGTCCACGTAGAGTAACAGCAATCAAGAGCTTTCCCAATCTACTCTGCTCTCGGGTGGGGAAAAGGCTGGTCACTTGTGACTGAATCGGAAGGAGTCGCTAATTTAAATTTTGGTAAAATGGGAGGAAATTCTTTATTTTCTGGGCTGCCTGCTCCTGCTCCTCTTCCCAGTGACCCCGTGGATCCTTCTTTGATACGGCCAGAACCTGTACCTCCAGGGCCATCAATCCTAGCGTCTGCAGCTTCGGCGAAACGAGCTGCTGAAAAGTCCGGCAAGGAAGGTAATGGAAGGAGAGAGTAAAAGCGGCTCCGTTTCTCTGTCTCATTTGTGTAAGAGTATCATGTACAGGGCTGCTTTGCTGGCTACATGCTAAGAATTAACGCATGTTGTTTGTATAGCAGGGGCTAAGCGAGTGCGCTTTCAGAGTAATGAAGTAGAGGCAAGTGAAGAGCAGGTTCTAGGAGCAATCAGCAAAATTGCTTCTCATATAAGTAATCCAACAAAGTTTTCGAAGGCTTCTAAACTTGCAATTCAGCTTTTGCAAGGAGAGATATTGCAAAAGTCATCTGATGTTGCAGATGCATTCTTTGAAATTTTAAGAGCCGCTATGGCTTCACCATCTCAGGCCGTTAACATGAAACTGTGGGCAGATTACCAGACTTTGTTCAAGGGTGTGCAAGACAAACTCGAGGTATAGGATTAAACGTCCATCTCAGGGCATGCCCGCCGTTACTGACTTCAAGTCCTACATCCGCACCGGCTTTTTTGTAAACTAGTTGGTAACTTAATGTCACATATTTGTTTCGAAAGTATGGAAGCAGGCCCTGATTTATAGTTGTTGCTTCATCATTTCAGCAAGTCGTATCAGAGCCATATTGCGTACAATAAAGGATTACACTGCTTGACGCTTTCCTGAAGGAAATGAGGTCACTTATGGACTGATGCATATTGACTTGCAGGCATTTGATGCTTCTCAGCAAGCCCAAATAGAAGTTTGGGAGTTGTGGGCAAATCTAGCCAACGAGTTTCGCACAGACGACACCTATGTGGTACGCAGTCACTGCCCAGAGCTTGTTCACAGGCTCTGCTGTGGACTTCAGCAATATTTGCCTTATTTCCAAGACCACAAATGATGATGTCGCAAGATAAGTCTAGGGGTAAGTGTTGGTCGTGTCGAGATGGCAAATATGGCTAGTATGATCTGGTAACTCCATGCTCGAATATGTACATTTTCTTTTTGCAGTTTTCCAAAGCTGCGTCACGTGTGCGTCAGTCCATCGATTCTCTTCCGGAGGCCACAGAAGAAGATGAACTAGCACCCGAAGAGATTGACACAGGCTCCGGGGACCTGTGTGGGCCCGATGCTTCAAGTAACAGAGGTGCGAATAGTGTACCGATGAAAGCAGACGATGGTAGAGAGAGCGAGTCTTGTGAGCCGGTTGTGGAGAGTGACCCCTTTGGCCTGAATGCGTTGTTGCCAAGGCCGTCTAAAAAGGAGGAAAGAGCCCGTAGAAAAAGGGACGAGGAAGCGGCCAGCAAGAAAGCTCAGGAGGATGCCGCGAGGATGCTAAGAGAACAACGGGAGGGTCTACTAGCTTGTCTGAAACTTGCGGCAGATCACTACAAACTGCCTTGGTAAGGACAGTCAAATTCGCTGCTTGTGTTTGATGCTAACGTCAACGTCCTAGGTGTGAGCGAAAAGTCCCCTTGAAGAAATCTGCATGTCAGAAGGACATTTCGTACATTACTGACATGAATCCGTGTGTGTGAGCACCGTTCAGCGCGGTGACTGTGGTCATCTCGAGCGTTGATGACTGGCAGTAAAATGCTGATGAGTGTTTTCTCTACGTCGCGCAGGGCCCAGACGATCATAGACATACTCGTCAAACACGCCTTTGAGAAGCTGAGTAAGTTCACTGTTCCTCAACGGAAAGCAGTAGAACAGCTGTGGGGTTCTATTCGAGAGCAACAATCACGACGGAGGCAAGGCAAGTCAACAACTGGAAAACTCGATGTGACCCCCTTTGAGCGACTACAGAGCCAATACGCAAATGAGCGGATAAGCATTAGAAGGGCTGTTGGTTCCAGTGGTGAACGGTCTGCTGAACAATGGCTCGGTTAAGCTGCAAGGTATGGTGCCGGATGGTACTTACTTTGAGATAGTAAGTTTTGTCCTTTTCCTTACCTTTATTGGTATTACCGTTCAAGCGCAGATGAATTATGGGATTAATGGATCATTTGCTACTTTGGATCGAAAAAATACTATGTGGGGTGGATTCTGAGCTGATTGCTCCTTGTAACTTTATCTCAAGCTTCACACACGCACCTTTTCCTTTCCTCAGTTATATTACTTGTAATGATCTGTAAAGTCCTCACGAAAACCTTAGTCACAGTTGTTACACTGCGAGGTTCTTCAGAAAATCTACTAGGACGAACGTCTGAATTTAAACTGCACATCTTTCTTCCTGGTAATCAGAAGGGGACAAGATGTGAAGGGTGTTCTTACAGGGCTTTCTGAAGATGCGTCTGTTGTTTGCTGCAGGTCTGCTTGGCGGCACTCTCATTGGATCATCTGTGTCGACACTTTCATCAGCAGAAAATACTGGTGACTGACACATCAGCTTTTTTCCAGTTTGGTCCTCATTTAATCAGTGCTTACAGGATCAAATGGGAGGGACTCCACTTTTCGACCTTTCACTCACAGAAACATAATTAAAAAATTGGGGTCCCTTCACTGTCTGCTGCTACACATCTTCATGTCCTCGGTTCATTCACTGTCAACAACAAAATCAGCCAAACAGCAGAAATGTGTAGATTTCCGCCTAATTATCTGCTATCCAAGTTCCTGCTAACCGTTAAACGACTTGTCCTGTGCTCAGGACCTACAGATGCCATTAACGTTTGCAGCTGTAGCAAGAAGGGCTTGTAGAGCCTATTTCTCTTATTCTTCGGTCATTTGACAACGATGATCATTTATACATGGTATGGTATTCCTCTTCCTAGACACATGGCCTTCATGTTTTAGCTGTCAAACACTCATCCAGACTCTCAGTTGGTTATGCCCCTCAGAAACCTTACCTAAGTAGTTCACATAGAAGCCCAGCCGCATGTTCTTTGTTTCATCTCAACTATAACTTGTTGGTCATTTGACGTTTTTTTTTCTTTTTCTAATCTGATTTGAAGTACCAATAACTGTGATTCATTCTCTTATTAGATTAGGCTTCTTACGTCCAGCGGACCATGATCACATCCACACTAGCAGCTTCAATTATCTACCAGCTTACCGAAGGCAATGAAGAGTTTTGTGCAGATGGCGGCCAAATCCTTGCAGTTAGCTTTTTCTAGCCGACTGAATTATTTACAAGACTAGATATTATGGTTAGACTTGAAAGGGCCAGATGCCACGCTTGCTTGTTCGTGGCTCATGATATTTAAGTGGACGACACCATTACAGTCCCATGTAGAAGTTCAGTGAAAAAGCACATAACTCATGGGATGAGGATCTCTTTTTAGTGTGGCAGCTTAGTCCATGCACATAATTTATTGATCAAGTTCATAGGTAAGTGGGTGCCATTGGACTAGAGAATATGTAGGAGGAAAGTTCACACGAAATTGTAAATGCAAACTATATACGGAGTACATGGATCAGTGAAACGTTTACATGTTTGGTTCAAGCTGTCCAAGCGCGTAAAAGCCTTTCTTTGGTTACATCTTCCAATAATGCATGAACTTCGATTGATGAAACTGTCGGGGTCATCAGTTTGTACAAAAATAACACTTTTTCAATGGTCCAAAATTTGTTCAAACTTTTTACAACTACAACACGATGAGTGTAGCCAGTTCTTTATGCTTGGAAATAGGAAAGTCTATGTCAGCGCATCATTAGCACCAACTTCAGCACCAAAGCCATGAAAGCTCGTAGGTCAACCCTGCAAAATGATTGCCAGTCTGGGTTGAACATATTGGGTGGTGAATTATATCGCAGATTGTAAACCGTCCTTTTTGACGTTTTCCACCTGTATGATATACAACATTAAAATCTGAACCTGCTCGAGCGAAAAGTGAACCAGAACCACCAGAGATCCCTTTGACGCAATATTGTCTTACTACGTCGGATCCATTCTTCCTAAAAATACCCCTTAATGCGTACCAAGAGAGCTTTAAAGTGAAAAGAGGTTGGAAGCAAAAATTCGTCTTGTGTATGAACTCACATACATACGTGCGAAATTTTTGCATGAAATTTATTAAACTTCAACAGTGTGCACAATAAGGTATAAGGCTATACTCTACTTTCTCATGACAACGAACAATGATGAAAGTTGCCCTCTTTTACGTGGATTGCAACAAACCTGTATGAACCTCCCAAGTCCCTGAACAATGATAAAAGGTGCCCTTTTTTACATGGATTGTAACAAAGCTGTATGAACCTACCAAATCACTGGGTTTCATACCTTAGGTCTGCCACTTCCCGCCTGCATATATAGAAACAACGTCCATTTCTTCCGTTCCGTATCAATTATTTTTGAGGTCATTGATGTGGGCAGCTCTTTGAACTCAAGATAGTGCAAATCGGTTTTTGCTGCTGACAAGTACAGTACTTACCTGCTCATGGACGTTGTGAACATCGGATAATCGAATTTTCCTGTACTGACAAGATAACTTTTTACATGTATTATCCACTCGGCTATCTTGTGTGGGCGGAGACATACCTCTTCATCTAACCTAGGCGCACACTGTGTATATATATGTATATTGTATTCAGGGGTTAGGACACCTGTTCAGTGCAATGCATTAACTCCTCAGCATCCTTCCACGATTCTGATAGTAGTATAGAATTATACTGTAACTCGAATCTTGTCGATTGATCATTCACCGAGACACAACCTGGGTAGCACATTGTTAGTACATCTACTATAGTTTTACTCTAGAACTGAGTCTGTTAGTCGCTACCAAGCTCGTTTTACGTAGGAAACGTTATAAAGGTGAAATATTCTTTCAAAAGCCCTTTCTTCAACATTAATTTTACCGGGAAAGCTTAGGCCATGAAGATAATAAATATCATACGCATTCATACAGAATACAGAACACATCTGGCTTGTGATAAATTGTAATTTTGTAGGGCAATTCTACTCACTTAGATTAGTGTTCAAAAATGGTAGACAAGGGTTGATTCTAAGCAGCCCGTGACTAGGTGTGCCGGGCAGAACACATGCAAGGATTGGTAACAAATATTCTGAGTTGGATGAAGCGTACGTTCTTAAACTAGGTAAAATCTTCCGAAGCTTCAGCGCCGCTGATTGAACAGCTCTTGTCGTTGGAATATCGTACCAGCTAAGGTAGCAAGCCAGCAACGTTTTGTACATGAGAGCATCTGAACCAGCTCTTCCCTTACTGCCTACATTGACCTCTGCAGGCCATTGTGCTGTATTGAAGTATTTGACCAGGTCAGGTGCTAGAATTTTTGAAGATTCTGTCGCATCTGTGCCAAAGAATTTTGAAAAGCTGAGTACATCCTCTACCTTCTTGGCCAAGGCCGCAAGAAAGTTATGCTGCACTAAAGGCTCGCCTGAACTTTCTTCATCTTCTTTTATTACCTCGCAATAGGAAAGTGCCACCTGATGGATGGAAAATAAGAGAAAGCTTGTCAGTATTGAATATTCCGTCAATGAACCTACTCGTGACTGGTTCACACATGTTCGGTGCTGGGAGTTCACATTCTAGCACCTAGTGGTAACCTAAAGTACACAACATCCTGCGACAAGCTCCTCCAGGGGCTAATATCGACATCAAGTTCGGTACCCATACCTTTAGACTAAATAAGGAAAGCGGATCACTGCATATACTGGTGATGGAAGTCCCTTGACCTGCTGCATGAGCAACTAAAGCCTCCACGGTTGTGTAGAGGGTCAGATAAGTCTGCCGTCGAGACACCAAAACAGAAATTAGTCAGAAAATTTGATGATGTAGGCTGACACGGTTTGATGCAGCGTTAGTGAATATAAACTTTTGCATTTAAATATAAGAATCGTTCATCAGATGCAAAGATCGTTATGTTCGGCTAGTCTATTGACTGTCTAACCTGCAGAAGGGCGGGGCGATCTGTGCTGACGCTCTCAAACAGAGCTGTCAAACAAAAGTCTTCAAACTCATTTGCAGTTCTGTAAACCACATTGTAGAAAGTGAATTCCATGTCAGAAATTTAGAACAATCAAATATCAATACGGCAAACCCTTCTAAGGAAGTCTTATGTCCAAAACCATCATAATATACCCAAACCAAAGTACGAGTTCGCCTAAAAAGTGTTTCCAATAATTTGGCCGCAAATGAGACCACCAATAGGAGTGATGTAAATTAATCTAAGAGTCAGAGTAAAGCAATAACTCAGTTATAGTAAATATGTATATTGAATTGACGGTGAATTTACAAAAGTAAATAGCAATTAACTTTCGGGTTAGTGTTATCTTGAAATAGTTACTTTGTGGCTAAAAAGTTCTCAGCCGCTATAATTTAGGATATCAGTAGTGTGTGTCCAGTCTCAAAGTTGGGTCTTAAAATTGTTTTTATTTCTAAATTTATTAGTAGAGCAGAAAATCAGGAAAGTTCACATTTTGTGTACACATTACCTTAGGTACTAATCATACCATGAAGTGGTAGATTGCTGAAAAGTGGAAGTGTAGTCAGCACTCTAGCTGAACTTTAATCCAAAGGTGGTAAGTGCTATCCAGAGTCTAATATTGGTGTTGCTTCTCGATGCTAGGGTAAGGGGGTGTGATAATGAGTTATAGCAAGTGCAAGGAGGTGTAAAGGACTTACTGTGGCCAAACACAGTAAGTCATGCACACCCTGTTGTACTTGCTATTAAATAATCATACTTATAAATCATATCATCCTGAGTTTGAAAGTTATAAGCCCACATCAGGGTAGAGAGATTTACAGAGTTGAGAAGGTGAACAAATTCAACTATAGAAGATGTTTCAAAAAATGGAGGAGATAATCAAATTACATGGCCATTGGAAATACTGCAGATCTTTTCATCTCTTCAGCAGAACTCTTCAGCAGGGTTCTGATGAAGAGTTTTGCTGACGAGATGTTTGAACTAGTCATGTTGTCGCTTTGAGACTCTTGAGGTATACTCTCAACCATGTGGAAGATGTTCCTATACACATGGGTTATCTGTTCCAAGTTAAAATTTGTGACCAAGATTGGTTTATTTTCAGATGCAAGGTTAAGGTAGACATTTTTGCCCACCTTAATCTTACATCTTCAAGTAATCCAACTTTGCTCATAGATTTCAACTTTGACCAGGTACCCCGAGATATCTGAAAAGTCATCTTTGTGGATCACATAATCACACTCATTTTCAAATGGTATAGTAGTAAACGCAAGGGTTTCGGGTTAGAACTTCACATGAAAATGTCATATAAAGGTTGGTTTGTTGAAACTTTTCTATCGTTAGAAAACAAGCAAATCTTCCACTCACTAAGCACCGGTAAAGGCTATTTTGATGTGTATACAACAGACATTGTGTAGTTAGAGAAGTCTCACTTGCTGTTTCGAGAGAAATTGCACAGAAGCTGTGCAAACGCGAGCATGCTTGGATCTCCGGAGAACGTGCTGACAAGCTGATCTACCTTCGACATTTGGAGACCGTCTCCAGCCATGCCTCTAGCTTCAAATCTTCCTCCCTCGGAATCCTGATAACAAGCCAAAAATGGCAGAAATGATAGATGTCGTGCTTTGAAAAGGTAGACTTCTGAAATAGTAGATATGTTACAGAAACGGGGAAAGAACATCACAAACCTTTTGAAATGCTCTAGAAAGAAGAGAGCGGCAACCAATCGGGTCATCAGCGTAAGAACATGCTCCAACCCTTCTTTTCACATACAGCATTCCACCGTTGAACGGATCTCCAGCTTCTCCAGGTTCCCACCAAGCTTGGTCTACATATGAGGACGATGCATGCGAATAACGACAGACAGATAACTTAATTCCAGAAAATAAAATGGAGACAGGTCTAAAACCATGACCTGCTAACGAATTAAAAGAAGCTATGAAACCTTCATTTGAAACCCTATTCACCTGTTATTGGAAGCTTAATGTCTTGAGGCCAGTAACGAGCTCCACTCACTCGGACGCGCATTAACTGCGAACGATAACTTTTCAGAGTTCAGTTCTTCCATACCACCTACCTCAATCAGAAATACTTCCCACGAGCATGATAGTACCCGCTAAGGCAAAACTGGGTCAACCTTGCCATGATAGGCTTATTCATAATCGACGATGTGATACCATGTGAATAGTTATGAAGGACCTCTCATGCACAGTCGACTTTTCTACTCTAACAATTGTGACAGAGAAAAACGTACCGAGCAGCGTTCAGGAAGTATGCACGGTGTGAACCTAGTGATTGTGGTTTCACCCTGGCAACCTGAGTTTTGAACGGTCATCTCTAATGGTACAAGAACTGGCAGGCCAGTGTCAACATCAACAGTTTGTACACAACGTGCCTCCGTTGCCAGCACATACAAATGGCGGAAAGCCTGCAGCATATCACAGCATTGACATATCAAATACGATATTCAGAAGGACGACCTAAGTTGTCGGACAAAACTTTGATAGAATAGGACGAAAGTAGGTCTTGAATAGTAAACTCTTAGGTACCACTCGATCAAAAACAGAAACATTCTGATCCTGTACTTATTACACATAAGAGTCAACTTGAAGGAATTCAAAACCACCATATAATCGATAATATTATTCTGCCAACAAGACAGCCTACTCAGAGTTCAAATCGTTGTTTTCTGTTGTTGGGTCCGCCAAAACAACCTCAAGCCGAAGAGATGCATACAGTTCTACGAAGCATAAATATATAGGAACCAACCTGAAGATGACATCGATGATCGTTTGGGGTAGTTGGAAATCGAGGATACAAGGCAATCAGGAGCGCCGCTACTGCACCATTATTAGTTCCAAATGTTCGAAGTCCACCACCAAGGAACAGAAATCCGATTGCCATGCTGATCTGCTTGGTAAACCAAGGCGTGAAGCTTAGAAAGCAGACCCTTACAGATTTGCAAAAGCCTAGCTTCACACAAATATATTGATAAGGCAAGTTTGACCGAAAGCATTTTATACTGGAAAGAAGCACGAAGATTCCGAAGAAAATTTAAATATAGACCAGCGACAACCTTTCACAATTCGTTGAAGTGACAATGTTCTGTACTTACGGCCATGTGATTTCCATAATTGATGCCTCCATCAGAATCATTTCTCCTACGAAGATAGCGTAGCAATCTGAATGTTTGCAAATGACCCGTGCCAGCCATTACCTGCTCTCTCGATGTGAATGAAGGACAACTCAAGACTTAGAAATAGACTTTATTACCAAAGGAATCGTAATATAGGTTCTTCCTAAGGAAAAACTAGCAAACGTTCTGTACTTATGAAACAACCATTTCCTCCCAGACTTACAACCTACGCATATCTTTGAGCAAAAGGCCAGTCTTGTAACATGGACAGATGCTAACACCATCCTCTGGCATTCACAATTTGATATTGACTTAGACCAAGCAACTTGGAACGGCAACTGTTCGGACGTAGGCTACATGGCAGTCAGCACGTAGTAAAATCTTCAATAGGAAATTGAAGTTATACTAAAACAAACGAACAAATAAGTACTGACCACGCTCAAGGAAAGAACAGCAACGTTCAAGCAAGTCTCCAATGTGCCTCGATCGACATATGCATGCCGCGTATTCGGACTTGCGGCGCCTCCGAGAAGGACAGCATTACGTTTCTGTTATTCATCATGCCCAACAAACTTAGTTATTGTTACTTCAACACTACGAATAGCACCACACAAACGGTCTCCATGACACTTACTCTAAAACAAGGTGCACTTTTTAAAACCTAGATTTCAACTGCTGAAAGAAGACCAGACAATCAGTATGTCATTAAATGTTTACCTCCTGCAAAAAAAATAGAGCATACTTTCGGAGCAACTGCTGAGCTTCGGGTTTTGCTGTACCTGCATATCGTAGAGCTGGTTCGGCACAAGGTTTCGACAGCAATATTAGAAACTTTAAATATTTCGAAAGTGCAGATGCCAAATAAACAAGGATATACACTTGTCTAAATTTCTGATGATCCATTTATTCCATATACCTATTGATAGGCAGGCTCCGGCAAGTATGTTGACGTGAGCTTGTGCAAGTGCTTCCATATCGGCATCAGCAGGTGGAGTTGCAGTATCTCCGACCTGGTTGATGGTATTGACAGCGGTTTTCACAATTTCTGGAATTTGTGCTTGTACCCATTCCTCAGTGGCTTGTACACTGTCCAAAAACATGACGTCATTAGAAGTTCCGGAAAGAGGCAATTACTTGCAATTACTGAAACTAAATTTCAACCACAATGACTGATATTACAAGCATTTCACATGTTGATTCTTGACTGCCGCCTAGAACATGTTGCATCGACAAGAATATGTTACAGTCTACGAATCTAAGCATCTGTTATAATCTTCGTCAATGAATTACAGAATTTCTCTGTCCAAAGCTCTACTTGGTTATTCAGCTTAACTTACAGATAACAAACTATTTTTAAGTTTCATAAGGTTCGTAGAGGAAAGGTGACATTACCTGTCCCATAAAGTAAGACTTCGAGCAACGAGACGGAGCAGAATAAAGTCAGGACGAACATACTCCAGCGCAAAGTGCGTGTCTGGAATAGCTAATCTTGCTGCCACCACTTTGTTATTTGTCTGGCCAAGAGCAACGCACACAAGGAAAACGTTACCAGGACAGCCATTTTCCTTTCTGTATCATCATCTTCGGTGATGCAAATCAACTGTGCACATAGTTCCTTGTCTGCAATCTACGATTCGTTGATTCCTTCATAGGCAAGAACTAGCATGGGCCTTATTCTCTTTTCATGCTGGGAAAAGCAATTTCAACCAAAACACTTGGTGCGTAAGAAATGCACATAAACTATGACCTTAGTTTTTCATCTCTAAAAATATAATTTCGGTAGCTCCGTATATGAATGCTAGCATAGGCCTTCCTCTCATCTCACACTGGGATGACCAGTTTCACCTAGACATTTGGTCTTCGGCATTGCAAATCACCAGGGAACATGGTTCTTTGTTTGAACACAATGTTCGGATGACTGCAAATAGAAGAGCTAGGATGAGCCCCTTTCTCATGTAGTACTTAATTATTCAGTTTTCCTGAGCAATGGTGCACTCACTTTTAAGAACATAAGAGCAAGGGCTAATGTGGCTCCCGGAGCAGTAACATCAAGATTGACCATAGAGCCCTCCATGACCTGCAGGACAGAAATTCATTAGACGGAACTTAAAATAAGAATCTCTTCCCATGACCTTTTAAATCCGAGAAGAATCGGATAAACACATAAAATGTAAAATTCCGTTAGAAGAGGGATAAAATCGTACCGCCAATAGAAACAAAACAAAGCTTCTGTGCGGTATTAGTCTCTGGATCTCAGAACTAATCTATATATGGGGACAAATGCCAACAAGGAGTGATCCTCATCACTTTGAAATAGTCTTTCGGGGTCTTCTCCTAGTTCTATCCGTCTGCAAGTGCTCATTATCTTCAAACGATCACCTCGCAGACACCGGAACAGGATCTGCCGGCGATCAGGTCTTCATTCTATGACAGGCACATGCTAATGAGTACGGTCTATCTTAGTACCCTTGCTACACCGCAAACATCAGGTATCAACCATCAATATAAGGCTGTGAACAAAATACTCCTAGTATAAGGATAGATTACAACAGATGAAAGTGAGGACTTACCTGACCACCGGCTTGAGAAAGGTCTTCCACATTTCTTGACGCGGTAGGTAGTGAATTTGACGAAGTAAATCCATCTGGTCTTCTTTGGCGATCCTGGAATCAAAACAACTAAAATAATAAGCTAGCAGCCATAAGCTACAAAATCACATGCTGAGATGCTGAGAAGAGTTGTCAGAAGAGAAGACCATCGTCGATGCTCCATCTAACACAGATCAAGATACTGGCTGTTCCAAGAGCTAATCCACATTAAGCACATCTCAGGCGTTACCTCACATTGCAAGGACTAGATCCATAGAGCCATCAAGGTTTATTTAAATGGTGACATGGCACAAATATAGCACATCATCCTTCCAAACCAAATCAGAAATAATGATGTGATTTTCTTCGAGTGCGTCAGTGATTATGATCACAGATCACGTCATCATATTTTTGTGCGAAAAATATATTGGATGTCAGTGAACTCCAAAGCAAGTGCAAATAACAACCAACAGAAAATCTGCGAATGGAGGGTCAATATACATCTACTCAGATGGTAGAAAAGAGCAAATTACATCTTGAAGCACATAGACAGAGACGCAGAAAAGAAGTAACAATCTTGTATCTTCAATTCTTCCTCTCACAGCTTCGACAGAACGCATCTCAGTAGTAAGAAAATAAGTCGTTCAACAGGGAACCTATTGCTTGCGATAAACTCTATGCACTTACATCAGACGGTTCACTTCCTCCAGACATGTAGTGTCGCAATCGATCCTCGATATGCAAATCAGCAAGACCCCAGGCATCATTTCCTCTACCTGAAAATGATCAAGTTCAAATCAGCAAGTCAGAAGGGAAACTGACAATGTGTAAAGGCCCATATATACATGGATATTGATGGACATGTGGAATCTTGTATGTCACAACCTATCTTATCCGGTATAGCATATATGGTATCCGAACATACTCTTAGTCTCCTCTTGAACTTTGCACAATAGACGATCAGGTAGATGCAACGATTGAGTTTGAAGTCTGTCCTAAACATGCTCTGAGGCTTCCTTACAACCTATAAAGATTCTAATGGGCCGTAGGCTTACTGGCTTGGCTTTTACCAAAGAACCTCACACTCTAGAGAATAGGTTGGAAATATCAAAGTACATTGATACATGCGCTTACCTAGAGTGACAAGGCCTAAAGCCAGTCCTGCAGCCAAAGCATAACCCTCCCTGTCCAACGGATTATCGCCACCTGGTTTGCGTCCAATCTCCGCCTGCGTCCATTCTCAAAAGTAAAACTCTGAACGCTGATACTGCAAGGAATATGACTGTTGAGCGGACCAAACTTGGATACAGCTTACCAGAAGAATTTCGGTAGTAAGGCGATGAGCAGATCCTTGATACAGAAGTCCAACTGCCATCAGTGCTGCAGACTGCAGTTCATTCAGTGGAAGCAAGACTGAGTACTATGCAATAGCCTCGAATAGAACGCAATAATCTTCAGAGTTTTGAATCCCAGATATATCCTGCCCGACAACTCATGGATGAAAAGGCAAAGTGATTATATCCCTGACATTAATCCACAGTAAAATATCGCACTTAGGCCTCGGTACAAGCTTCACTCATAGTAAAGCTAAGTAGGCAATCAACGAGAGTTTCAAGGAAACCAACAAAACCTTCAACATTTATTCTGAATTGTCAGAGTTGACGTTTAGGATTTGTACCTGCATGAGAGTTGGGAGCTCCAACTCCGGAAACGAAGGAGGATGTCGGGCAGGAATGTGAAGATACAACATCTACAAGCACAGCTGTACTTATTAGTACTTCCATGTCACAAGCTGAAAACCTGCAAGCACGATGGTTGCAGTTACTGCTGAAGTGTGATGGCCCAGAAGAGAAATGGGACTTTAACACATGGTTCAAACGGTCCGCGACAGATAATCAAGTCCGTAGAAGCAATAACATTTCCGTAGCATAGGCGGACAGCATCTATACGAATCAATAAAGCAGGGAGAAATCATGAACTAAGAAGACGTCCCACACCTTAGATATTGCAGGATCCATAGTTCCACGACGAGCTGCAGCCATCCCAAGTAGAACACCTACAGTTGTGGCCTCATGTTCCTGAAAATAACCATAACCAAATTTTGAACTCAGTCCTCCAGTAAGGATGTCAAAAGACACTGCGCGTCGAAAGTAATTTCTGGAGGTACCATTAAAAAGAGAACATAACATATATGAGAAGAAATCAGATTATCTCACTATACCAGGAAACTATCAAATTGATTAACGAGTACTCAAGCCACGATGGATAACAAGGAATTTTATTTACAAGAATATCTAAAACGTACTTTTTACTAAAGAGACTATCATATGGGCAGTTTGGAAGAGCACAAGGGATCGGAGAAGTTCTCTCCGTGATATGCCTCAAGTATCGAATTACAAATATGAGAGATTCAGAAAATAATGTCCATCTGTGCTTGAACTTCCACTTGAAAGTATACACACAAACCTGAGCGAGGTATCGATAAACATCGGTTGCTGCGAGTACACCAAGATGCTTATGCAAACCTAGGGACATCAAGAACCCTGCATGGGAATAACTGGGCTCATCGGGCTTGTTGTAGACAATCCACGTACGGGTTATCTTACCCTGCAGGAACATAAAAGAAGAGTACCTGAGGACGGAAAGGGAAATTTTACACAAAACATCAATGAGCACATGACCAGTGCGCTGCCAAACTGTCGCGTAGTTCAGACGTACAAAAAATGCTCTACCTCGGATCCATCGCCACTTACCTGACCAGGTGCAAGCCTTAGGCCAGCAGCAACACCGTTATGAAAGTCGGGCCATGAAGTAAGATCTGCTATGTTACCGGTGTTCACATCGAGATTTACCTGTTGAAAAAAAAGATGAGAAATCCGGACACGAAGTTTGACGAAATGATGAACAAGAATACATATGACTGTATGACTGTACGATCTACCTCGCACAGTCAAAAGCGATCCCTGGATTTTGGATTATGTGATTTGAACTTTGTGATCTGCATGCCCAATCTTTAATTAAGCTTTCTCGAGGTTCACATTTTAGAACTTACAGTGGCATCATGCTGGGACGGAAGGCGCCCAGCCAGAACCAATTTTGGGATGTGCAAAGTCTGCGAGCATGAGCAAGAGTCATGATCAGATATTGATTCCTGTATGTAGTAAAGAGCAAATCTGCTGTAAATCAAGGGAATCATTCGCAAGTATTGGCACCTCAGTAAGCAAAGGATATGAAGTAGCAAGAGTGTAGGCTCCACGTCCAAATGACAAAGCTGTCGTGCGTTGTGCGAGCTGCCACAACTGAGCCTGCAGAAAAGTTAAAAAGGACAGAATCTTTGAGAAACTACGCTCTTACACTTTCTTTATAATCACCAGTGTCGTCACAGGATTACCGTGAGATAACAGCGGACTCTAGAACATGGGGTGTCGAACCGCTACCCACGAAAAAAACAAATGAAAAAGACTGATACTGATATTCAATACAACTCTGTTTGTGTGACTTTGCTTGCACAAACTTCCTAGGTTACATAAAGCGTTTCTATAAGGAGACAGGAGGAACGCGCTAAGTTAGCAGCGCGTATGAACATGATAAGGGAATGTGTTACTACTTCAAACAATCTCAAAAGTTCCTATGCAGTGGGTGGAATGCCAACAACATCAGAACTGACTGCACAGAGGACGAAACACAAGACTAAAAGTGAAGACTAAAAGTGAAGACGAAGTAAGAATTAGAAAACACGTTGCTGTCATAAAGTCTCTGCCTTGTTCAGCTCAAAGTAATGAGCTTGGAAAAAGCTCATGTATACCATCAGAAAGTGTCTCCACCACGAGTAATTCAATATGAATTTCATACCTGCTGTTGCGCAACAATATCCGGATCGCTAACATCCGGGGAGTTCGCTGTGCGCACAGCCACAGGTCTAGATGATCCCAGAAGTCTCCTAACCTGTAAAATGGTAAGAAATTGAGTTTCGCGTCATGAATTAAAAGGAAGAATAATCGTTGCACCATCAATGTGAATGATCAGGCATTTATAGGATGACTATGATATTTTGATAGAATCAAACACAATCTATTCAATGTTGCACAACACCGTACCTCATTCAGCCGCAAGTCACTACCAAAACGTAGAGGTGCTGTGGTAGAACTCATATGATCCATACCATCAGATATACACCCATCAACAGCAGTTCCCTGACCTTCCGCATCTCCTAACTCACTTGAGTCTATAGACTGAGGAATAGTAATGGGTCTCAAGTGAAGCATGTAAGGTGCAGCTAGAAAGGCATCATCCACATCCACGACGGGATTCTTCACACTGCCTGCGGTCGTTGTACTCGTCTTCTTCAGTTCGTCTCTTCCTTTAGAGAATGAGCTAGAGCAGGTAGCCGCAAGATCTTCCCGTCCAACAAGCACATATGCTTGAGGTGGCCAGTCACCGGGTGGGGCTTCTCGAGAAATATTTAAGGCCTTCAACAAGAAAATCAAAATTTCAAGATGGTACCCACGATGCAGTACTCTTACGATTATCAAATTATTAAATTACTCGCTTCTGCTGCTTGTACACGGTCTTCCAAGTGCCAGGAACATCAAATAGATATGTGCCATTTTTTCCTGAAAATTTGTGACCTGATAAGTGTACAACGAAATTCCTTCAACCAAGCCATGACGACGAATAAGACCATCTAGTAAAGCGTTTTCCCCATTCTAAAACAATCACACCATTAATTGACAAATGAGAGGTTTATGCATCATACATGTCGCAGCGGGAGCGAGATACCACAAGGAAGTCGATCCAAATCCGGGAGACTGAAAGCTTCTGCAACCATAGCCAAGACCATCTTGTGTTCCGGACGGTTGGCTGTACCTCGTGACATGCCAATGTGTACAACGGTAGGCTTTTCTTTGGCCGTCTCTTCGTCACCGAGCAACAGCTCGTAAAAGCCAACAACCTTCCGTGACCATTCCACAGATAAGACTCCTTCTCTTAATAATAAAGCCGGGAGACCTTCTCCACTTCTAGGCATTCTCCTCTTCTTAATACGATACTCAACCCATCTAAACAGATTGGCCGGTGTTCTCCACGTTCCATGCAGTGAGTTTTTAGACAGCTCTGGTAAAGGTGGAACAACTGTCGGAAAGTCACGAGTGTAATGATCAACGTACTCTAGTTCCCCCGCTGCTGCTGCCAAATGGCTCAATAAAGTGGCAAGTTGAGATGCCTGCCTGTTCCAGACGTCCTGACCTCAGGCACAGAACTACAGGACAGTTCCTTACATCCGCTAAACATCTTCCAAGAGGAAAATTAAGTAATAGCATAACAGCTCACTGGACATAGCTTCTTCGCTCACCTCCTTCGCAAAATCTCTGACAACTCCAGATGAGAACAAGATTCTAGCTTTATCTGTCTAGATGGACTACAAAGAGTAAGAAAAACGGCGATCTCATACCTCCATCGTAGAGTATCAAGCTTGCAGTCTTCGTAAACAGCGTGTAGGACCTCCAGTATTTCCATCATGACTGATACGTACACTGGCATTTCGTCAGTCTCCTTTTCGTCAACACTTCTTGGCGCTGGGTGAGGTAGCGGATTCTGTATGAATGGCTGCTGAAAAATTGGTAAAGCTACATACCGACGATTCAACAGATTATTTTTGTGCATGCCACTTTGTAACAAAAACTCCCATGAAGTGTTTGTTGCCTTTGTCAGACTTGGTGGTGGAGGTCCTCGAGCAACTGGCATATCTCTTATAATCTCCAGTATAAGATCAGAAAAGCCTGCCCAGTTCACATCGGGTTTACCATCCGGCGTAGGCAAGAACAGAGCTTCCGTCGCAGGAAAATCTCGTTCAAGAAAATGTTTCAGAAGATATCGGTAGAGAGATGGGCGTAGGCTCTCGGCGAAAGCTGACAGGCATAAGACCGTTACTGCGGATGAAAATGGCAAGTTCAGGGCACACCTGTAGATCTGCATCATCATATGCCAAAGTCACATTCTTGCACGTCGATGAAACCTGATTCTATTTGCAGCAAAAATTTACATCCTATAGGCGTAAATTTACACCCTGGTTGCGTAGGAAAAAACGGAAAGTGAAAGGTCAGGAAGTTTCCAGCAAGTTTGAACCAGTACAACCTTGCCAGTAGAAGTGAGCAAATTGACGCGATCTGTCACCGCATCGTTGATGCCAACAAGCTCAACTCCATCATCTTCTGCATCTGCAGAATTTCCACCTGGACCTTGAGGCGTTTTCTTTTGCGAAGTAATAGAGCCCTTCGGTGCCATCTTAGCGGCAGATTTGGACAGGAAAAAGTTGCACATGTGGTATGATCCTGTCTGTACCAGGTATCAGAATCTTAATATGTAAGCAATATGACTACTATGCTCGAGGCGACAACAGATAGCATATATATTAACCTGCTGGATTCTTCAAAGGTGGCCCACAGTTGAATTTGCATGCAAAAGGAACGACCGAGAACACACATTTGCCTCTTTAGCAAAATACAGATCTTCATTTTGACAATTAAGATATGAAGAGAACCTTCAAGCGAAGGTAGACACCTCAGCCAGATAGACCTTGAACAAAGATACAATCCTGAGACCTACATTCAGTACATTTCGGAAAATACATGCTGCTGCTACGAGATGAAATCGTGGGATATTGACAACAATAAGCTGAAACTGCTGGTATTTCTCTTGCCTCAATCGGGGAACTTTCACAGAGAACGCTAGGATTTCAGAAACTTACGTAAAGACCAAGTTCCCCATCTGATGTAAGCACCAGCAAGTCATAGTGCTGATTTTCCTTTCTCCTAAGCGCAACGACAGCATAAAATCAGTGCGACAGCTCTCAAATTTGAAACAGTTGCACAGAGATAAGTTTCTCTCAAAAGTTTGCAAAATTTCTTCGAAGTGGAACTCTTGACTGAAGTTTGTCTCTCGCCTCAGCCATTCCCGAAGTCATTCTTCAAAGGATGATAATGAGTGTTTAATATAGAAGCAACTTGGTTAAAGGAAATGAAGATAACTCAAATCAGACAAAACAATCAGACCTTGGGTGAAGTGCAATTATAGGAGCAGCGGAGATTGCTTCAAGAGTCCACGCGACATCCAGATGCGCTTTAGAGCTTAGCTCTTCTGTTATTTTATTTCTCAACAGCCGAAAGGCAGACAATCTTTGATGCTCTTTGACGACAAGACACAAGATGGGAACTCCATCTTCATCGCTGGCCACAAAAACCTGAATGAACCACCCGAGTTTGGATAAGAATTGGGTCCAGGGAAATACTAGCAAGAGTAAATGGCCTTCCAAGATAATTGGAGCTTGGAATTCGAGGAGCAGAGGAACTAGGAATACTGGAACTGCAGTCAACATTCTCATAACATTTGCTAACTTCAGCTCATCAACATAAGACTCCTTCTTTATCTTGAACTAGAATCTGTAGAAAAAAGGCGCATTCTTGAACATGCATACCTGATCAGCTTGCGTTTGGCCCGGTTTCTCATGCCAGACGCGCTGCAAACCAAAAGTTCCAGAGTCTTCGGAGGTGTGCAGCTGAGTCGGAGACTGCTTCTTCGATACAGGAGAGTTTTGACTTGTAGAAGGTACAGACTTAATTTCCCATATTGAATGTTGTTTTCTTCCTGCAATTTAGAGACAAATCTTCAAAATGTGGACCCTCCAATGAACGAACAAAAGAAACTCTTTGAATAGTTCAGCAAAGAGTTTTCTGAAGGTCTATGTATCCAGCCCTCCGAAACTTTTCTTCACCAGAAGTCACGTCAATGCAAAGTCGTACCACTGTGGAATGACACTAAATAAGGAACTGTAGAGCTTGACCATATAATTTGCTCCTCCATGTCAGCTAACGGCCTAAATTTCCCACTCTCTGCAACCTGGACTGCCTGCAGTAACCATCACAAATTGCAACGTATCCGGTCACAAGCTGCAGAACACGTGGCATCATATAACAACAGGTTTGATTATGAGCCGCAATAAATCGATGTTGCTTATGACTAGAAAACATACGTGAAAACAGAAAGCTAAGCCACAAGATCTTGTCATACACAAGACTGGTGTTCCCACATACGATCTTCTGATCTTCAATTTCCATGTATAGGAGGGCACAGGCGTTCTGGTCTAGCTTCCCAGATTATCTGTTGGATACCAGGTTACCACATTTCGGCACAGCTCCCTCCATGCCACGCGTATCACACCAAGATTGAAGATCTGTGTCAAATTCTGGAGCTTCTTCCACTTCTATTTCACAGAGGTCATCGGCAAATAATACCACGGGTATGATGCAGTGCCCAACACGGACGCCAACACCACTATGATTTTCTGTTCTACAAGAGAGTTCATAAGATGTTGAAAAACGTCCCTGACAGAGGGCAGTCCTGAGCAACTCTCTGATCACTGTCTCAGAATCACTCCGTTGGCCGTAAACAAGAAACGAGTTCTTGATAGTGTGATGTAGCCATTGCAAAACCCACAAGTCTACAAGATATGTATCAATTTGTGATGTCACATACATTACACTACCTGAGGTTCCTCAAGAGGATGCAGCAATGCAAATATAGAAGAAACTGGAGTTGTTGGTGTCGCTAAAGACAGGCTTGCTCTTCGACCGGAGGATAATCCGCCTGAATTGTGCACCGAGGGTGACAGTCTGCTAGATATACTGAAGTAAGGTCCATCCCTTGCTAGATCCCTCAGACTTGAACCAGGAGACCCTTTGACAGGAGTAGAAGCCCCAGAGCTCACGAGAGGAATCTCTGCTGCCCGCTGGAGTAGCAGTCCACAAGGGATAGGCCATATTGAGCCTACAGAGTACTGCAAAGGCACTGAGTGCATCTCCCCTGCGAAAAATGAAAACCGACCGTGAAGTTGCTCATCAGAAGACCTTCAATTACAATAAAAAAGAGACGGTAACTAGCTAGCCATGAAGTCACACGTATGCGTACAAATAACAGAAGGAAATTAGTTCCTGTTTAGGAGGCTTACCAGCAGGGGTATACGTCATGAGGCAATCAGAATGAAGTATACACAAAAGAGGCTCATTCATTGCTTCAACTCGACACCACTTAGCCTGTCAATATCAGCAAAATCACGTCGACTTAGAACAACAGGCTCTCTACTAGAACTATTACTACGTGACTGGATCCGATTCTATAATGTTACAAGGAGCTCAAATCTTAGTTCCTTGCCTCCAAACACAGGTTCAAGTCATACACTGCATGAATCACATCCGAACAGAAAGGCAGGAACGTAACCTTTCCTAGTTTTACAGGTGCCCTAAATGATCTCTACCCACAAGCAACTAAATACAACAATTTATACACCATAACATTATTGCCGATCGGAGGTAGAGGTGCAGAAACCTGGAGTACTGCCGTAGGAGCACTAAATTGTTTGTGAACTTGTTGTCCACCACTCCAGATAACCCTGAAAGAACAGGTACTGTTCAGCAAAGAGAAAATCCCAGCATACACGGCAGCATTTGTCAAGAATGTTAAAGTTAGTATTGTGCTCACTTGTTGCCATGTATGTAGAGCTCCTGATCATGGTCCCAAAAGCCCCCCATTACTGAATTGTATTCGTAGCCTCCACCTCTGACTCTGGCAGTATCTGCATCAAATAGATAATATCGTCCCTTACTGGTACCCCCACGCTTCCTACCTTCTCCCACATTTCCATCACTCCCACCGGAAGGTCCAACAACCTGTAGACCAAACGGCTCGAACTCCCCGATCACTGTCAAAGACCTTTTGACTTTCCTCATAGCATCTATCTGTAGGTTGTCGCTAATCCAAAAATTTCAGAAAATCTTCTCATGCTCAGTTCAATCCATAAGGCTATTCCAGCATTGTGAAGCCCGGTAGTCCTATTCGGATTTTCCCACCTGAAGAACCACGCGAAGGATGAGTCAGAGTGTAGAGTGCGAAGTCTGCTCTCCTCCAGAAATCACAAGAGAAAATTCAAATCCAATTGCAAAAATCAAACGGCTGTACTGAATGCTATACACCTCTAAACCAAGCAAAGACATCATTGAATGAATTCATTCATGAACAAGATCAGTAAGGAATTTCCGGAAACTGTTTGCTCGTTATATGAACATTCTACGATTTTATATTTTGGTCCAGTTATGTCGAGTCCCTGAAGTCCCAGCATGATGATAAAAAATACAAAAATTTAGCTCGTGTAGACTCTCGATGATAATGTAGATTTTGGTAATTTATAAGTTCAACGCTAAGTGCGAGCACTACTTTCTCCTAGTTTCTTCTCTACTATGTAAATATGTATAGTACTGTACAAATGCTGTCCACTGAAGAAAAAGCAGGAAAGATTTGTAATCAGGAAAGCAGAGCTCCACGGATCCTTATCCAGCAGCTGGTATGTGGGGATCCAGCAGCGAGCCCATCAACGCTGAGGTGATTCACTAAATAAACCTCTCGTCGCTAGAAGTCTTTAAGGGAATGAGCAAAAAATCTTCTCATTTTTGAAGTTGAAGAGAATTCTTGTTTCTAGGTGGTTTAACAGGACCCAAAGAGCTGCTATGCACAGAATCATTTCATGAACTATCGAAGGACTCTTGACGCCCATTTTGACAAACTAACTCATCGACTACGACAATTCGAAAATCCTCGCCAGGCAATGCTCACCTGCTCTGCCTCCGAGGTTTCGCGATCACGATAACCAGCTCGACCATCAGCAATCACAAAAACCAAACGCGAACTGGTCGTTTACAACTCAGAATGTCACCAAGCCAGATCTGGATATGTCAGCTCGGTACCAAAATTGGCCACAGGTTGAATTTCACCAAATTTCCCGCAAAATTGTTCGTACCCGACTGTCATGTCTTCCGCTAGGGTTATCGAGAGTTCATGTTCGATATAAGAACCAAAAATTTGGAATTGCCGGAGCGTTCTTGTAACCAAGTTCGGCCTCTCGTACTCTCTCCTCCACCGTACCCAGTTCTGTACAGTCCATAGAACCCAACCGCATCCTCTCTCAAACCTTCCAATACACACAAACTTCCGTCCGGCTGAGGTAAAGTCTCCGGCTTCCGGGGAAAGGATATCGCCGCAAGCTTGTCGATCGAGAATGCCGCCTTAAGGACAATTGTCTACATTCAAATTCAAACTCCCTTGATTCCCGGAGAGCGACATAGCTGGTAATAAATAAGTCCCAGATAATATTATATATTGCACGCTTTGCATATAATGAAATGAGCAAATTTATTGTGGGTTATTACTATCGGGCTGCATGTTGCTGCACCCGGAAAGTCCAAGCCTTTCTTGTACGGGGATTGAACGCGGCGTGTACCCGTATGACGCATGATGCATGTCCGATGGTTATAAACGTCCGGCTCCGAGAGGATGCGGCAGCAGGTGACAGGATTTCGGAGGAGCTCGGTGTTGCAGGTAGGGCCCGTGGACACGGGAGGAGAGAATCTCAAGCTCTGCGACAATTGCAGATTAGACGCTGCCACATTGCGGATTCTCAATGGAGTGATTCGGAAGATTTCCATGAAGAGGTGCCTGAGAGCTCGGATTCGATTGTCTGTTCTTTGATCGGGTGGATGTTTGTGGAGATTCGATGCTGCTCAGGAGATTGTGTGCTGCTACTGTTTTCTCTGTAAGGGCGACGTGCACGGAACGAGTTACGAGTCGATCTGCAAGTTTGCGGACGAGGAGGGCCTGCAGCCACACTGCTAGCACTATGAAGGTCGCATTGGACCCCGGCGTTGCTAAGGCGGTCGTTTTGTATCACTACCCTTGTCCGGATGGTGTTTTCGCTGCTCTGGCGGCTCATCTCTACCATTCTGCTGTTGGCTGTCCCGTCCATTTCCTTCCTAATTCTGTGTTCCAGCCTCTCACGTGAGTAATTCTTTGCATGCCCAGGATTCGTTTGTGAATTAAATTGGCACAAGCATATTATATGACAGCGATTGGATTACAGTTGAGGATATCTTCCCTCATGACGGATCAGATCCGTCACTTTGATACATTGTGAGAAGGATTTGCACTTACAGAGGCAGTACGATGTTGTGACTTGCAGTGTCAAGGACCTCAATGTGGAGGGTGTGGACGTGTTCTACCTCTTAGACTTTGCAGGGCCCCAAAGTTTTGCGGTGGACCTCGCTCATAAAGCTAAACAGTGAGTCTGCTAAACATGACATCCCTGAGATTATTGTATTTCGTTTGAGTTATCATAGACACGAGCATGGTTTATGCTCGTGTCTATGATAACTCAACTAATTTGTATTTGAAACAGCGTCTAGCTTTTGGTGTACTGTTTCGTATGGGTGACATCCATCTATAGCTGCTGCTCGATTATCCATATTCGGGAACGCCTTGTTTAGATTTCTTGTTAGTGAATTGGAGCCAAGGAGATGATTGATGATCGACGTGTTGGGTTTCACACAGAGTAGGGTGATTGTCCTTGACCATCACAAGACTGCATTGGAAACACTTCCTCGGAATGGAGAGGGTCCACAAAATCTTCTCAGTGTATTAGACATGAGTAGAAGTGGAGCAACCGTGGCTTATGACTACTTTCAGGAAAAACTGCAGACTGCTGATCTCAAAAAATTACCTCCATCACTCATATACTCACGCAATCCCGTATCTCAAAGCGTGAATCTGTTGAGTGAAAGTAAACTTCAACGGGTGAGAGCTCTTTTCAAGTATATTGAGGATGCTGATTTGTGGAAGTGGAAACTTCCCGACAGCAAGGCTTTTAGCAGTGGGCTCAGCGACATTGGCCTGGAATTCAGCTACTTGAAAAATCCTGGAATTTTCGAACAGGTGAGTACCGTTCTTAATTTGATTTATCTGTATGAAATACCCCTTTGCTTCATGCGATCCGACTGCTGTTGTGGATCCAAGTTACGTAGCTGACAAAATGTCGTGCTTTGGCAGTTGCTTGAACTGGACACACAAGATCTGATCTGCAGGGGAAGGGAGAGCCTGAAGTCCAAGCAGGCAGTTATAGATGGTGTTCTGGTGGAATCGTTCAGGTTGGCTCTTGGTGGAGGCCAGTTCGGTCATTGCTTAGTATGTACCCACTCAACTCAAAACTTCAGATTTTGACAGTTTACAACTTAAAACGTAGGATTCAATTGTTCTCTGCTCTCATTCTGATCCCCTTTTGTTGACCAAAAGAAACATTAGGATAGATCTGTCTGAAAAGGTACTGATACCGGTTTATGAATTGTCTCAGCTTTCAATGGAGTGAAATTATCTAACGGGAATTCAGAGTAATTATTTGAAGATTCAAGTAGCATTGCCTTGAAGCGAACTATTCTTCCTTACTCTGTTGAAGCAGTGCAATAATGCCCCTGGAGATTTCTGAGCATCTGTGTAGGCAGTGCGCGCAGATGATTCAGCCCATCTTCGAAGTGAACTAGGCAATCAACTAGCTGCTAAAAGTCTCACTAGCGAACTACTGTGAGTGGCGGATACACGACTGCGTTGCTGAGTAGAGTTCCTTGAGAAACAATAGAGATTTTTATTAGTATAGTGATCAACTATATTTTTTAAGTCATTCAAACGTTGCTGCCCGTAAACTTCCTTCTTTCTATAGAGGAACTAAATGGATGCTTTCTTCCTGTGCAGGCCTATAGGGGCAGTTATTTACGTACAGCCAGGATACGAGGGCACTGAAACTCAATTCAAAGTCAGCTTACGCAGCATAGGGGAATCAGCGGACACGACAAAAATCTCGCAGGTTTTTTTACACCTATTTGTAGTATGTCAGATAGTTCAGTCTTTAAATTGTTACTATCTTGCAGGGGCTACATTTGACATAACAAAGATTCAACTGGCTGAATATTATTTGTTGTATTTAAATCAGGCATACGGAGGTGGAGGACATCGCAATGCCAGCTCGTTCTTAATCTCAAGAGAGGAATTGGAACGGTGGAAGTCGTAAGTCGTGAGGTGTCTGTATATATTGAGTAGTGAAGAAAATTGAAAAATTATCGAGATTACAGTATTCATTCACCAAGAATTGGAGTCTCTTCTGGCTAATGGCCACAGCGACGTGTTATGTAACTTTGCCAATATCTTCCATTGTGAATAAATGTGTCGCCGGTTCTCTTTGACAACTATATTGGATACAACATGCTCCTTACATCCGCGCTTGATTTCACTTCAAGTCTCGGAGAAGAGGGATGTGTTCACAACATTGTACATGATGTAGAATATTGTATACTGTTTACATGCATATGATGTTAAATGAACATCATATACACAGCTTTTTATAGAGTATCGTGTTATGAGCAGGTTTTTGTAGTTTGGTTAAACGTCAAGAAGTGGGCTTCATACGAGGAATCATTTATAATTAAAAACGGTACATGAATAGTGTACATCGCACAAAATGTCCGTTGAATTGTAATTTCGCCTTCAATGTTAAAGAGGATAATTTGCACCGGAAAGTACAGGTGTCATCTAGAGGCCATTGCCTACTACTCCACAACAGGGCAGATAAGTGTCCACATGTAATTGTTGTTCTAAACCCTGCAAGATGTTATTTCTTTTGGAATGCTTGCAGTGACGATACTGAAAGAATGCGTAAGTACTGCACTTTACTGATCTGTTGTGAAAGTGAATAACAGTTATCTCTTCTCCGCCCGTACTAAGAATGATGCAAATTGGGTCCCCTAGTCTACAGTACGGACATGGAGAGAGTAAAGTGTGTCTACAAGGGCTTGCGTCGGAGCCCGAATAAGAATAATCAAGTTCCTGTTCTGATAGTGAATGTATTTACTAGGAGATGAATGCTATCGCTACATAAATGATCAATATATATACGAATTACAAGCCTGTTAAACTACACGAGTATAAGGCGAAAGAATAGAATGGTGGAATGCTGCTTCTGAAAGATATTACTGGTCTCGGAGCGAAATCTGTCAAGATTTTAGCTGAAGTCTAAAAAATCATTGTTGTTGCTCTACTATACTTTGGAGTCTCCTGGTACTGTTTTAGTTTCGGCGTCATCGAGTGAGTCATACTCCAAATCACTTGGACAGGGAGAGAAGGTGTCTGATTCCAACATTTGCACCACCTGCTCCATGGTAGGGCGGCTGTCGGGATCTGCTGCAATGCACATGATAGCAATTTGGAGAACATTCTCCATACTCTCCTTCAGAGCACCAGGGCACTTTGTATCAAATATGTCCTTGTGACGATTCTCCCTGATACAGCTTCCTACCTGCAATGTAAAATCTTAGTCAGTCCCAAAAGAGATTGAAATTGTGAATTACGCAGTTTCAACCTGTATGTTTATCTTGCGTGGATCTGCGTAGAAGACTTACCCATCCGACCACATTCAGGCCCTTCTCCACGAAGCAAAGGTCTGTCGGCCGCCTCCCACTCAAGAGTTCAAGCAAGACAACACCGTAGCTATACACATCCCCTTTCTCCGTCGCCCTCCCGCTGTACATGTACTCTGTAAACAAAACGTCGATACATGTGGGTGGATAGGATATTTTAGACTTGCAGATTTTGAAAAATAGATCCGATGGACATATATTAATGCACATAATTACCAAATTGCACGCATTGGTGATTGCCTTTTAAAGTTCGAAGATCATGAACCCCGTGCCCTGGCATAATCGCTTTACGTACCTGGAGCAAGATAACCGAAGGTGCCGGCAACAATTGTTGTAACGTGTGACTTATCACCATCCAAAAGTTTGGCAAGGCCAAAATCAGACACATGAGGTTCCAGATTGTCATCCAGAAGGATATTCGAGGATTTAATGTCCCTGTGGATGATTCGTGGACAACAATCATGGTGCAGATATGCAAGTGCTCTTGCCGCTCCAATAGCGATTCCGAGCCGGGCAGTCCAGTTCAGGGGGGTTTCATGTGGCTCTCTCTCTGTAGAATGAAATCATGGAAAAATGTCAGCAGCGACTTTTGCTTGTTACGCACACAGCAAATCAACATGTAGATTGTTGCAAGCATAATCCAATAAACTGGTGGCCTGTGTGGAATGGAAAGAATATACTGACCATGTAGAAATTCGTCCAAGCTACCGTATGGCAGGTAGTCATAAATCAGGAGCTTAGAAGTAGGAGAGTTGCAGTAACCTCTCAGATTAACAAGATTTCTGTGCTTGAAACTTCCTAATATCTCCAACTCTCGCTCAAAGAGACGATCTGAACCGAAACCATTTTTGCTGATTTTTTTCACAGCAAACCAGCTACCATCATCCATAACGAGGCGATGAACAGTGCCGAATCCTCCTGATCCGATGATGTCTGTTTCATCCAGCATCTCAATTTTCTTGACGACCTCTTTTGACGGGTATGGCAAGTCACCATGAAACATCACCAGCTTCGCTTCCGATGCTGCCAATTTTATAAACCCTCGGAAGTTAGTGTAAACATTCTCGTCGTGAGGTGCTGAAGTACAGGAAGTAATTCAAATGCAACAGATCCAAATGCTGGAAACGGTAGTTTACCAATTGAGGACTTCACTTCTTCCAAACCTGCGAACGCGTGCTTGTGGTTGTTCCTTCTGACCAAGAAGTAACCTAAGAAACTAAATATACCAAACAAGATTGAAATGCCAGTCACGGCTATGAGTAGCGCATTGATGTACTTCGCAGATTTTGGACCTGCAAATGCACACGTTACATTCTCTTAGCTCGCGGGATAGGTAAACAATGTTTGTCGTGTCCTTGAAGTTCAGACCAAGCATAAGCAAAAACCTTGAGTTCTGGCAATAAGACGGTAGGGTACCATTGAGTATTGGCAATTCCAAACAATTCACAGTCTAGAACTTCAATGTTCGATGTGTGCCCTCCTTTCTTCTTGAACATTTTTAGTCTTGAAGTTCTTTTCGAAACAAACTGTTGGCCATGGCGTCTAAAGGCTGGTTGTCAGTTACCTTCTTCTAGAACAGGTGGGAGAATAGCTCCGGTGCAGGGAGACGGCTCCAGAGCTGGAGTGGGAGCAGGAGGTGAGGGTTCTGCGCATGTCTTATTGACTTGAACACCACATAGGCCCATGTTTCCAGAAAACCTGCAGTTTCAGTTATGTTAAAGGACTGATGCCACACCCTCTGAATGGCCCATACACATGTTGACATCTACCAAATGTTACGGAGTAAGCCAAATCTGTAGCAATTTGAAGGTGCTATGATACTTACGAGGCACTGGAGAAGTTGCCCATCGATCCATTCGTAGGAATCGCTCCTACGAGAAAATTTGATGACACATTGCTGTACAACGCAGGTTTCATACATGGTCAGATCTCAACACGAGCGTCAGCGTAAATAAAGCGCAATATCTTCATCACACTTTGCGGGAACTCGTCTCATGCGTACGTTTATCAATTTCAAATCGTAATGAAGTATCAGCTAATGCAAATCTTCAGGATTCATCAACAGACGGAACGAGATGCAGAGGACCAAATGCTAGTATGTGATCCCATTTGATGTCACACCGGCACGTGAAAGAATTTTACTCACAAAAACTGAAGCTTTGGGAGATTCCCCAAAGATTCTGGAATTGCGCCTGTCAGCATATTTCGGGAGACATCCCTGCAAGAGCACAGAGATCGTTAAATTTGTAGCTTTCTTTCTTCGACACGTGAAAAGACGATGCATCTCGACGTGGTACTATCTATTGCTCTGAAGTGAGGAGAGATGATGAATGCACTCACAGTACTTCAATGTTCATTAGCTCCCCCAATTCATCGGGTATGTTGCCGCTCAATGCGTTGCCTCTCAAGTATCTGTTTTGCATCGACCAAGAATATTAGTCGCGACTCAAACTCTACTCTCTGATCAGTACACATTCTGATCTTGGTGTGACTTCTAGTAAAACTGTCTAGTAAAAAAATGAGTTTGACATAGGAGCGTTCAGACACGAATGTCAACATTTGAGAGGTTTGCGGAAAAGCCAAGATTCTATCTAGTGTTCCAACAGAACAACTCGCAACAACTGACGATGGATTGGTGTTGGAACATGGCAATCGGCTTCGGCTCAGGAAAGTTACTACGGTTTCGCCACTATGAATCTTGTGATTTAAGAAGTTGCAATATAATGAGTGAGAGGAGGCAGCTCAATAGAATGCAATTAGGTGCGACATCTGCTTCTGTTACGAATGTACAATTTGCCCGCGAGTGACTTACAGAGCTCGTAGAAAGGTCAGATTCCGAACCGACGAAGGAATCGGACCCACCAGTCGGTTTTCGTGGAGCCCTCTGCTCATTTAGCACAACAATTAGCGGGCGAAAGATGAGAGCAGCAACATGTCAGACCGCGGGGCGTCGCTAATGGAAAGTTTGGCGACTACAACAAAGTCGAGACTGATAGCACAAAGCTTTCTCTAGGATCGGAAACCCACAAACCCAGCAGTGTCCTGAGAATACGAGAAACAACAAGCCATGGACTCGCCAGTCCATCAAAATGTGATGACCTTGATACTTACAATCTCCTCAACTGCGTTAACTTTCCTAGCTCCGCTGAAATGCTCCCACTCAGACGCTTGTAAGGAATATTTCTGCACAGGATTTAAAATTTAGTATTTCTCAGAAGCGAGGGCCATGCCTTCCATCAACGCTTCGCCTGCCAGCAGCACAAATAAACTTCGGATCCGATGTTGTGGAAAACTCAGGAGCTTACGCGGCTTTTCGCACGTCTTCATAGCAAAGAGGACTTACAGGTATGTGACACGGGAGGTGTTGGCATTGCATCTGACTCCCACCCACGCACACGGAGTATCGTCGCTCTTATTCCAAGAAGGGAGGACGTCCTCGGGATTCAGTAAATTCGCCTTGAATCTCAACAAAATCTGACCTGCTCGAATCAATCAAACGACCGAACCGACTCGTCACTCGACGTACACGCAGAGTATCGCCAAAGAATGACACCAGAAATCCAAAATTACAATATCCCTCGCGGGAAGAGGAAGGTGGAATGAATCGCATGAATTGAAACCTGTGACAGAAATATTGCGCAGGAAGAGCCCGGTCATTACCATCGTGGGTCAACGCATGGGCGTACCCGACGAGCAAAACCACCACCAGGGCGTACAAGTGGGCAGCGAGTCCGAGCTTCATGACCATCATTCACATTCGTTGCTACAAAGCAAACAATATCGTCCAGCCAACGTCAGTCTCTCTCGACAAAACTCCAACACAACTTCCCCAATGGTGCTTTGACAGTCCCACGAATGCAACTGTTAGAATCGTCTGACTCGACAGAAGCAATGTTCGAGGTTTCTAACTCTTCACAACGCTGTGGATTCCTGTGTCATATTACTGTCCTTAGAGTTGAGGGTAGTAGCTAAAATTGCACATTTAATCGATTTATGTTTTTATTTTTTAAGTGTTCGGCGCTAATGGAGATTTCGTCTACGGGGTGGAGATTTGATTCATGAAATCAGGGACTCAGGGGAATGTCGGTGTGTATCTTGTGACGAGGAGCCAGAGTGAGCGAGAGGGAAGATAAAATCTTTGATAGGGATGGGTTGGTTGAAGTGTCAGGAAGCACCCAACGAGCTATCAGCACATTGTGCTGAACTCAATCTTGGGTGTCCATTCACGAGCTGAGAAGTATGACTCCTCGGCAAGCTGAGGAGATTAGACTTACTTGACGAGCTCTACTTCGCAATCTACACAGCCAACTCCAGACAACGATCGATCCAAATACGTCGTCCTCTATCTACGGCCCTGTGAATTTCGCTCGTCCTTCTCTCGCTCGTTTCCTCCGGCCACCACGCTCTCTACCTATCAAGCTGGAAATCTCACTATCTGGACTCCCGCTTTCCAATCGAGGGCCTATCAAATCGCGACTTCAACCTTCCATTTCGATGCATCTGCTGTCCATGCATGACATGCATTCGAGCGTCTGGACCCTTCCACTACCAGCTCCGATTTCGCCAGTCTCGGCGGCTACACATTCTTCCGCACACCTTCCTCTAACAGACACTCGACAAAAACTCGTCCGAGCTGCTGCTGGCTCTTCCTTCCTGACCCTCTATCCACCACAACACTTCGGAAAAAAACGGCCTGCAGAACTAGAGGCAGCGGTGCGTCCTACTGCTCGCAATCCTCTACATTTCCCAGATTTACCGCACAACCAACGACACTGATACAAGTCTAAACATAGAGCATAAAATACACTGACAGAAAAATCACAGGAAAATTGGGATGTGAAGGGCTTCTCCTCCTTCTTCTCGGGAGCTGAGGTAGCAGAGACACAGTGGCATGCAGAGCAAGGATGGAGAACACCGATGGACCGAAGCTCGCACTCAGAGACAGACCAGACAAGACAGACCGACCACTGTCTCAGCTCCCGCCCGACGAGTACGCCTTCGCTCTCGGATCGGATCTATTGCCGGACCCACAGACGAGCAACAACAAGTCCCAAACAGATTAAGTGCTCGAAATAGGAGTAATAGAACGATTCAAATCAATTCGCTCGCTCGCGCTCTTCGTCGAGAGGCGAGAGATTGCAGAGTGACCGAGCGAGCGAGCACGAGACGAAGAGCAAGGAAGTGAGTTGGATGAGTGCTCGAGCTCGAGGGGAATCGATGGACGCTTCGCAACCGGAGAAATTCGCATAATTTTCCCGAAATAATTGCCCACTCTGCTCGCCTCACTTATCCACGTCGGTCAACTCACGCACGCAGGTCATCAATTCCCCCGTCGACTCTCTCTTTCTCTATCGATCGCGGACCACTCTCGAGCACGGGTCGACCCGGCGGACGCACCCACCAGCGTGGCTCCGGTCCCCCTTCCTCCGGAGCTCGGACCCTGCGAGCCACCGGCCGCCGCGAAAGTGACCGTTGGGGGATTCCACGTCATCCCCGCCCACACTTTCCTCGTCCGACGACGTTGACCGCCAGTCCGACAAGCAGGGAAGCCTTCGAGGGCCGAGGCTTCCGTTGCTCGGCGATTCTCTGCGGCTCGTCTCGCGACGCTTCGGTCCCCGTGGGCCCGCGCGTGGAGCTTTGGATCGTGGGACCCACAACGCGAGGAGGCTTCTCGTGCTGCCATCCGTAGTATGGCCGCGACCGTCGGGACCGTCGGGACGACGAAGATGGAAAACGGTCGCGGGTCGCGCGGGTCGCGAGTTTCTACGTGTTCGAAAAGTGCCAGTCCAGGTAAACGAACGAACAACATCTGAATCCGAGGGAAAAACCGGTGGAGCAGGTAATCGAATCCAGGTACGGTCAGCTGCAACAGGCCAGGAGGAAGATGGCCAGTCGTCGACCGTCCGGATTTCGCAATCCACGGTCTTCGTCCACGGAAACAGGGTAATGATTGCGGTCTCGTCCGGTGAAGCCGAGTTTCACATATTATCCGTTTGTTCGGTGAAACTGCGGGCTGCAGATTCATCCTCGGAGTCTCTCCGTCTCAGCGCCCTGTAACCACCTGCCGAGGAAGTTCTGGCCTACTGGAGGTCAAAGAATCCTACCATCGGATACCTGAATCGAACTTGTGGTTATGCAATCCACTGCGGCCCGAGGAGAAGAAGGTCGAGGAGAGATCCGGTTCCGGGAATGTCTGGGGAGAACCAAATGGTGCCGTTGGGTGCTCTTCGGGACCTGGGCCGTGAGTGCCGTATGTACGATGACCGAATTTATTACATTTCGATGGTCGTACAAGTGTATTTTCACAAAAGCTGACTGTGATGCCACGTCAAATGCTGCATGGATCCCCTGCTACACCCTTCCCTTCTTAATAGGAACCCGAGTAAATCGCAAAGGATGCACCCAAGAATTCGATTGTGCCCAATGTTAGAAGTATCTTGTGTCATAAGATGCAAACATCCAAGATATTATCCGTTGTCAACAGTGCCACGTCGCTTGTTTCATGGTTTGCAAACCGCCACCATCGGGCTGGCTCCAAAAGGTTTTTGAACAAGAGCTCATTCTTTTCTGTTGGTTTGCAGCTGAAATGTTTTTGAGGTCACGGTCACCGTTAGCAAATTTCGTTATACTTAGGAGATCAGATTCATCTCATAGTTTGTGCTCCTTCCAGGGTAAATGATTGAAATGAGTAGGAGTGGTGGCTTCCATTATTCGGATTGAATGAAACACATTCTCTTACTCAGAATTTCATTCACAAGATTATTACTCTACAAGTATTAGATTCTAAAAATATTTCATGTAATACTATATTGGAAACCAAATTGTGTTATAAAGAATGTGAAAAGTTCCAATTTGACTCATTTGAGGGGAACTTTCATTTTCATGGAAAGATGTAGAAAACAAGAATGTAACTTGGTTGGTTTCATAATTCAATCATTACATATTCATGCATTTGGGAAAAAAATTTTGCACTTTTAACTAAATTACAATCAATCATAACCAACTTTCCATTTTGTAGATACATCAGCAACCTGATCTTCATTCCAGCTGGATAATTTTTTAAAGTTTGTTCTTCAAGATGAAAAAAAAAATTAATTGATTGTGCAAAATTATATCACTTTTACACATATAAATAATACCAATCTGATTTTGGATTGCAATTCATTATTTTGATTACAAATATTTGGATAACACCTTTTTTTGCAATCTTTTATTTCTTTATCCTCATCAGATTTAGTATATTAAATTTATTTTTATTAATTGGTACAAAATATTTTTTAGGATGTTTCACAATTTTTATCAATTGACAAATGTGATCATTTAATGTTAAACCAAGAAATGAGAAGTCTCCAAAAGAACACGAACCTACTAAAACAACACAAAGCTATCAAAACAAGAGAAAAGCACACTCTTAACACAAAACACAAATGCAAGAGATCAGCAAGAAGCCAACATATACGTGGTTCGTACTTGTTGAGCTATGTCCATGGGAACTATAAGGTTTTATTAAAACCTAAACAATGTTCACCAAATACTATGTATCATACTCATATATAGTAAAAAGCAAAAACCTTAACAAACTAGAAAGATCTTAAACCTAACTTTAACTAGGGTTTATTTAAGTAGTATTAACATCAGACCTAAGTTGATATAAAAATACCCCTGAACTCATGTCAAGGAGATAGTATTTTTCATACCCGATATAATTACTTGAGTAAAATTCTAAAGAATATATAACATTGATATTTCTTTAAACTAGATTTAACTAAAACTAAGTCGTAGCCAACAAGGGATGTACAATGTATTTAAAGACAATTCACTTTCAGCCTCATCAGCCAAAACGTTTGGTTCTTGATCTACATTTGCACTCTGTACATTTTGTACTCTCTTTGTTCTAATAACATTTGTCATAGTAAAAAATGAAAAGTATCTGAAACACCAGAAATAGACACAAACAAAATTTCATTTTTAACTCGAATGTAAGAAAGCAATTGCACGTAGACAAGTGACATATATATATATATATATATATAGTTTGCCCACGGGAACTAGAGTGTTTATTGAAATCTAAACAATGTTCACCGAGATTTATATGTCATCCTCCTATAGTGCATGACTAGATTTTTTTTGATTTTAAAATTGATCAGGGTTGAGTTAAGGAGAGTTAAATTTGGATTTGAGTTAAAACTAACACATAAATGATATATTTATTATATATACTTTTTTATTTTTTATTTTTTTAGAATATAAAAATTAAATATAATTTTATAGTTAAACTATGATTAATGAATCATCTCTTTTTTGAGATCATTATGTATATAATATTTTGAAAAAATTATGCATGTAAATTTTCTTTTCATACATATATTTGTCTACTTCACATTTGTATTAAAAATATATGAATAACTTAAATGATTTTATACTGCATTTAATAACACGTAGATGTTTGCTTAAAAATATTTCAATCAATGCTAAACTCTTTACATAATATGTAAAAATGCTGAAATTTAAAATGCAATGAATGTTATAAAAAATATTCTGGCAGTTTTTAGGTTTTATGTTTATATATTTTTTAACTGAAAAAATTAGAAGTCATGAAAAATATAATTTATAATAAGTTATATATAGTAGTATTTAGAAAAATCTAAGTTGCGACTACATGCTTTCAAATCAAATACTTGAAATTATCAAGAAAATAAAATTATGTAAAAATATCTCAATGTTAATGTTTTATATTCGTGAATGTTAAGATGAACAATAATATTTCAAGTGCTGTGGAACGAAAAAAATGTAAATTATCTCAAATATTAAGTCAAAATATTCAATATTTATTATTAAATCCCTAGTACAATTTTTTTATACATAATAAAAATCAATTATGCAACTCATTGATTTTGATTAATTGATATACATTATCTGAAATACTAGGCAAATTCTCAAATCTATCAAATTCATAAAAATTCAAAGTTGTGATTCTATAGGTCGTGAATATACCTTAGAAAGTTCATGTTAAAGTTATACCAAAATTCTAGCATATAAATTTAGCTTTGTTAAATTTTATTTGTTTAATTGAATATCGAATTTAGTCTTGAATAAGAAGAACATTTTCTTTAAAATAGATTGAAAAACTCAATTCTAGAAGTATAATATTTTTTTAGCATTTAAATTCTTTAATTATAAATTAAATTATGAAATTGCATGATTGAATTCAAAACTAATTTAATTTTGAATACTGTAAATTTCCCAGATAACACTATTTTTTAATCTTTCATGCTTAATAAATTAGCAAATCTCATAATACCTCTAGTTATTTTCATTTTTTTTTATCAGAAATGAATAAATTCATTTCTGATTACAGACTGCAATATACTATACGTGTTATATCATTTTGCATGTGTTATATATCTATGAAAGAATTATAATCTTATATGAGTTTAATTTATAAATTTCACGTGAAAAGAAATTGAATTGATCAATGAAAATCATTCAAATTCGATTTCAGAGTAAATTTTTACCTTTAGGTAAAATCATCGCACAATTCCTATAGATAAAAATTTCAATACTGTTATGAAATTTAATTTAATTCAATATAACGTTTGAATTTTGGTAAATTTCTAAAATATTAAATATTCTCTGACTATAAATGAATATTTTGAACATTAATATTAAGAGAATATAACCTCGATGTTTAATTCTGAATTCTTGGCAATAGTATATTGTTTCAATTGACAGAATGTACAAAAGAAATTTGAAATAAATACCACTCTCAAGTAATTCTATGTTTTTTTATTTTATCAAATTCCTTACTTATGCAATAAATATGATATTTATGATTTTGAACAATTATAATCAATAAAATAATAAAAATTTCAAAATCTCAACTTTCATCGTTTTTAATTATGAACTTTATATATACTTATGTTAATTGATGAATGTCTTGTTAAACATGAATAAATACCAACTGTAAGGATAAATGACCCTTATGATTTACAAGAAGCAAACAAATTACTGTTATCCAGAAGCTTCTATATTATTTCTTAAAAGTGTGTGATTTTGTATATTGAATTAAAACATTATTTGGAACATGAGTTGAATTTTTGCTTATATTTGAAGCTAAAGTATTTAGTTTTGATCTTTATGAAATAAAATTATTATATTTCGGAATAGATATTAATATATGAAATATATATTAGTATTATTTAGAATAAATAATGTACTCCAAAATGCTGTGTTCAGATATTTATATTGAATAAATATTTTTTTTTAAAAAAAATTTGAATATCATCAATTGAAGACAAATTTTAACCTTTTGTTATATAATAGGTTATCTTGTGATATATCACTGTTTACAATGTACTCATACGAACCAATATTGATGAACAGCTTAGGGATGAATCTCCTTTAAGAGTATAAATTGTTCCACCTTGAGACATACATTTTATAATATATACGAAAAATGCAATTCTCATTTAGTTTATGTACTGGATATGCTGATCGATCAATTGCTTTTGGCACATTTGTGGGAGAAATAACCAGCAGTACCGAAGGCGAAGCAGAAATGCAAACACTTCAAACCTCTGTTACAATACTAGTATCAAAGGGATTTTGGAGAAGCGTTTTATCAAGTCAGATTGGCGTTGAATTCATATTCGAAGAACCTTGAGCTCTCGAAGTGAACTTCATTTTGAAGTAATCTCCCATCGTTATAGGTGGATAGCTGCACACCACAACCAAAAGTATTCAACTGAAGGGCACCACTAGCCTCCGGATCTTAAAGCAACAGATCATTCCGTACGGCTTGATTCTTACATGTGCAATAGGTTTGGAGTGCAACAATCCACTACTGGATTGTGATCCTCCAAACAGAAGTGCAAAGCGAAGGATCTGAAATTTGTCTGCTTGAGCGTTCATTACTTACTTGGGGGGAAATTCTTCCGAATGGCACGTTGGTAAACACTCGATCACTGTGTCATAGTCCGGATCATAGAAATATGCAACCTGATCACATGCAGAAACGTAAATGGCCTTTGCAATCTCCTTCGAGTGCTCAAAGTCCAAAAAAAGGTTAATAGGCAGACTGTTTGCAAACAAAGCTTGAACTTTCAACGCTTTCTTGTTTCTGAGCTGCTCCCTGTACTGTGAAAGAAATAATTGACAATCAATCCATGGTCTGAAGCATAGAGCTTCATATAGAGTTCGTGTGTATAAGAATTTAGGTCTAAACTCGTCTTTGATATCCACATACTTTGCATTTAGTTGGACCGACGGGCTCTGACTCCACTTATTAAATATTGTCAACATGCAAGTCTGACTAGAAAACTCACCGAATAGCGATCAATCCCATCTGTGACAACTCGATGCTGAGTTGATCTACAATAGTTGCCCAACATTCAAATGTATACAAAAGTTAGAAATTTCTCACAGATAGTGATTGAGAGTTCAAACTGATGTAAACAACTTCAAATTCAGTTTCAAAAAGGGTGTGTACCTCAAAGAATAATACATAATCAGTTAATATGATTCATGGCAATGTGAAAAGACTAAGTAAAACTAATGTTCGCTACAATATCTCACTTGAAGAGGCCGTTTGTCCATCTCTCTAACATATCTCCCAAGTTTACGATAAAAGATCTGCGTATAACCGCAAAATACGAGACATCGAGATGTCATGTATTTTATTAGGAAGGACACGACGACAAAGAATTTGGACTCCTAGGTCCACACGGAAAATGCTTGGAGGTACAAGCAATGGCATATCACATGAATGTCTGTCAGTACACCGAGAAAACTGATCTCCTTTCAAATCATCTTACACACTTGAAACTCTGTAGGCACAAAGCACACGGGGGAGAGGTAGTCCATATGATGAACAGTTGGGATCACGAGGTAAAAATCCTTCGCTGTTCGTGTGCAACTCACTCTTTTTTAGGTGGCACATCTTCCCATAACTTCGGCTCTCCATCTCTGGCTCTGCACACCTGATGAGTTTCTAAACCAGTGGGTCTCTCATGGTGGAATTTTCACATAATCCTCTCGTAAATGCATGAAAGTGTAAAAAAGAAATGCGTGGCCAAAGGGCTTGCTACATTTTTGGGATACCAACCTGAAGACCTCTGTTTTCGTCTGTAGCCAGGAAGGTTAGCATGCCATAATCTCCGTGAGGTCCTGTTCCAAACCTTCCTTCTTCTGGGCATGAGATCTCACCTGCACATCAACAGTTGTATAAAGTGGATGGACACAGAGGTTGGTCAATCGCTTGAATCTTTCGTCCCGTGTTAAATAATGCTAGACAGCAATACGTTTACAGGTCACATAGTTGTTCTTTGCTCTGTAGCTCTCTTCTACCTCTGAACCGACACCATCACTCTAGTGCGTACAAACTCAGTCCTCAACTGCTGAAAAGCTAGTCGAACAAGAATGTGGACTGTCCTTGAACTTGAATATAAACCATCCAAACAGGATCGTTTTTGTTCCACGAACAGGTAGTCACTTATTGAAATTCATTCTATATTTTTCAGCCCTGACCTACCAGATTGATGCGAAAGGGATGATAACACACCAATGTAGTGTAATGGCCGCAAGGCCACGGCTGGGGCCATAAACATGTGTCGAAAATAATCCGCTTCCAGGTCCAGGGCCAACGCGACCAGTGATGCCACACAGTGTCCAACTTCTCTGTACAAGCAAACACCATCCACAGGTTACCCTCCTTGATACCTGGACCATGTACGTAATAACCGGACTACCTTGTGCACATTGAAATAAAAAAAAGGGCAGTGCAATGGTACTAGGACGTTCAAAAATCACAATGATGATGATGATGATGATTTGTTCAACAACATTATCTGCAAACCAGAAAAATACTCACAGAAGTTTGTAGAAATATGTTTCCAATGTTTCCCTCCATTCTGGAAGTAGATCTGTGAAAAAAAAAATGGGACATTTGTTCCGGTCATCCTTCTTGAATTCGTCATATATAATGGTAGATAGAATGGTGCAGCTATATCTTGTTCAAATTATTAGATTGTAAGCTTGGCAAACCCTTCAAGGAAAATGCAATTAACTTGTTATATCACTGTGGGGGGGAATAGCCAAGAAGGATTAACACAACCTTGTCTAACAATCATCTTACCAATGAACATACATGCCCAAGAGATTGAGGGTAGAGACAAGTTTTTATGCATTACCTTTAGAGGGCCATTGATTGGGACCATGCAGTGGTTTCAGAGCTAGTGGGTGATCTTCGGACATTTCCCATCCTATGAAGTAGGCTTCCCTTGAGTCCCCTGATCACACTTGATAGTCAAGTTGCTAAACTTCCTGCTTCTTAATAAAATTAGACAGAAGTCCTTTTCTATCTCATACAAGGGTTTGATGATCACATGCTGAACTTGATACACAGAAGAAGGATGATCAATATATAGAGCTATTCATCTTGCTTGATTATATATCCTCAGTTTGGGTGACGCAAATATAAGAATGTACGTTGGTAAATCTTCAAGAGATAGACCCTCACCTTGCTTTGACTCGATAGGATTCAAGGTCTCCTTTCCGATGGGTACATAGCCACGATAATTGTTGTCTTGAAGCGATCTCATCTTTTCGTCCACTGGTAGGTCAAAGAACAGTTTGCTCTGCTCAAATACTTTGTCAATGAGTTTCAGATCTATCCCGTGATTTATCAAATAGAAGAATCCATGTTCAAGACACGCCTGTATGGCCATCAAATTGGGAACTTCACATGTCAGTTTGACTTTTCAATGCTTAAACTGACGTCCCAGCTGACTGATAAGTGAAAGAGTCTTGAATGACAGATATTCGCTGTTATATTTGGACTGGCTTAAAACATGAGAAGACACTGTGCACTTTGTTTAAGACAAAGAGAGAGGAATCAGTCTCTTCAAGATCAAAGATGCTCCTTTGTCAGACAAGGTGAAATTCTAGTAATATGAGCATGACTATAGTGTGACATTTATTCCAGAAACTTCAAGAACACTGAAATTACATAACAAGTTCTCTCTGAAAGTAAATTAAGGGCCGATATGCTTCCAGCAGAGGCTCCCAATATCTTCCAGCACCGTAAAGAACCGTGCGGCGTATGAACGAAACGTCGTACAAAAGAGCAGAGGAAGAGAAATGGCAATGCCTTTTTCACTTTTTGAGCGAGCAGATGTCGATCATTCTCCGCCAAATCAATGACATGCAAGGGCAACACACTCTCTGTATGTCCCGCCATCGGGAGCCTCAAAGCGTAAAGCTGATGCAAGAACAAGAAAGGGAAGTTCAACCTCGTGCTCGCCACCCTCCCTCTGGTTTCAAAGTCGTTGCTCCTCAATCTCTCATACAGCCAGATTCTTTCTCTCGCTCTTCCTTCGCCCGTTACACATTCTAGTTTCGTAACTCCCACGCACCAAATTTGAAATCCAAATTTAATCGAATCTCTAATCGAACCATGTCCGCTAACTAAAAATTTCATTTTCTGGCGCTTCTTTGTTCTTGATATTCACTTTTTATTCGTTGCATTGTTGGAGAATCTTGCAGATCCTACTATCATGTAAGTTATGCAGGATATTAGGTCGAGCAATATGGGTTCCCCATGATCTCTTGTCACCTATAAAACCAACGGAGAATCTCTGGACAAAGCCCGGGAGTTCATTGAAGGATGCCTATTATATCCCAACATCTTGGGCATTTCTAATGCACCTACCGTCCCAGCTTTCGTCCGATATACCATTCGAACCAATCGACACCAAAGCGTGTACGGATTAACTGAGACATGGTCCTTGTTTAAATGCGTACATTTATTAACATGGATGAAAAGAATTCCTTTATTCGTAGTTGATTAACCAAATTTCTTTCAATATTTGTTTTATAACGTATCGATAAAATATATCATTGTATAGGAATTATAATTGTAGGATAGAGATATCAAACAATCCCTAGACAATGATATAATGTTCTCTTTACGTTATAATACTTGGCCTCGAAAGCTCTCTTTCTAAAAGAACATCGATGAAATTTCCGGAAACCATCGTATTCCTTGGAGAGTGCTCGTTTTTCTTTACAATAAACACTTGCTAATCTTCTTTCGACCGCAGAATGTTTCCTGTATTCTCTGCCTCCTTCGAAGACGTAAGGGTACATGTGCTTCAGCTCTTTAGATAAAATTAGCACCGTCAAATCTTGCATCTACAGCGGCACTATACTTGAGGTCAATCGAGAAATGAACCAAATTCTGGGTCGATAGCCAGGCAGGGAGTCCTGCAGCTCACCGTGTATGTACGAACGTGGGCTGGGTTGTGAATTGTGATGTGGCCAGATGCATGCTGTACATCAATTTTCTCGAGGGAATCGAGGTACTCGGGTCAAGAAGATAGTGGATACTGGAGATTGATCCCTTGGACTACGGTTGTGCACGTGCATCTAACTGGCACCCCGAGTCACAAATTTGATTCGCCGGTCCGTTCCTAGTGGACATGGTGAAAGTGGTAGTTCCCCAATCCAGCTTGACAACAGCATCTTGCTCTTGGACCAAGCATTACCCACCGCAATCTGAGAGTCCACTGGTTCTGATGGGCATAAGTTTGGTGTATTTCCCAGCCTGTAGATATGGAGATCTTGTTGTAATAGAGGTCAGTGGACCCTGGAGGAAACACTTTCGATTGCCAGCTATTTCCCCTACAGTTAGCATGCTTTGATATTAAATTGATTAATTATGACGCTTATGTGAGTATTACAATTTATCCATTCTGGTCAAGAATGGAAGAAGAGTTTGAAGTTGGTGTCGCAGCCAGACAAGTTCTCTTCGGCTGTAATCGGCTTCTTCTTGTGTTTTTATGTGTCTATCAGATCTTATACATGTTTGTACCACCTTTGAGTGATGGTGGGCCAAAGGCTAAACCTTAATGTCTCTGTGGACTGTAAAGAAGGGGATTCTCGATCAAACAAAAAGAAGGAATTGAAGAGTTATTAGTACAAGTCTCTGCAGGCTTTGCAGAGAACTGTAATAGAAGATATGATACAGTGGAGATAGCTCGAGCAAGGAAAACTATCGGCCGATAATCATCATCATCAGCAGCAGCAGCAGCATCAGGGCATTGCAAAGGGGTTGAAGCCCGGGCTAAAGCACAGAAAATTTCTTTTTACACGGTAATTGAGACCAGTGGAGGGCCCTGGGTGGAAGTGCCAGGAGCGCTCGAACACGTTGAATCTGGACACAGCAAATAAATCTTTCCCATTACCGTACGAGAGTCGAACGGTGTATATACTGTCAGAGTCAGCCACCACTCTTCTGCCATATCTAATGCTGGAATCTGGAACACTCATGGACACCATGACCAGTTTCCCAGTGACCGGATCGAATTCATACACTCGAATGGTTGCACAGGTGAACATTTCTTCATGCACGGGGACCGTGGTTTTATTGTACGCTCCGTCTACTTCATACAATCCCACGACCACAATTCTCGAGCCAAAGCGAAAGATACCAGCTTCGACCAAACCTTCGTCTTCGTAATCCAAAGAGTAGACTCGCTTGGAAACAGTCCCATCCTTCAAGTCCAACACAATCGAATTAAATGCGCTAGAAAACGTGGTCAATGTCATGCAGTATAAGGTGTCCCCGTACAGAACGCTAGAGTGACTCGCAATGGGAGGACGGGATTTCAGACTGTAAGAGTTGTTGATCGCTGACGAGCATGCCGACCACGTCCTGGACTGGGAGTCGTAGATCTGAGTGACCATGGACTCCAGCGTCATTGCCTCAGCGTTTCGTTCCTTAGTGTGAGACAGAAGCAAAACCTTGTAGTGATCTGGCCCCACTGGAAACAGGCGAATGGAGACCTGCAGAGGCACGGGAGGCAGTGGCATCACTCTGTGCTCTCCCGTCAACCAATTCGCCACCACCAGATGATCGTATGCCACACTGCTCCTGGTCTTGTAGATCAATGCAACCAGAGCTCCTGAGACTGCCGAGCTGTGAGGATGGTTCACGAAGTTGGGCAAGGAGAGGCGAGGCAGGGCTCTTATTATGGAAGGATGCGATGGGATCCGATGCCAAGAGTTCGAGGTCCGATCGAGCCCCACCAAGTTTATGGTTTGCTCTCCGGAGAGAGATCGGCCTAAACTCAGAAACGCAGGGCAGTACGAGGGCCACTTCTTGCTAGATAAGATGAATTCCGGGCCTAAGGGAGATGCCGCGCTTGCAGGGAAATGGTTGAAGACGAGATGCCAGTGCCTCGAGAGTAAACGTGCTTCGTAGAAATAGGGGAACGGAATCTGCGACAGAATTTTCTGCACCAACTCCAAGGGAAAGTTGTCACCAGCCCAGATTTTTTCGTCCCTCCTTCTTTCGACATTGCCCCTGTGGTCATCCTCATCTTCTGCTTCTGCTGCTGCTGCTCCTCCTGCTGCTGCTCCTGCTCGTTCCATTTCCTCGCCTCGTCGGGCCCTCCTTCGCATCGCCTGAGAAAAATCTGTCGACATGGGGAAACTCACGAGAGTCTGACCGTCCAGGAGATATTAAGCGCATTAAGTATTTCCGTGTGCAAGTCAGGGCCTTCCAATATACAATGATGAATAATATAAAATAAATATGGATATATGGAGAATATATGCCCGAGCTTTCACCGTTCGCACAAAAGTCTTCTGGGTCTGGTTCCCGTCCAGATCACGAACTCTGCAACGGATTTCTCGGAGAATCATATTCGTGAGAGCGATGCGGTGGATCCGGCACACCACGAGGGATGGACCCGATGCACATGCTCATATCGCATTTTGAAGATGCGTTCTCTTTCCCACGATAATCTTCTGATGGTTCATATCCGCTGACTTCATCCATCATGTTACGGATGATTATGATGGATTCGTTACGAAGATCGATGGCTATCTATCTTTCTTGCTTTATTCTATTTTTTTTAACTGATCTTCTTCATGTCAAACAGCAAGTTTTGCTCTTCTTTAATCGCTTCTCTTTGTGCAATGATTTCTGACTTTTATTACCTCTAACTTCTCCTCATCCTATTTCTTCTTGACTCTTTATACTTCTCATTGATTTATGTATTTCAAATTTTTTTTGCGCTTTTCATATTATCTTAATTAATAATATCTTATGTTTCTCAAGAACTGTTCATGATTTTGAAACATCTGCATTCAGAAATTTAAAAGTAGTTACTTGGTAAATCTTAAATTCCTAAATGAAAAATGTTGATTAAACTTATACTTTACCATACAAGAGATGATATTGATTAATTTATTTAAAATTGAATATTGACACCAATTTGTGAAACATATTTATCAACTTTAACTTCTTGTTGTGATTTCATATAATTTTAAAAAATTAGAAAATTATATAACCAAAAAAATATTAATAATATGAATCACATGAATACCCAAAATAAATTTATTTCTTCTTGCAAATGCTCACAAGTAGTTGCTTTTGGTCATCTGATTACGTCGAATTGAGCTTAGCATGCAAGTTTAAATACAATTTAAAGAAAAAAATGAATTAATGAGTGACTCACTTACTAATAAAATATCATTAAAGAACGAAAGATCTTCCTTAAAAAACTATCAGACCATACTTGTTGAACTTATCCCTCGATCCCAAATAAGAAAATATATATTCGGAAACTAAATAATCACTGTAAGTCATTTTAAGAAAATTGTAGCCTATTCGAACATATGTATAAATTTTTTTCTATATCAAAGTACATGACATCAAAGTACAATTCCCTTTGTTAATAAAAAATCTGCACATAGAATCTAGAAGTCTATCATTATTATCATAAAACCGTTTGTCAAATAATCTAAGATTCGATTCCATGTATATAATATTCAAAGTGAATGGTGAGCAAGATTTTTCACATAATTAAAAAACTGAATTCTAATTAACTTCATGAATATATTTTTCAAATTATATTGATGTTGCTCAATTTTGATCAAATCAAAATTAAATTTTTTTTTATATATTTGATATTATTTTCTTCTTTGCATGTAGAAAAATCTTCATACTTGACAACCTTGAAAGTATAATGTCTAAAAGTTTTATCAATAGAGCATTATTGAGACTAAATAGATATTTTAATAAGAAAATTGTTATATATACAACTTGTTCCTTTCACATTGCAACTTTAGCACTTTTCACATCACACAAGCTCCAAGTTTTATGAATGTATAACGAGAAAGAGGTCATTTATATGAATTTAAGTCAGCGTAACTGTGGAAAAATCTTCATCGTGATTAGCTACAGATTGGAGGTACAATTAGCGATATACTTTTGCAAGAATACTTTTGTCTAAGATGTCAATATACTCTCAATGATACTATAAGAACAATATGCTACTCTGACAAATGGTTTGCTGCTTGCTGTGTGCATATGTTCAGGATTTTGAGTTCATACAATGAACTTCTTTAATAAAAAATATATTTTTAGGTATAATGGAATTTTGATTAACATTTATCTATCGTAAACTAAACACCTCTTTAAATACATCTGCATCGACCTAGTTTTGTGCAAATTGAGATAGCTGTCAAAAACCTGTGTTTTATTCTTGAAAGAAGGAAGAGAATCACGCGTGCATGGATTTTGGATAGATCCGGAGGAAGCAGCCTCAAGATGGAAGTCGCTGAATTAGCTTGCCAAAGGAGAACCAAAGGTGACTGACACAAGATTCGGATTTCACGTGTTTCTGGTGACGTCTGAAAACAGGCCACGAAAATTGTTCAGTCCTGAGCCCAGATTGCTGCTGCAGCTGCTGAGCTTGGCGTCGCAGCTTCATCAGTCTCAGAATTGAGTATCGGATTCAATGCATTGCTTCTATAAAGAATGGCTGAGGAGGTCCGATGGTTGGCCGTGCATAATGCTTCGATTAGTACAGAGCAGTCCGAGTTGCACTGGGCAGCTTGTGGGAGCGAGGCTCGATGAGATGGCAGACGCAGTGGGCAACACAGTTGTCGTGACGGGAGCGAACGGGCTCATCGCCTCGTGGGTCGTCAAGCTTCTGCTCGAAAGAGGGTACACCGTGCGCGGAGCTGTTCGCAACCCAGGTTTGTGCTCTCTTTCCGGGAAGGCGTAAATGTCTGATTCCATTGCAGCCGCCTCCCTGGCCCCGTCCACGTAATATTACATTGCTTTTGCTCCGCATCTGCCGAGCCGCTGTCAGAACTCCGGTTCCGCGGAGCTTTGATAATTGGACCACAGATTCTCCCTCTCTAGTCGGAACGAATTGGAATTTCTGAAAGGAATCTTCTTCTGCTCTCATGGCTGCACCCTCGACGATGCTTCACTCTCTCTCTCGTTCGTCTCGTTGTATGATTAGACTGTGGAGCATCTGAGATTATATCATTAATGGTTCAGCATATTACCTTCACGAACTGTGGACTTATCAGTGGCGATCGTAGATTAGTATCTTTCTCGTTTTCTGGTGGATGCTTCTGTGTTGTCTGGCGCCTCGACCGTGGTTGGCTCTCGAGCTGTTTTCTGCACCTGACGCTCGATAGGCTCTCTCGCCTGTCATTTGTTACCACAACTGAACGAAGCATCTCGTCTTGTCTGGGCCTTTTCTCGAAATCTTTCTTCCTTCTTCTATTCCTGACGTGCTGTTCGAGCTAATTTAGATGTGGACCTTCTGTCGCACACGGTCTAGTCTTCTTGCAGTGCCCCGTCCGCGATCTGGGAATTGAAGGATAATTTGGCCGTGTCAGACGTCCGAGCTGCAATTTGATTACAAGACGGCATAAATCGGCCGCTTATGGTGTCGATGACGTTTCTCAGTCGCGTAATTGTGATTTGGAGATGACGATGCTGTTAATTTGAGTGACGTGCCTTCGAACAACCTCTTTCTACTAATTCTAGTACTCGTTCGGAGACCCTCAATTGCACTGCTTTTTATTAGCAGTGTCAAGCGTCCACTTTGTTTGCAGGTGACACTCAGTGCTTTGTTCCTCATTCTGCTAAAGAGTGAGCGTACGTTGCAACTTTAGCACACAGAATGACATTCGTCTAGAACTGATGCCTAAAATCCAACAGTTGAAACGCAATTTGCGGGAATATGTAAGAATTGTTTTCTACAATTTAAACTTCTGTCCAGTATGTCAATGGATTCTCCCTTTCTTGGCGGGGCATCTGTAGATTCTGCACATGATTTGAAACCGAGTGAAGACAGAGTTGCTCGACTCAGTGGCCCTCCTCGTCGTCCGCTGAATTGAACCATGGTACTCGGAGAATCTGAGTGGACTTGGGCTTCAGACTGCGCGAGTGTAATTCCCTGTGGTGCTCTTCAACCCAGATGATACTAAGAAGGTGGGCCACCTGTTGCAGCTGCCGGGGGCGAATGAAAGGCTGATTCTTTGCAAGGCAGACCTGCTGAACGAAGGGGCTTATGATGGGGTTGTCGCCGGTGCTGATGGAGTCTTCCACACAGCTTCGCCATTTTTTATGAAGAACATGACCAATCCAGAGGTTGGGCCCAATCCCTGGAAGATTCCTGTTGAATTAAATAGGAGGTAAACTTGTATATGTTCAGATGTCTCAATTTTTAGATTGTGTCATATGCATATGTTAGATGTAGAGCGTTTTTTTTTAATTTTTTTTTTAAGCGTTTGGTTAGTGAACGGCAGTGTTCTATTCACACCGAGGAAAACTTCTCGCCTAGCTAGACGTGGTTACATTTTCTGGCTGAATTGCATACGGTTTTTAAGCTAGAAGGGTCTCCGACATCATCTTGCCTCACTGTCTCTGCGCATATCGCTGCATTACTACCTGTAAGAGATATCTGGCAGAGATCTAGTTACTGCATTACTCCATGTGAGAGATATCTGACAGAGATCTAGTTACTGTGTTGAGACCTCATGTTAGCAGCGAGTTGAGGAACTTGAGGAGCTCAGCGAGTTGAACTGACTCCTGTAATGCATCTTTGCAAGCATTCGTGTATCACTGCCGATGCAGAAAGTAGTATAACTTTCAGCCTTTAAGAAAATGACTTTCTTAAGGATATGAAGGTGTGCGTGTTTTTGCTTGAAATTTTTCGTTTCTTTCCAGATGAGTAGATTATTTTCGTGGTGGTACTAATGATTTCGGGGTAATCATTCGTACCACCATCTTAGAGCATGAGTTACTAGGCGGGTTGTTATTCACGTCGGATAAGGTGTAGTCGCTAACGAATGGCCTGTTTCGATATGTAGGAGCGATTTCTATCCCCTGCTGTTAGGGGAACGTTGAATGTCCTCAAATCTGCAGCAAAAGCTAAGAGTGTCAAACGAGTCGTCCTCACCTCCTCAACTGACACAGTAGCACACAACCGCGAATCCAAGGATCCAAACGTGGTGGTAGACGAAACTTGGTGGAGGCGATCTAGAGTACTGCGAAGAAATTCAGGTACTTTTGAGCCTCATTTCCAACGCAGATTTCAAAGTATCTGGTGAATTTCGGCGAGCTTGCATTAGGCTTCCGGGACTTTTAGACTAACCGTTTGAAAGCACTCAGTATTTTAACTTTGCAAAATCTCTACTCTTATGATTAAACTCGCGGTTATTGCATGTATGTTACGTTTCGTACCTGTTTTCAAAAGTAACAGTGCCTTTCTCAAGAAGAGCTCTGAAATTGGAGGCCTCGCTGAGAGCTAAAATTGTTATGCAGCCTCTTGATGCTTAGTTGGATCTGTTGTGAATCGTCCCAAAAGTTTGCAGGTTATTTGAGAAGTCGGAGCATGTTAAAGCTATGATCAAAATGACTTATACACTAATTGAGCTTGTGTCCAGGCCTGGTACGCCCTATCGAAATTAACGGCCGAGAAAGCAGCATGGGATTTTGTGAAGGATATAGATTTTGATCTGTTGGTGATGAATCCGTCAATGGTGATTGGCCCACTCCTGCAGAATAGCTTAAATAGCAGCACTGGGATTATCCTGAACGTTATTACTGGTAAGAAGCTGTTAAGTGGACTCTGAACTAAAATCCGCCATAAAATTTCATAGCATTCACCCCTCCAGGTTTCAGTATCACTATTCGCTTGACAATAATCAAATGATAGAACACTCCAAATACATTCATAATATCACGTTACAGTTTCACTGGACGCATGACAGTTCTCTGCTGTTGGATTTGAAGAAATTTCTGGCTTTATCAACGGCAGGAGCGACGAAGGAGTACACGAATTTTGCCACGGGTTGCGTAAATGTGAGAGACACGGCCTTAGCTCATGTATTGGCGTATGAGATGCCCTCAGCAGAAGGTCGTTATATCTTGTCGAAGACGGTAGTGCACTTCGAGGATATTGCAAAGATTTTGAAGAACATCTGCCCTGGCTATCCAATTCCCTCCAAATATGCTTTTCTTACCCTACGTGTCAGCCACGGGAGATCTAAATCCTGTCACCTCCTTTACTTGCAAGTCTAAAACATGGGTTTAGTTGGACGTCCGTCCTGATTTTCAACCCTGAAGAAGACTTCTTGCGTGGGTAATTCAGCCCCAACATCTCGACTTCGTTGTCTCTTGACATGGTGATGATCCATCGCACGACTGTTACTAATCTACTATTCGTCTGGACTGACATTAATGTCGATGTTTTTGGGATCAGGTGGAGGGGAACAGCCCCGAAAGCAAGGACTTACTCCCTGACGTCTGAGAAAGCTGAAAAGCTGGGCGTGCACTTCACGTCCGTGGAGGAGAGTCTGGAGGAATGTGTGGCAAGCCTTAGAAATAAGGGATTTCTTCCCCTGTTGTACATTAAGCATCTGAGAATAGGAAACTGACCTACGTTGCAAAGGGTACAGAGGGGAGGAAGCAATTGAATCTGATGGTGACAATGGCGGTTCACCATTCACACAGTAATATGCACTCCTCGACTTTCTCCGGAGCTTAGCAAGTTCGATAGAGGGGACTTACTTCAAGGACACAGCGCAGGCAAGCCAGTAGCATGGTTCTGCACATCCTCAATTCAGCGTGAAACTACGTATGATATCTATTGTCGATCAAAAAATCCGAAGCGTGTTCTCGCAAATATGGATCCTCAAATCTAAAGTTTCACGATGCTCTTCCTCCAGCAGACGGCAGCGCGCAATGGCGCTTGCTTGAGTGCCCGAGAGTGTCTCCGAATGAGGGTTCCAAATCATTGTTCCGAGTGTTACTGGACCGGACATCTCCCTCATTTAAAATTAGGAATAATATTGAGTTATTTTAAGATAACACCCCTCCATCGTCGTCACTCGATCTGTACAAAGTCGAAAGAGCCCATGAGAATTTCTTGATTCAAGGCAATCCAGTTGCTATGGCTTTAGCTTTCTCCTTTAGCCAATAAGGTGTCGTAGGGGTTTTTATTCCACGTTTCTACCCCTCCGAATAAGTAGAAGGGCGGCCCACAAAAAGCAAAACGGCGACTATATGCACTTCTGGAAAGAAAAAGGACTAAAGTCTTCGCTACCCTACGTTAGTAACCTACCACTGTAATCAGGATCTGTGAAAGATTTTCGGTCAATGCTTGTTGGGTCTGAAGCTTTGCAAGGATTGTCTATACACATCTTTACTTTGTGTACAAGTCACACAATAGGCTGAAGCCTGTTGTGTGAACTTTGCACGATGTGATACTGTTTTTTCCTGTTCGTAATTGTTCTCCTTACGTCCAAGAAACTTAGAAACTCTTAAAGCGTGAGGTAAATTTGAAACTTGATTAAGATAATGACTCTTAGTTTCGTTGTAATATTAATGACTCTGATGATCTTGATCGAACAAGATTTGCAGCAGTAGAAACAAAGACCTTGACAGAGTGAAATCGATTTGTACAGTGAATCGAGGATTTGCAGATGGACGCCAATGGAATGCTTTATACTCGTGTTCAGCGCTTGACCTCTGAGTGTGTCATCTAAAAGTCAAAGTTCACACATCGCGAGAGAACTCACTGGGCTTGAAAGAACTTACCCAAGTACATCACGAGACAAAAAATTACTACCCTACATGATTTGGATATATCTAGTGCACTGGACATCGCTATTCGACGTCATGTACTGCACCTGTCGTAATGTACATAGTTTATTTTAAAGAGAATTCGGCTTGGTGATTCTCAGCTCACCAGATCGAGCGCATCACGAAAGAAGACGAGACGTCGAATTCGACTTCTCGGTTTGAATTTGAAGAACAACTCTGATAATTATCAATATTTACAGGGATGCGATGGATCAGTTCTTGAAGAATCCACTCGAGGCAACTTTGCAGGAATGGACTCTCCACCTGACAAGAACTCTGCAGGGATTCCATTTTAGCAAGAATTTAAAGTCGGCATACGAGGAAACATGACCTGGAGTCGTTTCTTGTGCAGACGTCGTTGCTCTAGCTGCGCACGATCCTCTGCAGCTCGTAAGTAAACCTCGAATACAGGGATAGTGATGTCATATGTAGATGTGAAGTATGCATGGACTGATACAAGCAGGCTCACAAACTTCCAATCCTCACTGAGAAGAATTCGTCCTCGGGACTATCCGCGTCAGATCTGACTGTCTTTTGGCCCAAATCTGAAGTCCACGCCATACTACCCAGTTCCATACGCAGAGATGGCGTCGTGTCCATCTCGGCCGAGGCTGCAGCCAACCTTCCGAGCCCGCTCATGACCTTTACAGAGCTCGTCAACAATTCCCAAGCAGCAAAGAATCGATGGTACTTTCAGGTACACCTTCACTACTCGGCCCACGAGGTACAAAAGACAACCACGAAATTTGTGTTTCAATCCAGGAAAAGCTACGTGTACTTTACAAGGAAGTTGAGATCAGACGATGGAATGCAATTACTCGACCATGCGACACCAATTTCATGAACTCATATTCTTGATCGTTGTCGGCTGGTGATCATACTAGCGGAGATACACATCGCTTGAAAGTTTGGTCTCGTCTCTGCAATTCTTCTTTTACAGTGAAATCCAACCCAGAGCAGGACCCAGAATTTGCTGCCCGGAAGAAGAAAAGATGGCCGCCCGGTAGAGGAGCATTGAAACCATGAAGATTATCGTTAAGTACACAGTCTTCCCATCGGTCATTGCTCCTTGAAGTTCAAACCATCAAGACAGCTTGTGAAGTGACTTCCAGTATAGGAACATGAGTTGTGAAATGCAAAATCAGTTCACTTTCCCTTCGATCAGTTCTTACGATATGTCGAGCAATTTTTTGTTAGAATGTGCACACAGGGATAACTGTGAGAAACAAGAATATTTAATGATAACAAAAGAGAATCACATAAATACCCTTGAGGTCCCTGAAAAGCAGGGAAGCCCAAGGGAGAGTCCACACGTTCGCTGTGGGAACGAGAAAGAGCGAGGGCACCCTGAACCCTAATCCCGAGTGGGCACACACATTTCAACACGGAGGATGCAGATGGAAGTCCAGAATCAGTCATCTTTGAGTTCCGATCACGATCGAGCATTAGCTGTCCAAATGCTGGTGGGTAGTTTACATGTAGAGATCGAGTCCGGAAGTTCTTCAACTGCAAGTTGCGGCCTCTTGGACACTTGACGGTCAGGACAGTGTGGATAACTGTGAGCTGTGGGATGCAATTTAATCTATCAAAAGACGGACAATGATCGTCAAGAATCCAGTACTCTGAAATATGTTGATGCGGATCCAATAGTCAGAACTCCCCGGCCGTATTTCACATTTGGGCGTCAATTGTGTGAGTAAGACTGCGAACACGACTTAACATATAGGACTAATAAAGAGGAACAGAACAATCATGATATGCACAAAGGACGCTTTCTGTCGAGGTCAAGAGACGGGAGGAATTGATGGGTCTCATTCCAAAAGTACAGGGTGCAAAAGAAGAAATGGAGTGATGACAACAGAAACCGAAAAGCACTTCGAAAGCACGAGCAGTCCATGTTGCCGAAACTCGTCATTCTGCCTCGGTCAACTGCCTCCCGCTGCCCGGAGCGGATCCCTGCGCGGCTGCTGCTTTGTACAGTCGCTGTCTGTCTCGCTAGCTAGACGCTCCCCCGCTGCTGCTTTTCGAATGCCATGATGGCGGAGCGGCCACTTGCTCAAATTTGAAATTTCGCAGCGACCCGCGCTTCTCGGCCGGTGGTCCGCGTCGAGTCGAGCCGGGCCTGCCTGCCTCCCTTCCTCTCTATCTATAAATAGGCTCCGCTTTGGGCGATGGATTTCAAGAACCCGCTCCTTGACTTCCATTGTCAAGATCGCATTGCACTGTTTGCATCCTCTGCTCCTCCGGAGTTTCCACTCCCTCGTGATCCCGCACTCCATTGGAAAATTCGCCATTTTTCTCATGCCAGCCGGCCGTCCGCTTCGAGATAGTCAGACCTGGATTTCAGCAGACACCGTGAATTTATGATTTTGCTTTTGAGAACCCGTATGAATCCAAGTCATGAGATGTTGATTTTCTGATGATTTCGAGATAGACATGGAAATTAGAAGACATCGCGAATTTATGATTTTACTTTCGAGAACAGGTATGAATCCAAGTCCCGAGATGTTGATTTTCTGATATCAGTTCTTAAAGTTCATCTCTGATATGAGTTCAATGTTGCCGAAACAGACCACACGAGAACAGACAATTTACGAGGATCGCTTTCATCCCAGCTGAATAACGCAGACCAATGATCCGGATGGCCATATGACATTCACAGGGACTAAACAGAATCCAGCTGTTGATTTGAAAACTTTTCGTGGGTAATGTACAATCGCGAACAGAGTCCTGGACTCTGAGAGTTGCAAGGCAGGCATGTACGTGGCTAAGGTGAAAATATGCACAGAGGTGAACAGGGCTGGGTCGTAATGTACAGAATCTGCTATCTCTAATTCTACTTCACCGCACAAAACTGTTTTGGGATTTTTGCCCGAGGCTGGACCACGAGTTCTACGCCTTGACCGACTTGGAGCTACTCACGAGTAGTTTTGTGACCCTCGCTCTCTCTTCAGTGAGGAACTCCTCGTATTGATAGTCTTCCAGAAGATCCATGAGATTTAGCTCTTGAAAAAGGCTAATAAGGCTGTCCAGTTGGTCGAATGCACCTTGAGGATCATGCGCCTCCAGCTTTGCCATGGCCGAGTCGTATGCCTCCTTGGCCTTCGTGAATATCAGTTCTGACAGATCGGTCGACCCGAAGTCCTTCATGAGCTCGCAAACCTTCGGATCTCCTGCCATCAGGCGCTTCACAATATTGATGTCCCTCAAGGTGTATTTGTGATCGTCAGATTCTTCGAATTCGATGGACTTGGCCAGAAATTGTGGCATGTGAAGAAGTGCATTCAGATGCACAAGCGCCTGCTCGTAATTCTTGGCCCTCACCATGTCCATTGCCATGTCGTACTTCCCCGTGACTAATCCCTTGTAACCGTACTTCAGCTGATAAAATGCTTGCATATCTGAAATCTCTAGTACTCTCAACCTCCACTCGATATCGCTGCGTTCGTGAGCAGGCATCTCCTCCTTTGCAGGTTGCTCTGGTGCCTGCGGTTTCACCTCCATGATGAACTTCCCTTCTTGAACTCGGAAGATGCTCTGCTGCTCTACGGGGGGAGTGACATTGGGTAGCCACTCGGGGACACGCGTCAGGAAAGGAAGAGCCTTTAGCTCCAATGTCCTGAGGTTCGGGAGCCGCTGTATGCACTCAGGAATATTATTGAGGGGAACCCACTCGACAACAAGTCGCTCCAGGGACTCGGGAAGCTCGGGCAACGAGTCGAGCTTAAAGCATTTCGAGATGCTCAGGTTCTTCAGTGCACGGAGGCGCTCGAGGGAGTCGGCCAGCTTCTGCAGCACGGAGCAGTCGGTAATATGCAAGTGCTTCAAAGCCTTCAGATTCCCGAGAGAGAGCTTAACCAAGTTGAAGCAAGTACTAATTTCCAGGTACTTTAGTGCCGGTAGATTGCCGAAAGACTCGGGCATCGCCTTCAAGCTATAGCAGTCACAGATCTCGAACGTCCTCAAAGACACCAAGCCCCCGAAGGAGTCCGGCAAACTTCTCAGCTTGGAGCAGTCTCGGATTCTCAAATGCGTGAGGGACAGCAATTGGCCGAACGATTCGGGGAGTGTCTCAAGCTCGTTGCAGTCATCGATTTCCAGGTGCTCCAAACTGGAAAGGGTGCCAAAAGACTCAGGCAGCGCATTCAGTTTTGAGCAGTCATCGATTTTCAAATGGGCTAATCCCGATAGCTGGCCAAACGACTCCGGGAGAATCTCTATCCTGTGGCACCTCTTGATCTCCAGATGGTTCAGGCTCATCATGTGACCAAAAGACTCGGGAAGCTTTTCGAGTCTGGAGCAGTCATCGATCTCTAAGTGATTCAGTGCAACTAAATGTCCGAAGGATTCGGGTAAGGCCTTCAATCTACATACGAGGCGAACCTTGAGGTGATCGAGAGCTACAAGACGTCCCAGAGCCTCTGGCAATTTCTCGATTTGTGGGCACCCTGAAATGTACAATTTCACCTCCTTCAGTTTCGATGGGAGTGACTCCGGGAATTTTTCTAGTTGGTCGCAGTACATTATCGCTAAGAATGTGAGACTCGAAAAAGGCCCAAAATTCTCTGACAGTGTGCGCAGAGTTTTACAATGCGAGATCATGAAACGCTGGAGCGACGAGAGGTGACCGATCTTCTTCGGGAGCGTGGACAGCTTTCCGCAGTGCCTCATTTCCAGAACCCGGAGCCGAAGCAGATTGCAAAAGGTGTCGGGCACGATTTGAAAACTGCAGTGATGGAGAAACAGCTCCTCGAGATGGGACAGTTTCCCGAACGACACTGGCAGGGCATGCATCTTATGGCAGTTGATCTCGAGGTATTCCAGCTTAGAGAGCTTCCCGAATGTTTCAGGGAGGGTCATCAGTTTGTCACAATCGGCGATCTTCAGCCTTCTAAGCTTACAGAGCTGCCCAAAAGAATCCGGCAAGCTGTCGAACGAGCATCGGGTCAATTCCAATATCCGAAGGCTGGAGAGCAGGCCGAAATTGTGAGGCAGGTAGTCGAGTCCCCTCACATTACTTTTGCCCTGCCCCCTACTCGCGTCCAGCTTGAACACGACCAAGCTGTCATGGAGAGCGGGGTCGAAAGGCAGCTCTGTCACCACTCCTCTCCAACTCAGCAGCACGAGGCCGGGGGGAAACTCGGAATCTTCATTCAGCTCGATTTTGGAACTGCAGTCCAGGTATTGGAGCTCCTTCATCCTGCGAAGATTCTTCCAGATAACCTCATCATCTTGCGCTGCGAAGTCTGGGCCTCTACTCCAATCGATTCGGAGTGTTACGATTTCCTGGGAGTTCACAGTCAGAACTTCGTCAGTCAGTCAACAGCATCGACAAAAGAAAGGTTGTGCTAAAACTTATCCTTCAGCCGATCAGCAGCATTTTTTGATGTCTGCTGAATGCAACGAGGTTCAATTCTGTGTCAGTCTCCTGACTGTTGTGGACGAGATGCTCAAGTGGAGGTTTCCAAACACGAAAAATTAGCAAACACGATTATTGTTGACATGAAAATAAGATGAAGCCAGGACAGACACTCGTGAACTGATCGAAGTTAAAACGAAGCAAGGTGGAGATTTGTTCGAGCTCTGGGGTGAGAGCCTCACCTCGACGTCATCACCGATAGTCTCGGGCTGTTGCGGGGAGTTGAGGAGTTTGAAGGCCGCCTGCGGCTTCCAGATCCGGCTGGCTTTTCCACCGATGCCCGAAGTCAGAGCGATTCGGCGGCCCAGAGCTTTCAGCTGATGATGCATCTTCAAAGTGCGGTGGTCGTCCACGCGATAAACCAGAGACAGATCCAACAAGTTCTGCCAATGCTCCAGCGTATCCTCGTACAGAATGTCCCATGCGCATTTCGCTTCGCGCAGGGTGTATTGAGACTCGACGAAGAAGGCCGCGACGTCAAGGAACATTTCCTTCTCTTTGTGGTCCAGCGAGTCGTAGCTCAGTTTCAACTGCGCCCACAGCTTCTCGTCTCCTGTCAGCTTCTCTGCCTCGGCGAGGCCCTGGAGAGTGTGCTTCCAGGTCTTCTCATCGTTGTTCCGGCCCAAGTACTTGCCCAGGATCTCCAGAGTCAGAGGCAAGCCCTCGCATTTCTGCACCACTTGATCCACGTATGGCCTCAAAGTGCTCGAAGGCTCCCTGCGGCCGGGGAAGGCGTAGCTCATGAACAAGGACTCTGCACTTTCGCCGTCCAGGAGTGGGACTTGGTAGATGCACACGTCGTCGAGCTTGTTCAGCAGGCTCTCGTGCCGAGAAGTGACAATGTACCTGCTCTCGTCGACGCAGCTTTCACGGGCGATGTCGTTCAGGATCTGCACGTCGTGCTCGTTGGCGACGTCGTCCAGCACGAGAATGAGCTTCTTTTCCTGGATCTGCTTCCACTCGCCTTCCACATCGGCCAGCGACATCGGCTGGCCTCTGTGGTGCATGTGCGTCTTCACTCTCGTCCTCAGCTCCTCGGCTTTGCCATCGATGAGCTTCGCGTCCGACACGAAGCAGCTGTACTCGAATTTCGGACTCAGTTTATTGAACAACAGCTTCGCCAGCGTGGTTTTCCCGGCCCCGCCCATCCCCCACAGACCCAAGATGGCATTGGTCTGCATCACCTCGGGGATGACCGACTCCACCAGAGTGTACACGCCGACTGCCTTCTGGTCTAACTTTTGCAGATTTTCTGGAGGTAGCTGTTTCATCTGCCGGTGCCAAAACGAGACAATTTCAGGAGCTCAATTTCGGGACATCGAGTCAGACGATTTTTGGATACAAATTTGGAAGGATGATCTTCTACATCGGTGCAGGGAGAGTGAGATTCCCCCTTCATCTTGCAGTTCTTACGAGACCAAGTGAAGACGTGACGTGATCTGAAGGCTCTGCTGGAATGCAAACGAGACATGTTCTGGCACCCCTCGGATTGAAGCGGAGCTGTTGGAAGTCGTTGTTAGAATTTCATACCTTTGCAACCAAGATGTCGGTGTACCTACCTTGGATGTCATCCTGTCCACTTTTCCGTTTTCATGCTGCACAGGACGCTCTTCATCGACGATACCGTTCTCGTTCGCCATCTTCTCACCTGCGATAGGGGTCGCAACGATTGTATCAGGGAGCTTATCATCCTCGACGACTGCGCTTGCAAAGCATCTGACTTTCTTAGATCTACGGGCAGATACGAGATAAGAAACATCGAATTTACTCTTTATGCCAAAAGAAGGATAGTCATGCAGCTCCAGGACTTTACAAAACTGGACACAGACGATGAAATTGTTCGGATCGGCCAATGCTACTGAAGCTTCATATGCAGACTGCGAAAATTGATCTTGAGATCGAGAATCCTGAAAGCACTAAAGACTGATCTGCCGTTGATACAGATGATTTGCCAGTGACGTAGCGTCGATCAACTTTGTTACTCGTTCTCGGGCTCTGCTGGTACGCAGAGGGATTGAAGTGGGTCCGATCGCTGGAGCATCAGCATGAACGAACTTGCTCGGGGTTGGCTATGTGAAATTCCATGTTGGGACTCTGGAGATGTATCCAGGAAGAATAAATTTCTAGAGAATGGTCGGAGATGGCAGTGATTCAGTACCTGAACAGGTAAGGTACAGTCGACACCTTCAAGCAGATTCGCCTCCAGATCGCGAAATCGGACAAATTGTGGGATGCACCGATCACCTCTGCGGGAGGTTGAAATGACTGCTATCGACAGAAACGCTATCTCTCATGTCCTTGAAAAACGATGACACACAATCCACACGAAAGAAACAATCCAAAACCTGAAAAACACAGCCGGACATTGGATGTCGATAAGATTTGCTAACAACTCTACGAGAGTAAATCTCAAGAAGAGGGATTAAACTCCAATGCCGACCAGGACAAGTGAACACGAGTTCGAATTTTTTTTTTCCCCTAGACGGCACGGTACGTAGCCGTGGGAGATTAATCTCTAGGTATAGCTTATGGGCATCACCCTGAGACACTACGTCTTCAATGTCTGAGCGCAAGGGGTTGGGTTCCTGTGCTTAAAACACCCCCTGACTGTCGTCCAATGTTATTCCCCGTAGAAAAGGGCAGAAAAGAAGGCCACCATGCCAAAATAGGCTCTGAATCTTGCAGGTTTTACTTCTACCTGATATTTCCACACAGAATATAGGAACTTCCAGACAGTGCCAATCACATGTGATCCATCCACTTACTTCTTACCATCAGCTTTTCTTCTGAGAATGCAATACTTCCCTGCACAGGACAACTATCACACATCGGCAAGATGGGCCCACTTGAGAAGCATACTTTCACGACACATCGATGCTAATCATGATCTCCGTGTGAGTATATTATCCTGGTGCACGCGTACCAGACTTTTTCTCAAAAGATTAAGGGGATTCATGTTATTCTTCAGTTGCAGTTCAATGACCAAAGAGAAAGCTTGCAGCTAGAGGATGTCTGATGGGTCGACGGAACATCAAGCTGGATAACTTCGACCAGCATCCAGACCTTTAAGAGCTGTAGAAGCTATGCTCATGACCTGTGGGTCAGGCTTCCAAAAGAATCGCGATGGTGAATTGCTTCACACTAGTTGAGAATAAGCTGGAAAGCTTCTCTGTCACTAAAAGGACAACTTGGGTCCAGATTTCTGATTGTTTGCGTGGGCTATAACACTGATACTTTGCGTGTGCTGGGTGTCCAGAGATATCGGCAGAAAAATCGACAAAGAACTATTTACTGCTTATATGAGACACAGTGGCATTCTACTCAGACACTGAATATACGACATTTCAGTTGATGCGTCACGGTCATGATCATTACAGGTCACAGAGATTGCACAGGATCAGTGCCTGAAGCATAAACTAGTGACCGTAGAGACTGACTAAGAATAAGGACACAAGTTCATCAATCAGCTTGCCGTCAGTATCGATCCGTTCGAACGGCTGATGGAATCATCTCTAAAGGTTTTCCATGTCAATTGAGATGCAAAGATGTCAATATCTGTTTATCTGTTTATCTTACTTCTAGAAATCAGCTTCCTTCACCACGCGAGATTAAAGATGTGCCAAGGCGAGTAAACTTAAGACAAACGTCAATTTAAAAGGCTCTGTAAGAGCAGTAGCTTCTTCAATAATTTCTTCTTGCTTCAGCTCGAAGTTGTCTCGCCTTTTGTATTCACAGTGTTAGATCCACTTGAGTCTTGGTGTCGATATCTCGGCGGTCTAAGTGATGGAATGTACTCATAAAGTAACGCGATATGAAAATAATTACTGAAATTTACAATGATGTTATCCCCCCTAGATCCCGGAAGTCTCATCTTGCACCTTGTAATACTTCATGTCAGATTCTGCAGCTAATTCTAGCCTATCAGAAGAATTCAAACATGAAGCTTGTATGTAGACAACTGTAACCTTTGCATACGCTGATTTGCAGAGCAAGAACTCGGAAGAACAGGAAAGAGGGTCACGGGCAACAGTGTTGCATCTTGGACACGCAAGCTGATCTCCAACGGAAAATGATGATGATGATGTCTCCCGTTTGTTTTGTTCCTTGTTCAGCTGGATGGGGTCTTGATGGTCTGTCCATCGTTTTGATATCCATTTGGCTCATCTCTCTTTTCCAGTGATGATAATCATCTGAAGGTTCATATCGTCGAGGTTAACGTGACTGCTGATCATAATGATTCTGTCCTTGAGCCGCTTGACTAGGAAAGCCAATAGCAGAAGACTTTGAGCTGCCTTGCATAATGCGTGGCATATATTCCTCCTTACATGTCGTTTCTCTACTGAGAAATTTCGAGTCTGACCTTCTCGTGTGAGAATGTCGAAAGGGCCAGGTTCTTATCAACATTGGTTCTTAGTGATGCTTAAAATCACATGACGAAAGGTCACAGGTGATAATTTCTAGTGGGGAGTCTCATGATACTGAAACCCTCCTGCATTTGGGTGCAGCCATGGTATTCCTCAATGAAATACATTACCTATTTTCCTGCTTTCCTTGCTGTCCTACCCGACTCTATGATGACACTACGTCTTCGGTTGTTCGATGAGGTCTGTGGGCCAAATAAGTTACCAAGTGGAATGCGGTCATTCCTGCCCCACAACTTTCTAGCTTGTCAAGTTTGCAAAGTATCTAGCAGATTACAGCATCCTTAGTTGGTTGTCAATTCCAGCGAAGGATACAGGTGATGATGACCCATACTTTGCTGCAAGTTTTCTCAGGTCTCGATGTCTCCTAGGTTTCAAGGGTCAAAGTATGCATGGTGCTGACTGATTGTTAATGGATCCATATAAAGCAGCAATGAAATCCGAGCTAATGAGAGAACAGAATGAAAAATTCTGTTCAGTTTTGCCTTGATATCTTTCAGAAATCTTTCTGACCTTGATGTCATTTATACCTATCCCAAGTAATAGATACTAACATGTCAATTTTGTTTCTATGATTTTATACTGAATGGCATCTTCCGTGATTAATAATGAAATTCATATTTTTAATTTGTGCTTCAGGCAAAGCAATATTATGTTGAAAAGCTTACACAAGTTTTTACACGAACCAGCCTTCGATCATGTACTGTACATGTTACGTTATACCAGAGCAACGGTGAGAGAGTATTCCTTAGCCACAAATAAAACCTTGACAGAAATCCCCAAACCAAATTAATAATTCCATGGACATAATTTCTGCTATATTTGCATATGAATTTCGAAGTGCGAATGTGTCAAAGAGTTTGGAATGAATGAGTGGAATTTCAAAGTCAGCGGTTAAGGCAACGGACCGAGAACCGAGCGCAAAGAGGAACCGAAACACAGACAGAGGGCTTGGAATATATCCAATCCCCGAAGGGAATTGAATATATTGCTTACTGGTCTGAAAAGCTAAATCAACGCGGTATGAGTCGGAAGTCAAGGATTCAGATTTGAATTTTTAGCTGTCAGTCTCCATCGGATGATTGTGTACGTGCCAGACTGAAGTCAACCGGTGGCACATGAACGTGTTTCCATCTCAGGATCCAAGGATAGCAATTATGCTTGTGACTCATGCATATTGATGTACTGTGCATTCAAAAAATTTATGTCGCCTCTTGTACAAATGGCAGCACTGACAGTCTTCATACAGTTACAGCATGTGAAGATATCAACGCCTTCGCTCACACCGATCGAAGACTAACTGCCAACCGCGGGCAAAAATGTTGATATTATTACACATGTCTAGCCGAAGAAGACATTCGTCTCACCAAATGAAGATGGAGCCGGAAGATCGAAATTAGTGCCGAGATCTCTTGCTCTCCTTTGAAGTCATTAAGGACCAGAGTTTTAGATTTGATTGCTGCCCACTCGCTTCCAGCAGAATCTATCTACAATGTACTAAGAAGAAATCGATGTGCCAATGACAGGGCCAGACGGAGAATTTATCCTCTAAGTAGTCATGATTCATACCATTCTTCGACTCTTGGAGAAAATTCACATTCGTCTTCAAGCTTTATATTAAAAGGTGAGCCGACGTTCTTGAGTATTGTTTATTCTGCAGAGACTTTAGTAAAGTCGTACAGTTGTCTATCATTCGCGTCCAGTATTATGCTGCTGCAATGCATTCACTGCTTCCACTAAGGGACTCTCCCTCGGTTTGGATGAAACTTGATAACGAGGACGAGATTGGGAGAAGAAGAATATGGACCTCCTGACTGAACTTACTGGAGAAAACAAGCGACCCTATCAGAAGACACCAACCGCCGAGAAACCCAATCCCGAAAGCTGGAAATGAGATCCACTTTTGGAGCTTTGAGGGACCCTTTCTTCGCTGAGCCCCGGCTGCGCCTGCTGCAGGATCTGGATTTGACGGCTCAGAGTCGGTCGCATATCCAAATATTGCAGGTTTCTAAGATACCCCCAGTCATCCGTCAGTTCTCCGCGGAGCTTGCTGAGTGACAGATCTACAGAGTAGAGTTCAGTACAGTTGATTAAAGACCGAGGGAAGGGACCGGTGAGATTGTTCGAGTCCAAGAACAGGAAAACGAGACTCGGTAAGTATTCCAGGATGTGTGGAATGTCACCGTCGAGAGAATTGCTTTGGAGTCTGAGTGAGCGGAGGTATCGGTCCGTTCAACGCGTTCATCGATAGGTTGATGATTCTGAATCTAGGCATCCTTCCGAGCGCCGTCGGTATGCCTCCACTGAGCTGATTGCTATGCAAGTACAGAGCAAAGGAGTGGGATCGCGAACGAGATAAATAAAGTACGATAAAAAAATAAAAAATGATTAATGCTAGAACTCACTATAGTTACAAACATGTTCATTGAAAGTTGTTCTCGCATTAGTGTCTGAATAAACTACCCACCTACATGATTTGGATAAATCTAGTAAAAGTCTTCATCACTATCTACGGTCATGTTCTATTCATTAGTCACAATAATTATAAGATTTATATATGGAACATTAGGCTTGGCAATACAGTTCAGTAGATCAGAGAAGATCACGATACTAGAGACGCGACGCTGGAGGGTGACTTGCAGAGTCGAATGATAGATGAAACGATACAATCATTTGAAAAATCGGTCTTGTCTCCGTTGTAGATGGAATCCAGCTGGAGAAGCTGCGTATGGCACACCAGGATTCTTTTGGAACTTCTGTGCCTCGTGTCTTCTGCAGTTCTTCCGAGTAATATATCCTGCGTGGTTGTGCAACAAAATCCGGTTCTAGAGCAATATCTAGTCGGCACTGATCGACATACAATTGGAGGTCGGATTTCATCGTCCCTTGACCCTGCTGATTCATCAAACATGCTCTCAGCGCTGTTGAGCTCCACGGGTCTAACGATTGGGATAAACGGGTATCCCAATCGTTCGCGGGCGATTGTGCTGAAAAACCTGTATTTCTGGCCCGCCTCTAGTATTTCACAGCTAATATCAGTGACATTAGCAAAGGTGTGGGAAGAAACTTCTTGATTGTATCAGGAAACAGTAGGCAGATTTTCCTCTGGAGGATTGTGTAGTGCTGTGGTTAGAAGGAGGGAATCTTTGAGCTGTTAGGTGAATGTGCTCGTGGAAGCTAGACGGAGCTTGGGGGGAACTTTCTCTGTGAAAACTGGACTAGTTCTACGGGCTAATGTTCGAAGCTGAATATACAAAGCTGCTGCAATGTTTTATTTTCAGTTCATCTTGCCGAAAAAGGTCCATCAGGGACAATATGGATTGCGGCGCAGTTGGAGCGGAAGCTCCGCAAGAACCAAGTCACAGAAACGAACATCAGTGTCTCTGTCGATTCAATTTTGTTCCCAGAAGTTCCCATTGCTTTCGATTGTCAGGGCATCTGCCTCTGGGAGTTGTGCGAATGTATTCTCGTAAAGTGAATAATCTTTTCCACGATTGTAGCGAGGCTTTAGTGAAAATCAAACAGGCATTTCATACGGGAGCGGTTGATCTTCCACCTGAGGCTGCAACATCACCTTTTCACTCAATCACTCCCCCAGAAACATTTGACTTGGATGAGTTCGAACCTCTCCCGGACAGAGAGATGCACTTGCTTCACTCTAATGGAGCGGTTGATCATCACGTGACCACCCGTGAACAGATTATTTTGCAAGATCCATTGGAGGATAGAAGCTACTTGGAATCGCAGTTCGGTGTGGATGAAAGGTTTCCAGAAGGTGATGTTCCACGAATGGGCATAGATTTTGACGAGGACTTACTGGACAAACCCTCTAGGGAGGCAAGTCCAGATGCTGTGACTTTACAAGATGAGGTTTTACGGGTAAATATGGGGGACGGCATGAACTATGACGAAATGGATAGGATGGAGCCCATGGATGTGGACGATGATCATCATGAAACTGGTACACATGCGCTCGGTATGGACATGGATTTGGATTATCAACCGGAGGCAGAAGGTATTGAGAACGGTGATATGAACAGAAGTATTGGTATGATTGAGGATTTGGAGCGTGATCGCCATTCTGAAGAGATCGAGCAGGACAATTTTGACCTTCAGTTGAACAAACCAGATGAGTTAGAACGTGCTATGCCTGGAACACTTGAAACTGAAGAATACGAAGGGAAGGGAGTGTTTGTCGAGGAGGCAGATAAAGAAGAGACTGTGGAGAAGCCAGGAATTGATGACCATGTTCAGGAGGTGGTCGAGGACGAGAGGGCTGGTTTAGAAGGTGAGGGGGAGACTTCTCTGGAGAGAGTTTGGAGAGGCAAGCGAAAGGAAAGAAATAACGACAAATCACTAGTTTCTGACTTTACAATTGAGATTGATTCAAGGCTGCTGTCTGCCCTTCTAACTGGTGTCAATCGAGCATTTCCATATATTTCTGTAGAAGATCTGGATATAGTCACACAAGAGATTCTGTTCTTTTCAGATTGGTAAATTCGACCAATTTCAATGTAGCACTGCAGGCATTGATGCTGCTCCATCCGCTGATGGTCAAGAAACAGGCCGTCAATGACCGTTTCTATCGAGCTTTGTATTCCGTCCTTCTGGTTGAAAGCGTTGCGAAGAAGTGTTGCGAAGAAGAAGAAGATGCGTTGCGAAGACATGGCTCTAAAATGTGATGTCGATGTTAGGCGCATGTGAGCTATAGCAAAGCGCTTGACTCGGCTGGCAATTCGGTAGCCACTAGAGTTTGCCACTAGAGTTTGCCCATGCTTCACTCTTTTTCATCTCAAAAATTATCAACCTGAATTCCACTCTTTGGAATTTGGTGCTAAATGAAGAAATCAAGACTACCGCCATGAGAAATAAATAAAATTGTCAGGGCAATAATTCAATGTCACGAAGATTAGTTGATGCACATGCCACTCAATTTCAACTAAAATTTGAAATATAACGTTCCAATATATAATATTGGATGTTATATGTGTGAAATATAACTAAAAATATTAAAAGAATAATTATAATTAATTTAGTTATGAATAATTCTAGATAATTGTAACTATGCTTAGCAATTATAAATAAACTTGGTTGAATACCTAGAGAAATTTTAGAAGATACGAGTGAGAATGAACCTAGAGTTTATAAATAGAGAAAAAAATCCTTGTTGAAAAACTTAGAGAGATTAGAATCAATTTGCATGAGTTGGCTACAAGCGTGATGAGAAAATAGCAAGATGTGCGAACAAAGGAAAATCCCTCCAAGAATTGGACTCCCAGCTTGCGTAGCTCAAATCTCGTAAGGGGAATGAATTAAAGAGAGTGATGAAGTAGAAAGATGTGCGAACAAAGGAAAATCCCTCCAAGAATCGGACTCCCAGCTTGCGTAGCTCAAATCTCGTAAGGGGAATGAATTAAAGAGAGTGATGAAGTAGAAGAATGAACTTACAGAGATATTAGAGAGTGCGGAATCAGCCCGTGGAAGATTGATCACAAATTGAAGTAATTTCTAGCTGAAATGCCTGTGTAGAAATACTCTCTGCGATAGATAGCGGAAGTATCTTCTTGCGAGCAGGAAGGTGGACACAGCGACGATGACGACAAGAGTGGTAGGGACGAGCAAAACCGAGATGGAGAAACGAAAGATTGAATAACGAGGGGATGCCAAGAAAAGCAAGAAAAACCAAAAGATGATTTATCCAAGGGGAGGATTTAGAAAAGAAGTGGAGACTTTTCCAAGGTTGTTTAAGGTTAGGATGAGACATCAGCGGTTGAACGGACTGCGAGGCTATGGCCTAAGACGGCCACGGGCCGTTAGAGACAGGACGGCGATTCAAAGGGATGGCCATCCCACTGCCATGCGAAAATAGCAGGTGCGGCGGATTGGAACTAATGGTCACCGCTGCCATGTGTCATCCGCTACGTGAGGGGTGATAGTACGACGGACTGCGGCTGCTGCGCAAGTGGCGTCTTCTCAGAGGGTGGAATATTTAGGTACTGCAGCTATGGGTCTAGCGTGGGATGGGGAGTCGGTAGGAGGGGATGTAGGAAATGAAGTGTCAGATGTCATTGTGTGAGTAAGTGTGCTGAGCTGCTATCCATGAATTGAGTTGCTGCTGGATACAAAGGGGGAAGAGTGAATTTATTTAGGAGAAGAGAGTGAAATTTTGGAACTGAGATGAGAGGGATTTGGGAACGAACTAGAGAGTAATTTTCGGAAATGAAGAGTAGAACTTTTAGTAAGTGACAATATTGGAATTTTGAAGACGAAGAGTAACGAGGAGAAAATGTGATTTCGGAAGTGAGAAGAGAATGATTTTGGATGTGGTAAAGAGTGGAATTTTTGAAATTGAAGAGAAAAGAATTTTGAAAGTGACATAGAGTGAAATTTTGGGTATGAGTAGATAGAGTAATTTTGGGGGTGAAGGGAGAGTGATTTTGAAAGTGAAAATAGAAAAGTTTTGGAAATGAAAGAGAGTGAAATTTGGCGAGTGAAGAGTGAATGATTTTGAAAGTGAAGAAAAAAGAATTTTGGAAGTGACTAAGAGTGAAATTTGGGGAGTGAAGAGTGAGTGATTTTGAAAGTGAAGAAAAAAGAATTTTGGAAGTGACTAAGAGTGAAATTTGGGGAGTGAAGAGTGAGTGATTTTGAAAGTGAAGAAAAAAGAATTTTGGAAGTGACTAAGAGTGAAATTTGGGAAGTGAAGAGTGAGTGATTTTGAAAGTGAAGAAAAAAGAATTTTGGAAGTGACTAAGAGTGAAATTTGGGGAGTGAAGAGTGAGTGATTTTGAGAGTGAAGAAAGAAAAATTTTGGAAGTGACTGAGAGTGGAATTTGGGGAGTGAAAAGTGAGTGATTTTGAAAGTGAAGAAAGAAAAATTTTGGAAGTGACGGAGAGCGGAATTTGGGGAGTGAAAAGTGAGTGATTTTGAAAGTGAAGAAAGAAAAATTTTGGAAGTGATTGAGAGTGGAATTTGGGGAGTGAAGAGTGAGTGATTTTGAAAGTGAAGAAAGAAAAATTTTGGAAGTGACTGAGAGTGGAATTTGGGGAGTGAAAAGTGAGTGATTTTGAAAGTGAAGAAAGAAAAATTTTGGCTGTCAAGAGAGTGGAATTTCCAAGGTGAAGTTATAAGAAATTTAGAAGTTGACAGAGAGTGGAATATTGGAAGTGACAAAGGAGGATCTTAAAGGGGACTGACATGGCAATTGGAAGTAAAAGCAAAGAGATTTTCAAAAACAGAGAAGAGATTTTCGCTAGGAGAGTTAAGATAATTTGGAGAGAACTAAGTGAGTATTAAAGTGACCTGTATTAGTAAAGCCGTGATAGCCAAGAGTAGAGAGTGTGATGACTTAAGTGTTAGTTCCAAACTATCCCTCCGACTATAACAACTATGGGGGAAACTATTAAGCCGAGAGATCTGCGCCTCACTCGTTTCTCAATGCCGCATAAGATGAACAATGAATAATAGCATTAGATCAAACATTGGTCTATGATATACGAGAAGGTTTTGCATAACCTGGGGCGGCACGCATAGAAAGTTAATAACGTTGTTGATCGCCTGTCATTAATCATCATTGAGAGAAGAACGACATATGTTATTTGCGACGTTTGCTTCATGACACTTTCAATGACAACACGTTTATCAAAAGCGTCGACCCCCATCCAATGCGTGGAAATCTAGCAGGTTAGAGATATTGACATGTTGGTTCCTTGCTGCTAAGACCGACGACTACAACCTCTAAGTGATATTGCTATCGCGTCATCTTGCTACAATGAATCTTGGCAAGCGCATCGTGCAACGTCTCCATTGAATTCTCTATGAAACTGAGGTATTTCATAACAACAAGATAAATTGAATGATCGGTGTAACGCATGTGATAGCAATTGTACATCTGCTTATAGCCAACTCATGCATTTATCAACTGGAAAAGATGCTTTACGATAGCAATAGCGTCAAAGCTATTCTAGCTAATCACATTTTGCAATTGTCTAAAGACACTGATGCCCATACCCTTCAAGTGTTTGAAAATGGCAATTCTGACACGTCAACCGACGCCGTGTACTCAAATTACATTTAGAATTGTGAGTAAAGTACTCTTTGGTGATGGCGTTTCTATATCAATCTAATGTGCGGTAATCACATAGACGACCTTCAAAGTGTCCAATTTGATCGGTCATTCAATGTTAGAGAGAAATCCGCGTCTTATTTGCTTAATAACTACTATAGTATGGACAACAAGATGGAGTAGAATTTCGTAATTCACTTAAGAAATGTTTGCGTTGACAACAGCTCGTACCCATTCGTGAGTGTGGATAACATTGTCGTGAATCGCTCTCCGTCAGAAGCGCACAGTATCACACCACCACCAACATTGAAGTTTATAATGACACTCTCATACTTCCGGAGTGTAGGTTCTGAGAACATTGAGTTTGCCGATCGTGTACTGCATCAAGCATTTGGCGAGCTTTGAGTAAAATGTTTTGCTATCTTTGACTCTGTGTGCCGATTTCAAGTGGGACTTCAAACCTGCACATAGATCTTATGGGAGTATCATTTTTTGCACAAAGTGCATTTGCGTTTGTTTTATTCCTTTGAGGTATCACCCAATTGTCAATCTTGGACATACAATCACGGAAAATCAAGATTTCTTCTCTTACGCTTGGAGGTGATCAAGGTCATCACCAAAATGAGTTGCTACTTTCCTTTGTTATGTCCGTCAAAATGACCAACGCTACTAAAAATTTTGCCGGCGTCACTCATCTTTATTCTTGATCATTTAGAGTCTGACAATGGATTCAAAAATACCACGGTTACCTTGTTGCACGGATTGTTAATAATTGTTGTGGAGTGAGGAGTAAGCCTAGGCAAGGTAGGGTAAAAGGTAACCAGGTAAGCCATGGGACTCTACCTTTACCCAACCTTTTACCTTATACGTAGCACTATGGTCTACCTTTACCCTTTTCCTTTACCTCAGGATAATTACCCAGTTACCCGTCAATTGTTGGGCCTCATGCGAAAGACTCTATGATTTCCTCGGGTTTTGATCCCGCTGATTGAGTCAGGGCCTACTTTCAGTCCAATCTTGAAGTTTCAAACTCACTTCCTAATCTCATCTCCCGATCATGTGCTTTTTAACCATTCCCGCAAGATAATGTACAATGATAATTCAAAGGTATTCAAAGAAGGTTGTTCCCTCCTATGAGAATCACAAATGTGTGAGTAATGTATTTAGATGCTTGTTAACGTGATCAAAGTAGCTCATGTAATCAGCAGTCAAGAAAGAGCGGAAACTTTGACATGTTCTTGAATTATACTCCAAGTTTGAACCTATCAGCTCGACAACCGTGTTGCCCTTCGTACGGGACAAACCTTCCACTTCTCCCATTCCTGCAACAACAACCTCTGAATTCATATGAACCCAAATTATTGCGGCTGGAATTCCAATTAGATACAAAGATACTACAAGACCGAAACCTAAAATTTGGTTAGTCTGATCGTCAAATTGCAGGTTGTCCGACATTGTGGTTCTCATTGGCGATCCATCACATCTAGACTTGACATGTCTGCTTAGTATATTTCAAAATGCGATGAAAACGTACGAGGAAAAGTATGAGATCAATTCTTTCGAGCGATGAGAATGGATAGCTCCATGCACTTACTCCTCCTCTTCTTCTTTTTTGATCATTCTTCTGCATAAGATCATGCTTCCTCGATGGATCATCTTCAAATGTGCACGACACCAGAACTGAGTCCAAAATCGACGTGGTCAAACTGCGTCCAATGCACTTTGTTCATTCCAACGAACGTGGTAGACCGCGGTCTTCAACTTCGAAGAAGAGACTGATAGTGCGAACGGGCCATCGGTATTACAATGCGGGACCCGGGAATATTAACCACACTTGAGGGTACAGGAGTAGCTGCACCTAATCTAACTGCAGTAAAGTTCGGGTCTCATGTTCGTGACGAAAATAGAATAATAATACAAATACTCCCTTGGAGTTACCTGTGTAAAAGAATGTTCACGTTGTTTTCCCGGGTAACCCACGAGGCTATACCTTTACCCTACTCTATAGCCTCACGTATTAACTTTATAAGTGTAAAAGGTAATGTAAGCCTAAAGGGTTACCTTGCGTTGCCGAGGGTTAGTGAGGAGTACCCTCGCTCGTATTCCACAAAGACCATTGGCTAGAAGCATGGCACCCCCAAGTTAACGAGTAATTATCCTGGTAACGGGTAAATATATCAGCACTAACTTTACTCGACACTCTACATTACCCGTTGGTTACCTTTACACATTTAACCCTAACTACTACCTTTTAGCCGTCAATAAAAGATATTGTACTTTAATTTGATGAGGCCTAAAAGCAACTATTACATCCGATGTCACGCGTCCATGAGGCCGGAACCTATTCTTTGTATACGGCACTTACACTCTGAACGATAAGAACTAAAACTCGCAGATATCCAACCCTAGTCCTACAAGCGTAGTTGGAGCCAGCTGACGGTTAACTCTGTTGGATGAAGGGAGCCGAAGCAAATTTAATCGAGTTGGAGAAAGAGAAACTTCGGCGCCAATTCGTGATGATGATGGGGTTCTGAACTTTTCCATGTTGCATCTCTTCATGGTCGTCAATAATCTACTTATTATTTTTCTCCATAGTTGTTGTCGTATGTATGACTACGGGACGACTAGGACTGAAAAGTCGTAGTCGTACGAAGTCCTCATCGTACAATATGGGCCACAGAGGATTACAAAACACGCGAACCACAAATAAACAAAGCCTTGATGTGGTTCGCGAATCAAAGCTTTGCTTTTTTTGGTTCGCGCAATTCAGGATTTCGAAAAAGATCCGAACGATGACTCTTCTAGAGCAAGCTGAACGGGAATCAGGGAAGGAGTGCCACTATTCTCTGCGACGACGGTCCCAGAGATTCCATGATTCCTTCATACAATTCGTATTCTGATCTTGTAATTTGATGGCTGGGCTTCTTGATATGTAGCGAATTTTGTGCGGAGCTCCTCTCAATCACAGAAGTTTAAGGGCAATGTGCACCATCAGCGCTGGACATCGCTACCCGTAGGCAGGATGATGACACAATCCGAAGATGGTAGTCTAGGGCATAAATCGATCGGGACAAATATTTGCGAGGAGAAATGGGTTTTCAGAGAAATGTGTCGTCAGGCCCTGGATAGAAATTCCGTCACTGAAGACTCAACAAAGGCATAAATCTGCAGAATTATCAGGAATCGTCGTCCGTGCATCATCAAGGAAAAATCTTGAACTAAGAGACAGCTGAAAACATTGCAGCGAGTGAAAATTGAAGAGGACCCGAAGACGAAAAAATCGAGTACCCTCGAGTACCCTCGAAGAGCACACTGACCGAGGTGCAGAGCTTCAAGAGCAGTGCATAGTATTATTTCGTCCCGTCCCGACCAACTACATTTCTAGGCTGATAAGACCACGGAGGATTCTCTCTCGAATAAATGACGGGGTACAAATTGAATGAGGAATCACCGAAGCCAAGAGAATGTTCAGTCAGGCGGAAGCTGAGCGATGGTGCTGCCGGGGTGGTCCTGGTACGACGACCAAAGCTCGCTATCAGAGATTTCTCTTTTTGGCCTACTCTGCCGAAAACTCAAGCAAAGACACAGCTCGAAAAAACTTTGGATCGACGATCCGCGTCTAGCCTGAAGGACCCCTCCCTTGATCGGCAATCGGACCACGTGGGCAACGACATGAAGGGGTGATCAAAACAAAGCAAGCTCTGAAAAGTCGACTCGAGCAGACATATCAAAACCTATTTTTGGCGCTGGTTGGGATGAGATCGAAACGATGACGTTGTATGACTCGGAGGTTTTTGCACGCGCTAGATTACATCCCTCGCCAAGCAGATGATACAACGTACAATCGATATAAAATGAATTTACTTCGGGATTATCACTGGTGTTGACTTAGAGATTACCAGGTTTCAGGAATGAAGAGATTTGATTTCAGTCATTAATGAACTTCTTGTGAATAGTCTGATGGGCGCTTGGTATGAGCCATTTTTTTTTTCAACTACCCGGGGCCGATGGTATTATGATGTGTAAATTCTGAAATGTCAAATGCTTTAAATGTGTAATCTTATACGGGTATCGATCAAAATTCATGAAACATCGGTGAATATGTCTTTCCTGGAATTTTCCTGCCCTGATTGCACATGGGTACGTTTGGGTGGATGGAAACCAAATAAAAGATCTTAGTAACAGCTCGACAAGTCTTACGACAGCATAGCTGCCCAACTTAAAGGATCCAATTAAAACTCAAGAAGACTTGAAAGCTGTGAGAATAGTTTATGGATACGGCCGTCATTTCACGTGACGATACGAGAGGAAGCACTGAAATACTGTAGTTGAATGATCAAAGGGCCCAAATGCAGGGCCCTGCAAGTTTCCTAAAGGCTAATCGATCCTCTAGCTGAATTAATTTTTTTCCCAAAAGTCCTTCCTCATTGACCAGGTGTTCTGGAAGCCGTAAAGAGAAATAAACGCATGGCCGTAGCTTGCCTCGACCCTAAAGTCGTCGCGAATGAGTGGCGCACAAACTGTTTGATTCGACAGCCGACCAATTGTACAAAAGTACTCCTCAGGCCCCTCAGGATTTGAATTGAACATCAACACGCTCTCAGGTTTTGACTTGCACCTCATCCTACGATTATATCGCATCACAGTCGAGAATCCTCAACAATTGGCACTAATCGGCAGTCGAATGCACTCTACCTAACTGCATTACAATTGAAGCTTTCGTGGAAGCTCTATGCTCTCGAATTTTGAGACTCACCGGAAAAAATTTTCGTAAAATATGTGTCTGAGCACGAGGAAATGTGAACGTAGAAAGAGCCACGATCCGCTCGCTACAGGTGGCTGTCATCTCGAAAGAAATCAGGTTCGAGGGGCTTTGAAAGATTGGACGATGAGAGGCTGATGTTCGAATGTCTGATCGCCGAGATCGGCATGATTTCATTTGCTTGCATGTATGCATTGTCGTAGGCCCGCAGAATTTGCTCCGCGTCTTGCTCCATCCGCGAACCCAGCTTTCTTAGCCTGTAACGGCGCCAGGAGATTTGGATGAAAGTGGCTGCCCATGTTCGCCATTGATGCGAGAGGTACTTGAAAGTGTGCTGCAATTTCTTGCTATGCAGCATTCTGAACTGTCCGGCCACGAATCTGAGGTCCTTGGCCGAGAGAGAGAAGGCCTCCACCACTCCCAGAGCCATGATAGTCCGGGTCGAAGAAGGCAAGGTCTTCTCGTGCTGCGATTCCAAAGCCCAAGTGAGCAGCTGCTCCCCGCAGAAATCCCCGGGCCCGAGCGAGTAGCGGCTCAGAAATCCTGTCCGGCCTCCGTTGGTCGTCATGCTGTCGAGGTGCCCCCGAATTATGAACGTCATTTCCACGACCGGATCGCCTTCCTGCACGAGGTACGAGCCCTCGGTGTGCAGCGCCGGTTGCAGGACCTCGCAGATCGCATCGAGCAGCCGCTCGTCCATCTGATTGAACAGCTCCACTCGCTTCAAGAGCCCCAAGCACAGATGGCGCTTGATGTCTCTACGAAGATCGTTCGGCAAGCTCCGCAGAAGCGCTTGCTCATCCACGCCCTGGGTTTCCAACCATTTGTACTGCTCGTACCGCCTGACTCGATTTCTGAGTTCTCCCGGCAGCCGCCGATGGTTCATCCATTCTTCCGTATCTCTACGCTTCACTCTCATCTCGTCGACCCGGATGCCAGCTGACAATATGTACTTCTGCACATTGCCTATGAGCAAAGCGAAGAGGAGCAGGCCGGAGATGAAGATGATGATGGCGAACAATACCTCCCAGGTGTAAGTGCTGACCTTGAATCCCTGGCCCAGCGAGCTCAGACCATTGAGCCCGAACCACAGGCAGTAAAAGTATTTGGGAACGAAATTGAGTCCGGAAGTGATATTATTCTCCATAGCCAAGGAGTAGAGGCCGAAGTTGAAAGGCATGCTAGTCGGCTCGCCCGAGTTGGCCACGCACTTGAACGGGATTTCCGTCCTGGACAGCCAATCTGCTCTCGGGCCCTTGAGCTCATCATTGAGCTGGCTCCGGCAGTTGAAAAACCTCTTGTTGCAGAAGTCTTCATGCTCGCAGAAGCTCCTCCAGCACGTATCCTGTCGCTCTACTGTCAGAAGGTACCAGCAAGCTCCAATGACATGGCTGGCCAGCAAGTACAGCAGGAGGTTGTAAGCTGCGCCTGCCCACACCGTTTCCATGAACACTCCAGTGTCCTTGGACCTCACCATCTCGGAATTCTTCACGATGAAGAACATGCGAATCAGCCTGGGGACGTAGTGGAAGATCACCAAAAGGATCACGGCTATCTTGGTGTTGGCAATTCGGCTCGTTCTCAGAAACGGGAAGAACAACCACATCACCACCTGGGGAAGAGGAAGAATCACCACCAAGTCCACCCAGAATGCCGACTTTAGGTACCTGCGCGCGATCTCGTTCGTGTCTTCCACCAGCTCTCCGATGCCGAACACTCTGGAAGACGGCGCTACGAAGGCGGTCCGGAATTCCAGCCACATGTGGATCACGTAGACGAAGTCGATCAGCGTTCGGAGGACCGTCACAGCGATGGCCAGGTTCCGGTCGAGGTCGAAGCAGAGGTCGTTCATTTGCACCACGGGCACGTAGAAGAAGAGTGGGTCGAGGAAAATCGCCACCAGGCACGTGACGATGAACACTCTATTCCACAGCTGGTATTCTTTGGATCGAGGACTGATAATCACCTTCAACCATGAGGGCCTCCGGGGCCCGAATTCGACTGTAGGTGACCACCAACGTCTTAGACAAAACCATCTGCTCGATTCGTCCATCGGCCTTTGCTTCACGGCAGGCTCCGTCGCTTCCTCTAATCTGAATTCCGAGCTGCACGTCGATCCAAACCAGAAAATTTCCCTAGACGGCATTTCGATGCCGTGAACATCTTCCTGGACTCCGGGAAGTTTGCCTCCTGCTGGACGAAAGAATGCCTCCTTCATCCGGACGGCGCCTCGCTCCCCAACCTCGAATGCAGCCCTTTCGCCCGAGGTCCGATTGACAAACTGACAGTATCAATTCCAAGTCAATTCTTGTCAGCCAATTGATGCTATTTCTGGCCTTCGAGGACCGAATTCTTCACCAACCACCCACCACCGATAACCAGAGACTAGAAGTTTCACACAATCACCAGCCTCCCGGAGTCTTTATTCTGCATTTGTCTGATGTTCAAAGCCCGACCTCAGTCGCATATCACTGACAATTCTCTTCCTGTCTTGAGCAGGAGAGCTGAGCAGAAAAGCCGAGCACAGGCATGCCTGAGAGTTCTGAAAATTTCGGATTTCGGGAGTGAGGTGGTCCGGACAACTCGGCTCTCTCTGTGTTGCAGTCGACATCCATGTCTTTAGAAAGTAGACGAAGACGTTCGAGGAGTATGGGCTTCAGGCTCTGCTAGAAATTCATCTTGCACGCCAGAGCGGAAGCGCTAGATGAGCCTATAATACTGCACCGATCTCGACGAAGCCGGCACCAGATATTCTTCACCTCCTGAAAGTCGATGATTCTCTCAATGACGTCAACTCTGGAACCACCCTCCGATCATCTCCTGCAAAATCCTACTCTAATCTCCGCTCAGAATCTCTGGCTGCCGATTCTCATGATCCCTCCCTTTCGCAGGCCGCCGCTCGCATCCCCGCAGAACGTCCAGCCAGTGTTCTTCTCGACCTCAGTCCGCAAACGCAGGCCTGACGATGGCGATCAGTCACATCTTGGAATGCCAGTCTTCGTCTTTTTCCAACTTCTCTCCGAACGATTCACTCGTATATAGAAAGTTCCATTGACCGCGGGGCCCCATTGACGAACGTATCATGACATGGTGGCCCACCATGTAGATTGAGAGAACTCGCAGAGGGGAATCCCAGAGCTCCATCGCTGCTCGCGATGGAGCTGTGTTTTGGTCGTATCATGGGAAGGCGAGTCTGGGGAAGACCAGACCTGGCGACTCAGTTTGACTCTTCAATGTTCTACGTCGCGTTGAATCCAAGAGCATCGGCACGAGCCAGAGGGGACGTTTCCTTAATGCCGTTGGGCTACAAACAAGAGACGAAATTGCTCCGACAGGAAGAAGAACCAGAAAGTCGTCTCCGAGCCGGACCCATTCTTGTCTTCATCTTCCAGGTGTCCAAATCATTTAATATTCTTGACCGAGCCGGCAGGTGCCTGGCTTGCGATCTTGTGATCTTATGATGCAAAACCGTGTCGGAGTCAAAAGACGATTGACAATATTACTCAGTAATGCGTGACATTGCTCATCCTTGTAAACGTGGTGCTGTCACCTTTCGCATCACTTATCGTAATCCAGTTTGGCGCAGTGCTATAGCCTTAAAGTACCACTAGCTCCTCGCCCTTTCATTTTGGAGGACTGCCACCATCCCTAGAGCAGATCACATCTACTTTACACAGCTTTGGGAGTTGATAAACCCAATACAGAGTAGATATCCGATGTAAGGAGTATAATCTTCCTTTTATTTGGTCTATCAGAGCTAATTGGTCACCGATTTCACGTCAGCGAAGACTTTTATGTAAGTGTTGTCAGAATTGCTTCGACCGCATTTCACAAAGAGGTAAAGGAACTACAGAATGAAAATTCGACTCGTCTTTCCCTTTTCTAGCTCTCGTCTACGTTCTGATTGGCTCTTGATTTTCGTAGCTACTACGATACGAATTCCAACAGTGATACCGTTCGTTCCGTGAAATGAATACTCAAAAGTTTTTTTGTTCTGCAAGTCTTAGTGCATAATATCTTTCGTTGAATCTGTAGACCTCCAGTGGAGTACATTCCAGGCACGAGCATGAGGGGAGCTCGATTTCGGAAGCTCTTCTTCCTGTACCTGGAACAGGATGTCCCTAAAGTTTCTTGAATAGATCAGATTCTATCATTGCTTGACCAATTGTTCTCAATGAATAGAGCTTCTTCACTTACACCACAAAGCATGCTGACGATAAGTCGCAAAACCTTTAGCAAAGGCAATCTCGTAAATTCCAAACCATCCATGGTGACATGTGAAATATCTTCAATGCCTGGAACATTCTGCGGCGGAATCTTTGCGAACCAGTACTAGTACTTTCCGTACTGATGTGAAATTCCTCCGTATGACCCCACTGGCAGCCGGCGGTCTGCTTTCAGAATCTTTGGGTTTCGTCATCTGCTTGAATTACGTCCTATTACTCGCTTGAAGCTGCATCCCATCTGAAAAAATGAAAGCAGACATTGCACCATATAGACTGTCTTCTTCGAGGCTGAAGCGCTCGTTACTGGCTTTGACATTTCTCAATCCGTTCATATTTCTTATTTTTTCATACAATAAAATTATACCTGCAATTTGGTGAGTCTAGGGCATCAGATAAATCTATGTTCCCAGAGTTACTGAGTATTGAAGCTTAGTGAATGAGATTATTCAACAGCAAGTGTACCTAGCACAATGCATGAGTGTAGTGTTTGATTTATGTTTAAGAATCTTGATCCATACCCGTATAAGATTACACATTTAACGAATTTGACATTTCAGAATTTACAAATTATAACACCATCGCCCCGGATATTTGCAAAAAAAATGGCTCTTAGCAAGCGCCAATTTCCCAAGAAACCATTCACAAGAAGCGCCAGACTATTCACAAGAAGTTCATTAATGACTGAAATCAAATTTCTTCATTCCTGAAACCTGGTCATCTCTAAGTCAACACCAGTGATAATCCCGAAATAAATTCATTTTATATTCGATTGTACGTTGCATCTGCTTGGCGAGGGATGTAATCTAGCGCGTGGAAGAACCTCTGAGTCATACAACGTCATCGTTTCGAGCTCATCCCAACCAGCGCCCGAAAATAGGTTTGATATCGTCTGCTCAGTCGACTTTCCAGAGCTTTCTTTGTTTTGATCACCCCTTCATCTCGTTGGCCGCGTGATCCGATTGCTGATCAAGGGAGGGGTCCTTCAGGCTAGACGCGGATCGTCGATCCAAAGTTTTTCGAGCTGTGCCTTTGCTTGAGTTTCCAGCAGAGTAGGCCAAAAAGAGAAATCTCTGATAGCGAGCTTTGGTCGTCGTACCAGGACCACCCCGGCAGCACCATGGCTCAGCTTCCGCCTGACTGAACATTGTCTTGGCTTCGGTGATTCCTCATGCAACTTGTACCCCGTTTTCGAATCTTCTCCATTCTCTTGAAGCTATGCACCTCGGTCAGTATGCTCTTCGATTCCTGTCTCGAGGGTACTCGATTTTTTCGTCTTCGGGTCCTCTTCAATTTTCACTGGCTGCAATGTTTTCAGCTGTGTCTTAGTTCAAGAAGGTTCCGTGATGCTGCGCGGACGACGATTCCCCATAATTTTGCAGATTTATGCCTTTGTTGGGTCTTCAGTGACGGAATTTCTATCCAGGGCCTGACGACGTAATACTCTGAAAACCCATTCCTCCTTGCAAATATTATGCCCTGGACTCCCATCTTTGAATTGTGTCATCATCCTGTGTACGGGTAGCAATGTCCAGCGCTGATGGTGCACATTGCCCTTAATCTTCTGTGATTGAGAGGAGTACTGCACAAAATTCGCTACATATGAAGAAGCCCAGCCATCAAATTACAAGAAGAGCAGAATACGAATTGTATCACGGAATCATGGTATCTCTGCGACAGTCGTTGCAGAGAATTTCTATCAAGACCTTAGGCATGTATGAAGAGAGATTCTATCTCGACGATGCAAGTTTTATTTTGATGACTCTACCTGGATCAGATAGATTTCCCAAGTCCATGCACCGACAGTACGTTGAGTAGGGAGGCCTTCGGAAGTTGGATATAAGCTTGCCTCAGGTAAGTCACAGGATCAAATTCAATTAAGAAAGTCTGCTTTGCTTATAACAAGGGCAACCAAGGCTTCATGCATCCCGTTTTTTTTCATTAGGCCTTCTATCGGAGAATGTATCCGAAGGAGCATAGTGCTGACCTTGTTTCAGTCTGACGGTATGGACCACCGGAACAACATCGATCGCTTGGATAGAACAGAGAGATTGAAAGCTCGATTCCCGAAATTTGTATTGTCAACCGTTGATTGGAAAGAAATTTGCATTCCTTCACTCTTTGTTTCTCCCTTTGGTGTCCATTGAGTGACTAGTTTCCTCCATGTAAATTTGATATATAAGTGATATGAAGACCCACCAATGCGTAGAAGGATAAAATCATCAGTAACAAAAATTTCAATGAATGTAATATTCGAAATACAGTGTTCTCTCCGATCGTGTTTGACAACCAATGATCAAACATGATGGTGTTTGATGTTTTGGTTTATTGCATACTTGCTATCAAGTCCTGAGTAGTATATAGTACTATAAATTGTGCTCCTTTTTACTCTATCTTGTGTTAAATAAGTATAGGTACATCTTCATCTTGCTTGCCATTTAAGAAGGTTGTTTTAACATCAAGCTTACGAATCTTTCATCTTTTGTTTGCACCTAAGGATAGTATTGTTCGTGTCGTGTGCCACTTTACCACCGAAGTAAAGGTATCAAAAAAAGTCTATATCCTCTAACTGTTTGTTTCCTCTAGCAACTACCCTAGCTTTAAGCCTCAAAAATTCTCCTGATGCTTCAACTTTGGTTTTATAAATCCACCTTGCAGTAATTGGAGTGATTCCAAGAGTCACTATGTCAACTATCTCCCATGTCTAGTTCTTGTTAACTGATTCAACCTCTTACAATTGCAGATCCTCAACCTGCATGTGCCACTGCCTATTGAAATGTGATTGGATCTTCACGTGTTGACAAACGTCCATAAATAATCTTTGTATCTAGAGTTTGAAAACCTTTTCTTTCATCGGTTTACGTTAAGTAGATACAAGACTTCTCTGTCTTCGTTCATCAACCCATAAAGTTAGAGAAGATTCAACTCCATGGTTTGTTGCTTTCGACTGTGTATTCCCTTCATCTACAAACTCGCCATCATTGCCGCTTGAATTCTGGACCTCAGTTATGTCTAAATTCGAAAGTGATGTTGAACTTGAGCTCAAGCTCAAGTTGTTTACTCAATTTCAACTTGTTTATCAAATAAACAAGTGCTTGGTATTACTTTCTCAACTTCAAACTCCTCAAAGATGTTTTTTAAGTTCAAGAAAATTGATAAACCCTTTCACCAAGAACAACGTTTCTAGTGATGATAACTTTTCTCCGTTTTGGATATTATACTCTATATGCTTTTGACTTACTGTCATAGCCAACCAACATACATAGTAGTGATTTACTGTTCATCTTCCTACGTTCTTCCTTTGGAATATGAACATAGACTATGCTTCCAAATATTCTAAGATGAGATACATTAGGGTTTCTTATCATGGAATATTTCAAACGGTGTCTTTCCATGATTTGCTTTGATTGTACTTATGTTCATTAGAAGAGTTGTTGTATTAACTGCTTCACTCAACAGAAACCCGGATAGTTGAGCTTCAAGTGATATTCTTTGAGTTTTTTTTTCATCATTCTGTTATGTTATTGTGCAATTGCATTCTACTGAGGTGTTAAAGGTTGTGTCAAATTTCTTGCAATGCCTTCAGTTTGCAAGTATGCTTCAAACTCCTTGGACATATACTCGCCTCCTCTGTCTGATCTCAAAGTCTTGATCTTCTTATCTGTTTGTCTCTCCATCATTGCTTTGAAGATTCAAAATTTGCTGTGGATTTCATTCTTTGCCTTCATGAAGTAAACAAACGTCATTCTTGAATAATCCTGAGTGAAAGCTATAAAATATCTACACTTGCTTAGTGAGGGAAACGGCAAAGGTCCAACTACATCTGTGTGAACTGCATCTAGTTATTTACTAGCTTTCTTGGTTGATGATCTAGGATATCTTTCTCATGATTTCTCACCAGCTTAACATGCTATGCAAATTTTATGGATATTATTTACTCGAGGCATTCCTACTACAGGGTTAGTGGCTAGTGGGTTACAAGTGGCTCAATCCATAGAAATTGATATGATCAAATCTGCGATGCCATAAGCTTGCATCTCTTGTTTTTGTCATGTTTTTTATCTCACCCGCTGATGAGTTGAACATGTAGAGTCCGCTACATTGATCTTGACTATCTGTAGCTATAACCTGCTTGTTAACCAAGTCGTCCATGATCCAGCAAAATTACTCTGCAAATAAGATAACATGGTCCTTATCTACAATTTTGCCTACTGAAATTAAATTTTTGTGCACATTAGGTAAATAGAGAATATTGTCAAGCTTTATTTCATAACTATCTGCTGAAACGTAAGCATTCCCACGTCCCTCAACTCTATACTGTTCTTCTCCAGCTACCATCATGGTAGCTTCATCAAATCTAATGCTTCCTTATTTACTATCACGTGGTTAGAAGCACTACTATCCATATACCACTTGTGCTTATGGTGATCGGTCAAATCACTATAATGTATTTTTTCTCTATGATGCATGATGGAGTTCATCGAATTGTGTCGCTCATCTGAAGGTCCTCCTCTAAGCTCTCTCTGTGAGCAGGTAGAAGCAAAGTGTGCTTCCTTGCCACACATCCACCAAGTAAGACTGTTACATTCACATTCTGTTGATATTGCTAGGGTCGTGAAACTCCGCTTCTTCCTCCCATGTATCGCCGATTACCGAATCGTCCATCAGTCCATTGAGAACTTCTTCCATATCCAGATTTTCTACCATATTCATGTCTCATTGGTGTACATTGCCATTGTAAAGCTAAGGCTTCATCTTCTTTTCTAAATTGCTCATTTCTCATCTCTTGTATGTGTCCTTCAATGAGAAATTTGGAAATAGTTTTTTCAAAGGAAGTAAGCTCTTACAAAGCAGCAATGCTTTGAATAACTCCTTTGTAAGATCGTGATAGTTCATATAGAACGATTGAAACCATAGTCTCTTCATGTGAAGTTTCTCCCTTCGATGACAACTTGTTCTTCAACTACTTTGCTTTCTAAATGTATTGTGTAATTGATACTCCCTTCATCATCTTGAGTGAGTTTAGTTGCTAGGACAAGAAAATTATTTGTCCTTGATCATCCGACTGGAAATTTCTCTCCAACACTTGTCAAACATCAGCCAGATCATCATTCTCAGTCACTAAATCCACAATATCATCACTTACCAACATTGTAATTGCTGCATGTGCTATGTTCTTCAATTTCATCAGCTGGATCTCATTCACAATTATGTCATTTATTGTGACAGTTGGGCTCCCCACTGTCTCAAGTTTGTTTGCATTCACTTCCCACAAGTCGAATTGTTTGGAAATGGAGCGCATCTTCAGTCACCAAAAGTGATAATTGGATTCTCCCACCAACTTGTTACTATCTCCTGGAATCATAATCTTTACATCTCCATCCATGATGAGGCAATTTGCACAATAAAAAAAAATTAAAATCTCACTTCTGAAAATAGTAGCAAAACTCATTATTTTCTTTATACTAGTGTCATCAACAAAACCTCACCTTAGAGAACAGGAGCATAGGTCATTATAATCTCTGCACTAGTGGTCTCAACTTCCGCTCTGTAATCATGTTTAGAATACATAGTAGCAGAACTCATTATTTTCTCTATACTAGTGTCATCAACAAAACCTCACCTTAGAGAAGAGGAGCATAGGTCACTATAATCTCTGCACTAGTGGTCTCAACTTCACTCTGTAACCATGTTTAAAATACAGCGTTCTCTCTAATTGAGCTCGTGTGTACTGTCAAAGTAGTTTCTTATATATAGGTTTCGGAAGTCTCGGGCCTCAACACCAAGAGGTCGTTAGTTGCCTAGTCACTACCTACTATGTTTATTATCTGCTACTAGAAAGCTGTGTGAGTCCCATCTCATGCTATACAGCGGTGGTAGTACCACGTCAAGTTTCAGGGAACGTATATTCTAACATGTAAGAGGGAATGTTTCCCTGCTCACGACTGACTTCAATGCATCCAAGGACAGCACATGCACAACTTTGTTATAACCAGTCAGGTCACCACTGTCATTTTATTCACTTGCACTGCTATCCTTGAGTTACTCCAAGTTGTTGTACCTATCCTGAAACTTGATCAAACTAGAGTTCTATCTCCTTGCATTATGTTTTTATGTCAGTGCTTTCAATTACATAACACAACATCAAAGGTTATTCATTACTTTTTGATCAAGTCACATGAAAGGAATCAACGCCTTGCCTAACAGTTGCCTTGCCTAACAATTCTTGATGGCGAAGTTTTCAATTCCTTACTAAAATATGTTTTCAGTGATCCAAAATTATAATTAGAGATAAAAATGATACACTTCAATTTATTTAATAATGCAATTGATAAAACTTAAAAATACATCTAAAAGTGCATTGTTCGTGTTAAAAACTCATCTTTTATGTCAATATAGAAAGAATAATATAAACACATATTCTTTCAAATGTTGATCTGAATACATATACATATATAGTCATAATATGGTGGCAAGTAATAAATTCTAATATCAATCATCTTTGTCTCCTACATATAGATCAAAAATTAAATTGAGGAATGTTAAATGCAGAAAAATATTTGTGAAGAAATAAAAATAAATTAGAAAAATAATGTAAATGGGTAATTATATTTTATTGTAATATATTATCTTTCAAGTACATTCAGTGCATATCTAGCAACTTCAAACACTCTTATAGACAAAAAAAATAAATACTTATGAACTCGTTTAGAAAATTCAATGAATCTTACAGGCAGAATGTTTTATATATATACCTACAAATCAAATTTCTGACCAAATATACATCGCAATATGTTAATTTATAATAATTTTCAATCACTTTAAAAATCATATGAATATCATATATCATCTTAGATTTTATTACTTGTTTGAACTTTAACGATGCTAGTGAAACTGATAAATCCTAGTCATGATTCTTTGTAATAAAATGAGTGTCAAAAATTCATGAAAAAATTGACGATAAAAACTTAAAATATGGCTATGATTGTGAAATTTCTAAAGAAATACATTGAGATTGAAATGTGTATAAGTATACATATCATTTGACTTTAAAAAATTAACGAGGATAAAAAAATTTGCACGTTTAAAAAATCAATAAAATAATCTGAAATATG